TAAATTTGCCGAGCGATTGTCGTTTTAATGACAGATCTGGGGGCCACTTTGCGGCTCCGCTGCCTCGCGTATTTGATTACCACAGATTAGGCAGATAGGCGGATGTGCGACACGCGCCAAGCGGTGGCTACACGGCATGATGCACCAGTTATAGAGAAGATTATATCTGTTGGATATCAATCTCCCTGAAAGCTTATGGTTATAGTTTCGGTGAAAAAGCCTCTTGAGAAAATTAAACATCGAAACCTCGATGTTTGATGGGGATCCCTGTAGCTTTTGGTAAATTCTCGGGCGTGAAAATAATAATGTACACAAGGTGTCTCTTAATTATTATGTATTTAGTATTACAAAACAATTTGAAGATAATACTAATCTATTGCTCAAAAACCGCAAGGGGAAAATTTCCCATTTCGTTTATTTTACACTCAGAGACAGTCACTGACAAACTCTGAAAAAATCCGCTTACCTGCAATTTTTTTTTCAAATGACAATTTTATTGGATAATTAGAATATGTCTTGCTTTGATCTGTAGTGTCATTAGTTTTCGGGAAGTGCCCTAGAGAGACAACCCTATTTTCATTATTTATATTGTCTAAAGTTGAAGATATATAGTACGATTTTTCTTATTTACTGTTAAAAACGTTAACGATTCTCTGAAATAACTAAATTTTACAGGAAATATATAAAATTTTATGTAGGTACTTTATAGCACTGGTAAAAAATATTGAAAGCTATATACGAAATATGCTGGGAATAACCAAAAGAGATAAAAGAATAGAGTGGATACGACAGAAGATCCAGGTAAAACATTTCCAGTTAAAGAAAATAAATAAATTGAAATTTATAATTTTAGGAGAACCTTAAATGTACTTCTAAGGGTGGCTGCAACGACGTCCCGTAATCCTGCTGTTAAAACATAACAGCTGGTTTTTATATATAAAAACCAAGGTTTTAACACCAGGATTACGGGTCGTCGTTGCAGCCACCCTAAAGAATCATATTTAAACAAAAATGAAATAGTATTTATTTAACACAATATTTCCTCTATTTCTCAATACTCAATTATGTAGATATAAATAAATACACCCTCCTCTAGCTTCTGCTAGTAGGCATAACGTTTTCTTACCCCGAGCCCTTCGAAGGTTTAATTATCGATTCTGCCTTGGAGGGCTTCGCCTGAACTTTGCAGTGGAGGTTTTTGAGTGGCTTCCGCCATGTTTACTAATTAATATCGGAAGTATCTTGACGCAGACGGTACTTTCACAACTAGAATACAATAAAATGGAATATTACACGCATCAAAAGTATATACAGGGTTGTTCACCACATACGACACGGAGTATTGTAGCTATAAACGATTAGATTTATACAAATTGTAGGTTTTGGGTTCGTTGAAGGACTATTGGAGTAAGGAAATAATATTATAGTTGTATTTATTAGGAACACCCTATATATTGTTCTATATTTAGATTCTATGATTGAAATAAAGGTAAATTTGATTAAGGTTTATCACACTTAAACCTTACCGTTTTTGAAATATTTTCAATTTTGTGAAATTGCAGTCAAAATTTTAAGGCTTTATTTCACCAAAGGTATCAAAGTTTTTAATACTAAATATTTACTGAAGTCTATTTATTGATCAGTTATTGGGTTGTAATAATAAAAGTAATACTACCTCATACAGAGTGTCTAAAAATTTATTTAAAATTATTTCTAGCTTTAAACGGCAATAACTTGTTTAATTTAAATGGAACGCCCTATATATTTAAGGAGAATCAGATGCACAATTTAATTGTCTATCAAATTGTATTACGCCACTTTTTACCTATCCCTTCAAGTTTTCGTATAAAATGCATTTTTTTATAATTTAGACCTCATTTATCAATATACCCATGGAATATTGACAGTTTAGATTGTTTTTAAAGCAACAAAGGTACAAAATGTACAGGCTAGTAATATTATCGTTTTTAGCAAAATGAAAATATTACTAGCCCATTTGTATGCAAAAAGAAAACTATTTAAATCTTTATAAAAGAGTATACCATTAATTAAATATACCACTATTATTTCCGCTCAAATACTAATTAATTACATACTTAATTATGTTCGTTAATAAATTATTCTAAATAAATGTGGATTTGAATCAGAAATCAATATAATAATAAGTTATGAAAATGAATATCTCTGTTGTTATAAATAAGCATTTGTCAAAAAATGAAATATCATTTTTAAGGTGTTACTTTTTACCACGCTGTCTAATACACATACAAAATTCAGTTTTTTACTATTTGGAGTAATTATTATTAATCAACGCAAACAGTCAATTAATCGAGTTTGAATACTGGAATCATATTAATTGGTCCTCTTTAACAAATATTTAAACAGTTTCTTTTTAATTTTTAATGAAACAAACAAACTATATCGACAATATTAGTATCTGTACTCTTTAAAAATTTGGTACATCTTTAAAAATAATCTAAAATGTCAGTATTCCATGGGTATATTGATAAATGAGTTTTAAATTACAAGAAAATGCATTTTCTACGGAAACTTGAAGAGATAGGTAAAAATGGTATAATACAATTTGATAGATAATTAAATTGTGTATCTGATTCTCATAAAACATACAGGGTGTTCCATTTAAATTAAACAAGTTATTGCCGTTTAAAGATATTAATTATTTAAAATAAAATTTTGGACACTCTGTATAAGGTAGTACAATTTTTATTATTGCAGCACAATAACTGATCGATAAATAAACTTCAGTAAATATTTAGTATTAAAAACTTTGATACCCTGGCAGAAATGAAGCCTTAAAATTTTGACTGCAATTTCACAAAATTGAAAATATTTCAAAAACGGTAAGGTTTAAGTATAATAAACCTTAATCAAATTTACCTTTATTTTAATCGTAGAAACTAAAAATGTAATAATATACAGGGTGTTCCATTTAAAAAAATACAACTTTGATATTTTTTATTTATTTGGGACACTCTGTATCTTGTAAAAATATTTTTAAATTGTAGCTCTAATAGTCCTTCAACGAACCCCAAACTCACAATTTGTAAAAATCTAATCGTTTAGCTACAATACTCCGCGTCGTATGTGGTGAACAACCCTGTATAGTTACTACAGCTTTAAACGGCAATAACTTGTTTAATTTAAATGGAACATCCTGTATATTTTACGAGAATCAGAGACACAATTTAATTGTCTATCAAATTGTATTATACCATTTTTTACCTATATCTCTTCAAGTTTTCGTAGAAAATTCATTTTCTTATAAATTAGACCTCATTTATCACTATACCCATGGAATATTGACATTTTACATTATTTTTAAAGATGTAACAAATTTTCAAAGAGTAGAGATACTAATATTGTCGATATAGTTTGCTTATTTCATTAAAAAATAAATAAAAAACTGTTTAATTATTATTTGTTAAAGGGGGCCAATTAATATGATCCCAGTATTCAAACTACATTAAATGTCTGTTTACGTTGATTAATAATAATTGTTCGAAATACTAAAAAACTGATTTTTGAATGTGTATTAGACAGTGTGCTAAAAAATAACAATAACACTAACACAACAACCAGAAAAGACAAATAAATAGGAAGTTTAAATCATACAAAACTTTAGTTATAAAATAGAGTGCTAATAAAAAAATTAGTAATTAAAAAATAAATAATAAAAAACAGCAAACAAAAAGTTAATTTTGCTTTGCGCCCTTTCTAGACACGTGTGGCCACTGAATAAATTTGTTATGTTTATTTTAGAGGCTCTATAATCCAGTTTTTCGACCTAATGCATTTGATCTTTCCTGCAACAGAAACACTTATTTATCCCCTACGACCACCTGTGTTTACTTTTCGGATTTTGTATTACAGGTAGCCGAATAAAAGATAACCGGGAAATGTTTGATTTATTTTCCGTATCCCACGATGTGAAAGACTGATTAGAAATCTATTCAATCAAAGAAGAAAAGATTAGAGATATAAATTGAACAACAAAACATATATAAACAATAAAATTTCTTTAACTAATTTTGATATTAGTAACCTACAGAAAACACAAACCTTTTACCAAAAAATAAATAACTATAAACGATATTCAATATGTAAACCTAAATAAACTTGGTAAATGAAATTATTTTAAAAATTTTTTGGCGCTAAAAAATTAAATACGTGTTTTACTGGTTGCCTATGTCAAAAATATTTTTGTGCTTTTAATAAGTTTTAAAAATGTAGTATTTAAAATAGAATAAAGAAGACTCGCTGGATACAAAAAGAGAAATAAAACACACTTTAAATTATTCAATAATATATTAAATAGCCAAAACTTTTCTCATAAATATGGCTAGGAAGTACGAGTTCCTTATATTTCTCGTTTAAAAAACTATTAGCGATAGTTTGAAACAACTGAAACTTTACTTGTTGTATGTAAAAATTTATATTCTTTTAGGATATGTCTTACTTTGATCTGAAATGGTATTAGTTTTAAGGGAATGGTAGGAAGAGACAACCCTATTTCCTGTCCAAAAAATTCTCTATGGCTATTTCGAATATTATATATTATTCTCGAATAGTTGAATTTAAATATTTTAAATAGTTTTTTTTCTTTATTCTTTGAATTTTTTTTGCTTCCGACGAGGGAAGGAGATAAACTTTTCGAAACATTAAGCATTTTTTTGTTCGTTAGGCAAAACATATAGGAATTTTTTTGAAAAATGAATTTGCCACAGGTATAGACAATTTTTCTATTTCCTGGTATATTATCTAATAAAGTTGATTATATTAATTGTTTTTTCTTACTTATTGCTCTGACACAACTGAATTTTACAGGAAATATATACGAGAAATTGCGCCAAAATTAAATTCGTTTTGAGTGTTTTACTGGTTGCCTAACTCACAATTTTTTTAACTTAAACTTTGAAAAGCAAGATTTAAATTAGGATTAAAAGGATTTGAAGGTACGAAATAAATAAAACACACTTTAAAAATGGTTCAATAGTATATTAGATATCAAACAAACTCCTTCAACTGCACCACCTAGAGTCCAACCGGATTTTTGTAAAATTCAATATTATACCTTCATCGAAATGGATTAACATTTATAGCCCTTTATAATCGAAAAATTCCAAAAAAATAGTATTCGTCGAACAGTTGAATGGTTATGTTTTGAAAAATCTGGCGATTACAAGGAAAGAAGTGAGTGAACATGTTTTACTTTTTGTTGCATAATAAAACCCCGCTTTGGGGGTAGTTTTTTTTCTATTTCTAACGATAATAATAATAATATGGATGCCCTTTACCCACAGAGCCAATATACATTTAATATAATTCGAGAAAAACATCATTTTTCGTGATTTTTTCTCACTTTTTAAAAACATCTCGCAAAAAAATTCAATTTATATTTCTACTAGTAGTTAATTTATGCTGAAATATTTTCTAAATACATTTCGTTTATTTATTTATAAGCGTTAGATAAAAGGTTACTATTTTTTAATTAATTGCAATTAAATTATATTCAAGACCGCTACTATTTAATAAAGACTTTAATATAATTAATTAATAAAAAAACACAATTCATACATATCAGGGAGGGGGGCAAAATGTAACAGGGGAAAATATATTAAAATTTTTATGCTTGTTATTACAATATATACTGAGCGGTCTAAAAAAACAATTAAGCCTTTTATTGAAACAAGTAAAAAGCACAGTTTCTAACGATTATTACCAAGCGCGAAAAAAAAATTATATAAAAAAGAGAGGAATTATACAATAATTATAATAATATAGGAGTAAATAACAATAATATTGAGAAGCAATACTTTTTTTATGTTTTACCAACAATTACTAAGAACAATAATATTGTGTCCATTAAAAGGAGACGATGCTGCTAAATACTAGAACATTTGTTTATTTTTTATTATTATTTTGGCTAAATTTGAATAATTAAATTCTTCGGGCTACCTGACTGAACCAAACAAAGACTCTGTATAGTCTCGAATATCCCATTTCTGATATTTTTTCGGTTATGTTGACGTGTGATTCAATGACATTCATAGACATCTGTCAAAGTAACGAGTAACAAATATATTCACGACTATACAGCACTTTTTTTTGTAAGAATGCAGATTCGTACTGTGTAAAAAATGCCTTTTTGGTTCATTTTGTATTAAGGTACCAAGACAAAGAGAATATACATTATTTTGTATGCACATACTGTTTAGAAAAATCAGTTAATAGAGAGGAGATTCACTCATATTTCTTGATTTGTTTTTCCTTTTTTAAAACGTTAATAATTTGTTATATTATGTTTATGTATAATAGGTTATGTCTTATAAAGTGGCGCGCTTTTTTTTGTAAATATTGTCTCCCTATGAGCAACAGCGCAGTTTTGGGGGAATTCCCTAGAGTTTTATTTTCAGAGGGCGGTCGATAAATTTAAAGATTTTATATTATCTTTTCTCTATCGAAAAAAGTTTCATGTTTTTATGTTTCTTGTAAGATGCGTTGTTTTTTTAGAGATAATTTAACATAAATATTACGAACAATCAAAATAGACTTATCAAAGTGTTTAAAATGCCATTCTTTATTCTTCAAAGTGTATAAATTTGGTTGAAGTTAAAAATAATACACCTTGTGATAGTTGGAAAAAATAAAAAGATCAATTAGATGCATCTATTCTGATTCAATTCGTATTTTTATCGCGACCGGTTTTAAAAAAAACTTGAGAAATTTTATAGAAAATTATACGCCAAAAGATTCAGATATCCATAGAAATGTATAATGAACATATGATTGTAGTAAATATAGGAAAATATTAATCAAATATATGACAAACCCTATGTTCTAAATAACTTCATTTATATTATATCGTCATTTTTAGACGTGATATTTGAATGAACATAGGCAAAATATTATTGCATATTAAATCCTATATTCTCACTAAAAATGCACGTGTACAACAATTCCCATGTTCTCAATGAGAACAAAGGTATTATTATATCCTATGTTCTCATTATGAACACAGAATTTATATAACAATTCCTATGTTCTCAATGAAAATATAGGAGATATTGTATCCTATGTTCTCAGTGAAGAACTTAGAAATTATTGTATCCTGTGTTTTGAAATGAGAACACAGGAATAGCTGAATCCTAATGTTCTAAACAAAGAACAATGAACTTATTACATCCTATGTTCTCATTATGAACACAGAATTTGTATAACAATTCCTATGTTCTCAATGAGAATATAGGTGATATTATATCCTATGTTCTCAGTGAAGAACTTAGGAATTATTGTATCCTGTTTTGAAATGAGAACACAGGAATAGCTGGATCCTAATGTTCTCAACAAAGAACAATGAAATTATTACATCCTATGTTCTCAATGAAGAACATTAGGAATTGTTAAAACCTATGTTCTCAATGAGAACATAGGATATATAAATATATGTAGGCAAATCATTAAAACAGAAGGAACATAGGTACAATATTGTATCAGAAATCCTATGTTCACACATTTGGAACAAAAACCTATTTAAATTTGATGGCTAGGTATGCAAATCATTATAAAAAGTTCATTACCCAAGTTCAATTAATACAGATTAAAAAAAACAAGATTATAACCTTAAAATCTGAACCGGACGCGACAAGTTAAAGCGTAAAATTTCTGTTTTTTGTTCTTATATTTTCGGTTTATATATTTACGAAATGTACGGTCCAGGGAGATCATCTGAACAAAGAGTGTTTGCTTGTGTCTACGTCTATAACATATTATGCGAACCATAGCGATTCCGAACCAATCTCAAAACCGCTCCAATCCAAAAACACAGATCTAATATTATATAAATACCATAAATATGATCACAGTGGCTGCCCAATCGTCATAGTTGCGGACGATCTTACTTCATCGTTACTTCATCCTTATTTTTCTTCCTTATCAGTCGATATATAATTATAACAGTTTGTAACAAATATATAAAAATATACAATATGCTCTTTTTTTTCTCGAAAATGATCAGTCGTATATAAAGAGAGAGAGAAAGAGGTTGACCAATAATCTTTTACTCTTATTTCATTTTCTTTTTAATTCATTCCTTACGACGCTTTTTTTAATATCGTCCGACCCTGTATATGTGAGCAAAAACACCAAAAACATAGTCCTTTGATGCGCGATCACGATTTTCAGCGTCGTGGAAGGTAGTTGTCATCAGAAGGGGGATGAATGGGGAAAATAGAGGCCTTTTTTGGAATCATGTCCAAAAAGGGGACCTCAGGGGCGTACGAGGGGGTTGGGGGATGCACTTAGATCTCGACGGGTCCCGGAGGTGCGTCCCCTTGACCCTGGTGATCTTGTGAGCGTTTGCAGTCTTCTGTTTTTTCCGGGCTGGGGGAATCCCTGTTCGGTTCCGTCAGCACGTCACTGACTAGAACGTCTCTGTGAAGGAAAAAGAAACATCAACTTTTTTCTAGAATACAACATTATACAGGGTGGGGAGATTCCTCACGTAAAAATAAGATTTATTTTTCATTTCTACATAGGTCCGATTCTGCTTTGTTTTGTAGCTACAGGGCGTTAAAGTATTAGTAATTTCTCGATTTATTATAATTTTCTTCCAAGTACCTTTAGTTATTTGTAAGAAATTTTGAGGGTAAAAGTTACTATAATATTAAAAACTTTTGCAAGTTAATGATATTAAATAAAAAAATGCCAAGACTGTAACACCCTGTACTTCCCCTAAGAGATGCAAGACCTTGTCGTTGGTGGGGAAGCTCCTGGTCAGGTGCTGGGGGGAATCCCCTCTAGCACTTGGCTTGGTCTAAGAAGCATCTCACTCATCGACTTGTCCCTGACTGTAGTGTCGTGGCCAGGGAATTGCACCAAGACATATAACGATACCGGGCGGGGCTACGGACAGCCTCAACCTTGGGGCACCCCATTGTATTTTACCCCTTACTTCTACATGCGGGGCTCTGTAGAAGTGGACCGACTGTCCCTAGCGACTCATAGGAACACTATGAGATCTGATAATAATAGTAATAAAAACATCACCGGTGAAGCTGTGGGGGAACCCCCTAGCGACACTGGGAACAGTAACAATGAATGTTCCAAGGAGCCAAACCCAAAGAGAACTACAGGAGAGGTGGCTGACACTTGCGTGAGACCATCCTCCGCAAGTGGCATACAAGCTACCACCTCCTCCAAGGGGCGGGAGCCTACCTCCTACCTCTAAACCCAACAGGCGACACAAGCTACCGTTTCGTCTACCCGGCCTGGGTCGTAGCTCCTCGACTGTGAGGGACACGGGTCTCCGTAGGAAGTCCTGGGACTGTATGATGAGTTATAAGTCAAGAAAGGGGGACACAATAGATCTCTAAGGTCGCAGAGATTAACCTCCCTCCCACTTATTCTAATTCTATTCTAACACCCTGTAGCTACGAAACAAAGAAGAATCTGACTATGTTGATATGAAAAAGAAATCTTATTTTTACATGAGGAATCTCTTAGCGAGAAATGGCACATATTTTTTGAAACACCCTGTATAGTTACAATATTTATATTTATTATGACTAGAGTTATTGATATTATTGATGCACTTGTGCAATACCATAAAAAACATGTTTAGAAGAAAAAATGTAAGATAAAAACGTTAATAACTTTAGAAATGTGTGTAAGAAGCGAAGCTGTTAGATGTTTTGGCGTGATCAGAGCAAAGTGTTTTGACGATATTTTTTAAAGCATTTCTTTCTCTAAAATTACGTACCCAACTTCGGTTTTAACAGTTAAAGCGAGCCCCTTCGACTGCTTTTCCTTGTTAGGTTTGTTAGTGCTGCGCTTTTTGCCTGCCTACAAGAAACAGAAGCAGATATTAACACGGGAGAGAATGTGAGTCAAGACCCATCAAAATTTTCGTTTGTGTGCATTCCCCATTCCCAATATAAGATTTTAATCTAAAACTACAATAATTTAAAACATGCACCATAATTATATAACATAAACAAATATACTAAACAACTTAAATTTATATTAGTAAAACAACTAATAAGAAATAAGGAAAATTCACATTACTAAAAGATTTACCCTGTATATTATTTGTATAGTCTGTACCACAATCGTACAACGTTACGTCATCGTTTAGGTTTAAACAAAAAAGCAAGAAAAAATTTAGAATTAGTTAATCTTAAGTGAATTTCATAAATGATCGGTTTACTACACGTGTGTACAGGGTGTCCCACTAAGAATAGCTCTCGGCTGTATCTCGGAAAGTATTAACCGTAATAACTAAAGAGGCTATGGAAAATTGCTGGAAATTATTTTTTAAGTTTGTAGAACGACCGCTAGGGGGCGCAACTGCAACGAAAAATAAGAAAATGGAGTTTTTACACAATTTTGCCTAGATAAGGTGTACTATAAGTAACAGCTTCACAATCTTCAATAGATTTTGAATATTTTTTGTTAGAGCCATTTTCCCCTATCTGCCAAAATTGCGTTAGATCTGTTTTTATTTGAATATTAATAACTCTGGACTGGATGATCGGAATCCAACAAGCGAGGGCTCGTTTAAAAGAACGTTTCTTACTCCATATTGTACCATATAAACAATAATAATAAGCTTTTGTGCGTAGACGCTAGGGGGCGCTGTCTTACAATTTAACAAACATTGCGCGTTTTTTCAAAAAAATTAAATGCAATAGTATATGTAATTTTAGCTGATAGTAAAGAGTAGTAAAAGCTTAAAGTCAGCGAAAACCGCATCTTGATATCTTCTTTCAAACCGAAGATATTAGAAAAATTATAATAAATACCAAAAAATAAGCCCTTAATTATCTTACTTTTGCAACACGGCATCAGTAGCCCTCTTGATTATGCTCATTCTAACCTAAAAATAAGATAGAAACAGTTAGTTTATTTTAAAATCGACGATATACCAGAATATCATAATATCAGATGTATTAATATCTAATAATTAAGATATTAATAATAGTGAACAAGAAACGATGATTCAGTGAAGTCATGGTAGGCTTTGGAAAACAGTTGCTTTTGACCTAATAGTATAAACGTCAAATTGTTATTAGATCAACATTTTGATAGTCTTAGCAGCGTTTTTTATCTTTTGATTGCTTTTTCAAAATGCCAACAACTTCAACTGCTACAAATAATACAGGCATTTTGAAAAAGCATTTAAAAGATAAAAAACGCTGCTAAAACTATCAAAATGTTGATCTAATAAAATTTGACGTTTATACTATTACGCGAAAAGCAACTTTTTTCCAAAGCCTACCATGACTTCACTGAATCATCGTTTCTTGTTCACTATTATTAATATCTTAATTATTAGATATTAATACATCTGGTATTATGGTATTCTGGTATTTCGTTGATTTTAAAATAAACTAACTGTTTCTATCTTATTTTTTTGTTAGAATGGGCCTAATCAAGAGGGCTACTGATACTGTATTGTAAAAATAAGGTAATTAAGGGCTTATTTTTTGGTATTTATTATAATTTTGCTAATATCTTCGGTTTGAAAGAAGATATCAAGATGCGGTTTCGCTGACTTTTTAAGCTTTTACTACTCTTTACTATCAGCTAAAATTACATATACTATTGCATTTAATTTTTTTGAAAAAAAACGCGCAATGTTTGTTAAATTGTAAGACAGCGCCCCCTAGCGTCTACGTTCCTTATTATTATTATTATTATTATGGTATAATATAGAGTAAGAAACGCTCTTTTAAACGAGCCCTCGTTTGTTGGATTCTGATGATCCAGTCCGGAGTTATTGACATTTAAATAAAGACAGATCTAACCTTCCCCCACCACTTTATTTTAGCAGATATGGAAAAATGGTTCTAACAAAAAAAATCCAAAATTTGCTGAAGATTATGAAGCTATTATTTATAGTACCCATTATCTAGGCAAAATTCTGTAAAAAATCTATTTTCCTATTTTCCATAGCAGTTGCGCCACCTAGCGACCGTTTTACAAACTTGAAAATAATTTCCAGCAATTTCCCATGGCCCCTTTCGTTATAAATATTTTTTTCCGTAAGCACTACGGCTAATACTTTCCGAGATACAGCCGAGAGCTATTCTTAATGGGACACCCCGTATATTATAGTCACTTACTAGTGAAAAGTTATTCCATTCTTTCCCTCGATTTTTGACCGAGATCTACCGCACGCTACACAAATATTTTACAGTCTTTTTCGGTAAATCGCAATAGTGTCACTGTTAATTTTAAGTTCTAGCACAAAAAAATCCTTCTAGATTCACTACCTCTAAACAACTACCAGTTTTACAATAAATAATAAATAACATAAAATAAGCTCGGTAAAGAATTGTGTCAAATACCTACGTCTACCATGCATGGATACATCGACCTTGTTTTCACGTGAAAATTAAACAATATATGACGTAACGTTCCATGATAATTGTACAGACTTTATCTAAAATCTTACATCCCAAAAATACATAAAAAACAAAACTAAAAAAAGCCTCAACCTACCTGATGATTCTTCCTGTTGCCCACCGGAAAAGTAGGCTGTCCCGGCTTCTGCGGACCTCTCCCCCTCCCGTACCCTCCGCTACCCGGATTAAATCCCCTTCCCCTCGCCCTAGGCACCGTCATACCCGCGGGCAATATCTGATTCTGCCTGGCGTTGCCCTGGTAGCCATAATTAGCTCCCCAGGACCCCACGACCACTCCGGCCACCTGAAGTTGGCCTCCCCTCGAAGGGATCGGCCTGCCTCTCAGACCTGGCGCAGGCCGGCCGGATTGCAATTGCAACGCGGGCAAATAGTGATGAGGGGGAACGGTTCCGGGTCGAAACATCGGTCCTCCTGCGAATTGAGGCGGAGGGATTTTAGCAAACTTGGCTTCGAGGCCTTCGAGGATGGCTTTGCGCATGCGTTCGACTTTGACCACGCGGTCGATGTAGTTGTCGCACACTTCGAGGATGTTTTTGGCGTGCGAGGCGCGGGCCAGGGTGTAGTGGAAAAGTTTGCCGTCGAAGTAGAGCCAGGGACAGCACATGAGCCAGGGTAGGGGAGCGCCGCAAGCGTCGTTGGCTAGGATGGCCATGTCGACGCCCTTCATAAACAGAGCGGCCAGTTGGACGCCTCTGCTGGACACCGCATTCAGCTACAAAAGAATATAAGTTTTTTTTTTATGTTTTAGAGTTTTGAGTTATTCAGTTCATTTTTTGAAACAATAAAAATCATTCATTTAATTCAATGATATTTTTTTCATCAGGACAGATTTTTTTTTCAAACTTTACTTAGGTTCGTTTACTTTACAGAAAATGGAAGAAATAAAATCAGTAAAACTTCTTCAAGTCTATTTCTAATAAGCTTCAAGTCTTTTTATTAATCTGAATGACCTCCAGATCAATTTCAAACAGTTCTTGAACTTTTTTCGGCAAAAACAATTAAAATAAACCTTAGAGTATTAGATAACTAGACACGACTTCTTAGTGGTAATAATGTAACCAACATAAATAATTTTGCTTCATTTTAAGCCAATTTGTATTTTTTCCACAAAAGCGTTTAAAAAAAGACGGTTTAAAAGCAAATCTACTGATTTGTATTAATTTCAGTGACTTCAAAATCAATTTAAAGCAGTTTTTTGAATATCTTCACCAAAAACAATTTAAATTCACCTTAGACTATTAGAGAACTAGACAGATCTTAGCGGTAATAATGTAATCAACATAAATAATAATATTATGAAAGCCTTTAAAAAACATTTTGGACTATTTTTGAATATATTCAGCAAAAATAATTATAATTTAAATTCACCTTAGACTATTACACAGCTAGACACATGTTCTTATCGGTAATAATGTAACCAACATAAATAATAATATTATGCTACATTTTAAGTCAAGTTATTTGTATATTTTAATGAAAGCCTTTAAAAATATTTTAAACCATTTAAAAACAAATCTAGTCTTTTTATTAACCTAAATGACCTCCAGATCAATTTCAAGCAGTTCTTGAACATTATCGGCAAAAACAATTAAAATAAACCTTAGAGTATTAGATAACTAGACACGTTTTCATAGCGGTAATAATGTAACCAACATAAATAGTAATTTTGCTTCAATTTAAGTCAATTTCTTTGCATTTTTCCACAAGTGTTTAAAGCAAATCTACTGATTTTTATTCACTTCAGTGACTTCAAAATCAATTTAAAGCAGTTTTTTGAATATCTTCAGCAAAAACAATTTAAATTCACCTTAGACTATTAGAGAACTAGACAGATCTTAGCGGTAATAATGTAATCAACATAAATAATAATATTATGAAAGCCTTTAAAAAACATTTTGGACTATTTTTGAATATATTCAGCAAAAATAATTATAATTTAAATTCACCTTAGACTATTACACAGCTAGACACATGTATTAGCGGTAATAATGTAACCAACATAAATAATAATATTATGCTACATTTTAAGTCAAGTTATTTGTATATTTTAATGAAAGCCTTTAAAAATATTTTAAACCATTTAAAAACAAATCTAGTCTTTTTATTAACCTGAATGACCTCCAGATCAATTTCAAGCAGTTCTTGAACATTATCGGCAAAAACAATTAAAATAAACCTTAGAGTATTAGATAACGAGACACGTTTTCATAGCGGTAATAATTTAACCAACATAAATAGTAATTTTGCTTCAATTTAAGTCAATTTCTTTGCATTTTTCCACTTAAATCTACTGATTTTTATTCATTTCAGTGACTTCAAAATCAATTTAATGCAGTTCTTGAATATCTTCAGCGAAAATAATTTAAATTCACCTTAGACTATTAGATAACTAGACGCATCTTCTTGGCGGTAATAATGTAACCAACATAAATAATAGTTTTGCTTCATATTAAGTCAAACTATTTGTATTTTTTAATGAAAGCCTTTAAAAACGTTAAAAATCAACTTCAAGCAGTTTTTGAACATTATTAGCCAGAACAATTAAAGTACACCTTAGACTAGTAAATAACTAGACACGGTCTTTTTAGCAGTAAAAATGTAACCAACATAAATGATTTTAGTTAACTTTAAGTCAATGTTTTGTTATTTTTTATCAGAAGTATTTAAAAAATTTCCTAGACTAGTTAAAAACAAATATCCTGTCTTTTTTACGAATTTGAATGACTTCAAAATCAATTTCGAACAGTTTTTTGATTATTTTCAGCAAAAACAACTAAAATACACCTTAGACCATTATATAACTAGACACGGACTTCTTAGCGGTAATAATGTAACCAACATAAACAATAACTAAAGAGAACTTAAATTTACTCACTCAGAAAACGTGACGTCACAACTTAAACTGTCCACTGATACAAAAAATAAATTACTAGACATGCGCTTACCGTCAATTCTTGCAAATGCTGCACGTTCATCAAGTTCGGGTTAAAAGCCTGACACAAGAACGCATCCAACTCATTCCTCCTCATAATCGGCTTGTCCTGAGACATAATATACCTAAAACCAATCCCCAAAGGCTCATAACCACACTTATACAGGTTAAAAACTCAATTTTTTCTACCTCAAAACGCACGCCATGATGAGCATATGCTGCGGGACATAGGCGGTGTTCAGAATGAGGGGTGTGTCCGAGCTGAGACAGGACAGGAAGGCCCTCATGCGCCTGCGCTTATCATCTAGGGCGGGACCGAACCAGAGACGCTGTAGGGTCGGTACTGCCCACGGTAAAGGTTCAGCTTTAACTTCCTCTGGACGCTGGAAAGGATTGGAACGACTGTAGACCCATTCTTTGACTATGACGTCTGGATGGGGTGCATCTTCGGCTACGTCACCATTTTCTAGTAAAAAAAATATAAGTTAAGGCTTATATACATATAAAAGCAAAATACTTATAATTTCTTTTTTAATATTTCCCTTAAATATGTGTATAAAAATCTTACACAAACCTTTCTTTTTCAAGTGAACGTATCTTAGATGGTGCAAATTGAACAAAACCGCATAAACTCTCTGTCTAAGGGTTAGGTACACGTCATAGATTGGTGGGAACTCCCTGTTGCCCTCGTCCTCCATCAGGCAGGGCAATCGCACCTCCTGGGTGCTCAGCACGTGCAGGATTGTGGGCGCCATCAGACCCTTTTGGTGGCGTAGCGAGGCAGTGCGTAGAACATCGGGAGAGACGGTGGGAGTAACTATATTGACGCTAGCTAAGTGTTAAAATACAATTTTGTATATAAATTATAAGGTTTTGTACTTTCAAAATAGATAAAACACTATAAAATAAGTCTTTAAATTAATTTGAATTACTTTAAATCGATTTGAAGTAGTTTTTTGAACTTTTTCAGAGAAAATATCTAAATAAACTTAGATCATTAGATCACTAGACACGGTTTCTTAGTGGTAATAATGTAACCAACATAAATAATGATTTTTCTTCCCTAAAGTCCATTTTTTTAACGAAAGCAACTTCCTAGACTATTTAAAACAAATCTACTGTCGTTTTATTAATCTGAATTACTTAAAACCGAAATTCCAAGTAATTTTTGAAATTTCTCAGCAAAAACAATTGAAATACACCTTAGATTATTAGACCGCTAGACACGTCCTCTTAATGGTAATAATGTAATCAACATTAACAATGATTTTTTTCCACAAAAGCGTTTAAAAAAACTTCTTAAGACTATTTAAAAACAAATCTACTATAATTTTATTAAATTCGGTGACTTTAAAATCAATTTAAAGCAGTTTTTGAATATCTTCAGCGAAAACAATTAAAATACACCTTAGACTATGAGATAACTAGACACTTTTTCTTAGCGGTATACAAAATAAATTATTTTGCTTTAAGTTCAAGTCAATTACTTTAAACTTTTCTTGTAACAAAGATATTTAGACACTTCTAGAACTATGAACCCTTCCTGGACACAAACGGTACATTGTGAGACAGGAAATTGTAGAGAGAAACAAGCCCTATAACATAGGATACAACATTTTAATGAACAGTGCTTTGCATGAAATTAATAAAATGAAAAATATACGAAATAAAATAAATGTACTGATTTCTTTCGAAAATCGACAACTATGAAAATATGAACCCTTCCTGGACACAAACGGTACACGGCATACAAAATAAATGATTTTGCTTTAAGTTCAAGTCAATTACTTTAAACTTTTCTTGTAACAAAGATATTTAGACACTTCTAGAACTATGAACCCTTCCTGGACACAAACGATACATTGTGAGACAGGAAATTGTAGAGAGAAACAAGCCCTATAACATAGGATACAACATTTTAATGAACAGTGCTTTGCATGAAATTAATAAAATGAAAAATATACGAAATAAAATAAATGTACTGATTTCTTTCGAAAATCGACAACTATGAAAATATGAACCCTTCCTGGACACAAACGGTACACGGTATACAAAATAAATGATTTTGCTTTAAGTTCAAGTCAATTACTTTAAACTTTTCTTGTAACAAAGATATTTAGACACTTCTAGAACTATTTAAAAATAAAAAATATGCTGTCTTTATTTATAGCCTTAGACCATCTAACAAATAGAGAAGTTTTTTCAGCTGAAGTAATGTAACCAACATAACACTTCCTGTTTAAAATTTCTGTTTTTTTTTTAAACTACATAACAAGGCACAAATTACAAAACATATTAGACCATTTCAAGCAACTAGACCCGCATTTTTCGCTCAATACTTACGACTTTTTGTGGTATGTTCGGATGTTGTCGATTTGGCCGACTTGACCGCAGCACCAGCCAGCTGAGCGTTGGTCTTGGGGGCCGCGGAGGCGACGCTCGAGGACGTGGTAGAAGAGGACCCGCCCCCATTCGAGACGCCGTTAAATCTGGACGTGTCCGTTGGCGATTCATCTAAAATAGAGGCCACCAAGGTTTCTTCTTGTAAACAAAAGCAAAGACACAAAGTCACATTGTGGTACTGACACTGTATCGCAACTGGTGTTAGTAGAGATTATAATAGTCCAATTAGATAGTCTAACGTAGATGTTAGTAAGTTTTGTCGAATAGAAACACTAAAGAAGGAGTATATCAAAAAATTGGTCAAGTTCCGTACCATTCATTATCTATACAACGTTGGATACTATATTATTATAAACTTTTTTTGCCGATTAAGCTGAAATTTTGAATGCGCGTATAAGTAATTTAAAAAAAATGAAGAAACACATTACTAAAAATTGTATGAATCAATAATAAATATGAAAAAAGTAAAAATAAATGTGTAAAAATATGTAAAAATTAAAAAAAACGATTAAAAAAATGACGCCTTGACTAGGATTCGAACCTGCCTTACTACCTACGGCTCCAACGTCATAGCAGCGTAAAGTCGTAACGCTTTAACCACGCTGCCACCGAGGACTTGAAAGATTCTATGTAAAATTCTTACTTAAAAGTTTATAAATAACTTATAAATGTTATTTATAAACATTTATTTAATTCTGTTTTTAGTATTTGTTCTTATAGCGGCAACATAGATACATCATCTGTGAAAATTTCAACTGTCTAGCTATAAGATTAAGATATAGTCTTATAGTCTGTGAAACGAATAACTTTGAATTTGACAGTTCCCACGGGCTTTTCTAGTGTTAATTTTATTAGGTTAGCAACTTGCGACCATGCTGAACTTGCGACAATGCCGTCTCTAATAGAACAGCCTCGGAGCGAGATTTATGACGTCACGCTAACATAATTGTTCCTTATATTTGACTATGGCTGAAATCGTACTCCATAGTCAATGTAGATAGTTTTAGTGTTAAGAATAATAATTTTAAAAAAATATGTGGTCATCTTTTGACAAGTTTATATTAGTTTATTAATTGCAATAAACATTATGTGGTTTGGTTTGGTGTGAATATTTTATATGCAATTTTTTGGATTATATTCGACACTATATTTTTATATGACACAACACTGATGAAGGCTATAATGTTAGCCGAAAATTTTTTTTAAACCAAAAAAATAATGAAAAACCTAATAAAAACTTAATCAGCGTTTTTCGCGAACCTATATCCCAAGAAAATCAAAAATTTTAGAATAATTTTACATTATAAAATGACAACGATCTTTATTTCACAGCCATCGCTGACGCATTTTTTTCTATGATATTGTATTATTTGCAAATATAATTTTTAATGATACTTGCAAAATATATGTACATATAAATTTTGTGAATGCAAATAATAATACATCACTATTAGTATATATTGAATGTTTTTTGTTAAATTAGATCGATTTTCAAGCCCCAAAATTTAAAATATATTTTACATTTACACATTATCTTATGTACCTATTCATTATATGTATATTGTAAAACATTTGCTGCATTTGTATGGTTCATAGTTTATTTGCCAAAGTATTTATTACTATAAATAGGTATATATTATATTTATTAACTGTATATTATGTATATTTCATGTAAACTATATCATTTTTAAAATACAAACCTAAAAATACGAGGAATAATTATGTTTTCCATGTATTCTACAACATATTTATTAATCCGTATCTAATTAGCGTGACGTCATAAATCTCGCTCCGAGGCTGTTCTATTACAGACGGCATTGGTCTGATATTTAGAAATGTCAAAAGCTGATGACATTTTACTTTTGACAATTATGCCATTTCGTGTTGATTTTTGCAAGAAGAGGAAGAACTGTCACTTGTTTTATTATTTTCCTTTTCTATTTCACGTAAGTAAAAAGAGTTACCTATCTGATTCGTTCAGGCACTCAATTTAAAGAATACTTAAAGAATATCAGTAACTTTTTTGATAGAGGGATTTTATATTTGCCATGTTGGTAAAAAATAACGGTCAAAATCCAAAGTTATTCATTTTATAGACTATAGTAATAGGATTCCCGTTTTTACCCTTTGGATACGGAACCCTAAAAATGAGTTTCAACGTGGTTACTATGACGTCTCTTTTGTCATGACTCTTCCCTTAATATTTTTATTCAATAAATTGAACGAATAAAATCACGAAAGTGAACGCCTTTTTTCAAAACCTTTTTAAAAAATTTTATAATAAAAAATATATTAATGGTATTTTTGGTCTTTGATTTTCCTGTTAAACACAACATACATTATAAAATAAACAAGTCACAATAGCAACTCTACAGGGTGTTAACAAATTATGACTAATAGAAAATTTTACCTATAATAGTAAAACAAACATAATAAATGGAAAATATGTTTTTTACAGTATAGTTCACCCAGCCAAAGAATATCTGACACTGACAGTTGTTCTCTTGTCAAAATTTATATCAAAAACTTTTTGTTTTTCTGTCATTTTTTGGACGCTGTCTGTCGAAATAATATATTTTCCCGCCAGAGAAACTATACATGGATTCAGCTGTAATATTTTGCTCATTTTATGTGTGTTAGTATAAAAATAAATAAAATAATAAATAATTTATATTTTTACCTGCAGATTTCAATAAACTATCCATCTCCGCAAACTCCGATGAAAGAACGCTATTGGACGTCAGTAAGTGGTAATTTTGAAGAGTTTCACGCTATAAAAAAAACAACACATAAAAATATAAACAAAACTACACCCCTTGTGCCGTTTAATAAAAAAAGCGTCGCAGTAGCCTTTGAAAATAAAAAAAAACATGGCTACCATGACACCGTTTTTTTTTTCAAACGACCACAAAAAATTGACCAACACGCACCTGTTGTTCTGACGTTTCCGAAGCAAATCCGGACTCGTCCAACTCGGGTTCTTCCTTTGGGGAATTCGGTTCTTTTTGTGAGGCCTGCTTCTGTCTAGGTTTGACTTAAATAATAATAAAAAAAATTATACACTTAAAAATATAAAAAAATATTTATTATTCTATTTTCGTTGGATTGAAGAAAAAAAATAAGTACCTGGAGCGCAGTACTTCAAAAATCCGCTCGCCGTGCCATTCAGGTAGTACTGAACCGACTGTCTAAATCTGGACGCCCGTTTATCTTCCAGAGAACCAAAAACCGCGATAACTAGGGCGTCCATGTTGGAGGGGGCTGGGAGACCTCTCACAAAGTCGGCCAAAGTTTTTAGATTATCTGACGCACCCTGTATAGAAAAATGTAAAAATATGTGTGGTAAATTAGAGCATTAGAATTTTAGAATTTAGAATGAGTGGGAGGGGGGTTAATCACTTCGACCTTACAGATCTATTGTGTCCCCCTTTCTTGAATCATAACTCATCATACAGTCCCAGGGCTTTGACAAAAGCCAGTATCTGGGACGGTTTTATAGAGGGTAGTTCTCCATCTCCAATATCAGTCGTACCAAAGTTCATGGCACGAATGGTTGTCGTCTCGGCGCACTCAGTGATGAGGTGTACTGGTGTTTCACCATCTTCCCCACAGAATCTGCATTCGCCGTTTCTTCTTAGTTTCAATCTACTGAGATGTTCATTGAGGAGACAGTGTCCTGTTAAAAACCCCGTGACAATCCGAAGATTGTTCTTACTCAGACCCAGGAAGATCTGTGATTTTTCTTGATCATAAGCCCTCAGAAACTTCTTCGAGTGTCTTAGACCATTGGAAAATTTCCATTCCAGGTTGCGGATGGAATCTTCCAAGTTCTTGAGTTCCGCCTTGAGTTGGTTACCACTTGGAAAGCAGAACGGTTCTGGTTCAGTTAGTGGAGTGTTCGCTGCTTTCCTAGCTAGATTATTTGCTTTTTCATTGCCTTCTATCCCTTGGTGAGCAGGCACCCAGTGTAGGAGGACTTTGTTTTCTTTGCCTAATTTATTCAGCTTCTCTATGCATTCTTTGACCAATTTCGAATTGATTGATACTGAGTTGATCGCCTTTAACGCTGCTTGACTATCGATAAGATGGCTATTTCTTGTTTCCGATAGTTCCTATCTAAGATAAGTTGTACGCATCTCTCGATAGCGTAGATTTCTGCCTGTAGGATACTAGGGTAAGTGCCCATTGGTTCGGAGTAATTAGCTCTCGGCCCAAACATTCCGATCCCTGTTCCCGTATTGGTTTTGGAAGCATCAGTATACCAAGTTATGGTATGCTCTTTTAACTGCTGGGCAAGCGTTTCGCTCTTCCAATTCTTCTTCTTGCTCAATACTACATTGACATGTTTGTCAAAGTTGTACGTTCTTGGCTTTTAAGAATGGCTTAAATTAGAGCATAGAAAAAATCAAAAATAACTTGAACAACATGTTTTGTCATGCTTCAATATTTTTCGCTGTACTTAAACTGCCGTTAAACGGTAGCCTACTGAAATGCCGTTAATAGATATGACGTCGTTGATGCGACGCACCTGACGGCTTTTTAATGCTTTCGTTAAAATGCCGTCGAACGGTCGCGTACTAAAATGCCGTTAATCAATTTGTGTTCCGTTTTCCGTTGCCCTTTTTGGTTAATTATTTTTCATGACTGAAATTAGCATGCTGAAAATTGGGGATAGGTTCAGCTCATTCGCTGACGCAAAGAAAGCGATTGAGGAACTTGGTGAAAATACGTACAGTACGTCTGTCCGTTCTGTAGCTACGGGGTATCCGTGAGAGGGGAAACGATATTCTCTCGATGTTTTCCGTAAAAAAATAGACGACGCGTCCCATCAATAAAAATTCAAGAAATTTGCAAGTAGCCAATAAAATGAGTGGGCGGAGCGATTTGCGGTGACGCACTCGTCAAATCGACGTATAAAATATATTGCTGTTTGTTTAAATGTTTTTTGTCCGCATTCCTTTCATGGACACAGATCCAGCAGATGTACTGTACACAACATTTTGGAAACGAGATGCCCGTATGATTGCAAGCAGTAAAATTGTGAGACCAGTAGAAAGCTATTTGATTTATTATCAACTTCTATATGCATGTAATCACGGTGGAAAGAAGTTTAAGGGCGGTGGGAAAAAAATTCGACAGTCTTGGACATTTAAAGAAGATTGCCCAGTACATGTAAGACTCAAAGCGAAATATGGTAAACTAAAATATTCTATTATCGTCTTATTAGTCCCAATAACTACTCTGTTTTCAGGTGCCAATGTAGCTGTTTTGCGAGACGAAGACAATAATTTGAAAAACAAACTTTGATTTTAAAATACAAACCAAAAATACGAGGAATAGTTATGTTTTCCATGTATTCTACAACATATTTATTAATCCGTAGTATCTAACCACCGTGACGTCATAAATCTCGCTCCGTGGCTGTTCTATTAGAGACGGCATTGGTCTGATATTTAGAAATGTCAAAAGCTGATGACATTTTACTTGTCACGAGAGGAAGAACTGTCACTGGTTTTATTATTTTCCTTTTCTATTTCACGAAAATAAAAAGAGTAACCTATCTGATTCGTTCAGGCACTCAATTTAAATAATAGCAGTAACTTTTTTGACAGAGGGATTTTATATTTGCCGTGTTGGTAAGAAATAACGGTCAAAATTCAAAGTTATACATTTTATAGACTATAGCAGACCTTGCAGTCGAACATTGTTCTTTTTAGAACCCCTTTTAGTGCAAAGTATACAAGATACCTTCATAGACGTTGCGAAAAACTCATCCCAACCTTATTATAATATTTTGAACGGAAAAGTGGTAGTAATGGCCCTTTACGTCCCTTAAGTGCTGTTTGGTTTGGTTTTCCATGTATTCTACAACATATTTATTAATCCGTAGTATCTAACTACCGTGACGTCATAAATCTCGCTCCGAGGCTGTTCTATTACAGACGGCATTGGTCTGATATTTAGAAATGTCAAAAGCTGATGACATTTTACTTTTGACAATTATGACATTTCGTGTTGATTTTTGGAAGAAGAGGAAGAACTGTCACTGGTTTTATTATTTTCCTTTTCTATTTCACGAAAGTAAAAAGAGTTACCTATCTGATTCGTTCAGGCACTCAATTTAACGAATAGCAGTAACTTTTTTGATAGAGGGATTTTATATTTGCCGTGTTGGTAAGAAATAACGGTCAAAATTCAAAGTTATTCATTTTATAGACTATAGCAGACCTTGCAGTCAAACATTGTTCTTTTTAGAACCCCTTTTAGTGCAAAGTATACAAGATACCTCCATAGACGTTGCAAAAAACTCATCCCAACCTTATTATAATATTTTGAACGGAAAAGTGGTAGTAATGGCCCTTTACGTCCCTTAAGTGCTGTTAAAAAGGTGAGTTTTGTCGATGTAAATAATAACGATATTTACAATTAATTTATTTTTGTTTTAATAGCCAAACCGCCACCAAACAGCAAAACTTTATTAACTTAAACCTAAAAATATCCAATAAAACAAAAAAAGCAGGTACTTACATTTTCATCTCTTTCCCTCTTAACCAGATCAATCTTCTTATAAAAATCTTGAAGCTCACTCTCTGGCAGCAAAAAATTACCCAACAAAGCAGCCATTATGCAAATTTGTTCCTGTGTAACGTTTATAGACTTTGTCAACACACTCAACATGTATTCCTTCGTTTCTATTGAACTCTGCAAGAAATTAACCCCATTTTTAAGTATTTGTTTATTCAAAAACCTTAATTGTTACTCACTTTGTATGTTAACTTTAGATTCTGCGATGAAAAATATCTTGGAGGGTCAAAAGCCGCATATTCTGCATCATCGGCTAATAAACCATGGAAACCGTACTCGCGGCAGTAAGCTATAACTTCCTGATGATGATCATCCATGGTACACATCTTAATAAACAAAAAGAATGATACAAATACAAAATTTCCTATTAATAACTCCAAAACGTACCACAGTTATGCCTAAATGCCTCAGAGCCATTCTTAGGGCTGCTCTCAAATAAATTGGAGGTGTCCACCATACTTTTGGAGGTGGTGTAGCCTTAGTATTTATATGTTTCAACACCATACCAACTTTCTGTCTTATATTAGCTTGTTCAACCTTCCATTCCTCCATACGACACTGTTCTATGGTTCCGTTAAAAACAACAGCTATTTCTATGTTACCACGGTCTAGAGCACCACATAACAATGACAAGAACTGAACCATACGGTTCCATTGCCCTCCGCAAGCCCAATCTAAAACCATATCTCGTTTATATAAGCTTTAAAACGTAAATTAAATGTCTTACCCGAAAAGTATCCACCGTACAATCTATCCAAACAATTCTCAGCATCGACAATGAGTTTTAACTTGTTTCCTCCCAAGGGTCTGATCTTTCTGTTGGTGTTGTGGGGTTGCTGCCTTTGACTCACGTTTTTAGCGATTTTTAGGAGATCCACCGAGACAGAACCGCCCTTCAAAAGGGGGCTGGCTAGAAAAGTCTGCAGATCTTGCACTCCCATTGTTGATTCGGTTTTAGTACTTCACAAGATTCAACTGGACATATTTTCCTACAGGTTGAAGAATCGGGTCGATAAAAAATCAGGTTACTTGGGCAGAAAAAACGAAGAAACATTTTTTATTGGCATTTTGCGCTTTCTATAATGGCGGTGCTTTGTGATTGTAATCAAAGGAGTGTATTTAAAAAGTAACTGAGCAAAAAATAATACACTTACAGCTTACAGAGCGTCCCCGACCGTTTTTTCCGAATTATACGGCATATTTTCCTTGTTTTTCGTGAATCTACGTGCCGTCACATCTAACCAGACGCCTTCAAGAATCCATGTTTGGCAAAGTACCGGTTGGAAATAATAAGACGCTTTTCTCGATGTTTCGCTTAATCTGGCTGAAATTTTCAACAACACGGGCCGTCCGCACAAAACCGATCCTTAATTCTATAAATTAAACTTAATAATTCAACAAAAATAACTAGTATTTAGGTGCAAAAATCCATAAATACATCCTCTACAAGACAAGAAGCCAATGTTTTCCGGAAACAGTAGTCATTTGTGGCGCATGACAACCGGACGCTTTCAAAAACGTCAAAGTGCCATTTCAAATTTTCCGGCGGGAAATTCAAACTGGAAATTGTGCTAGGTAATGAGGAGGGTTTTATTTGCTTTATTTTTCATTTTAGATGAGTGTAAATATTGGAAAATTGATTTACACACAATGGGATAGTCGCCGTATCTAATTATACGAGAACTTAGCAGGGATAGTTTTGTTAATTTAATTAAAAATTACCTTGTTGTCATATTTCTAAAAAAATTTCGTTAAAATTGGAAATAAATCGGAAATATCGGAATAGAAAGGTAACTGAGTGATATTATTATATTAAAACTAATTGACGGATGATTCTGTCAGCGATCTAGAACTATAATGATTTATTTTAACTAATTATAAGATGATATTACGCAACATACGTGTATGGTTATTGAACTAATGGCTGCGCGCACGTGTATTTGAAATCATATCAGATCAGTCGGTGTAAAAAGGTGTAAATCAAGGTGTCAGTTTACCTCACAGGTCTACCTTTATCCGTAAATCCATCAAGGTAAGAACTTGATTTGTGATAATATATTATCAGGTTTTTTGAACTAACCTCTGATTGTGCTTAATAAATCTTTTTTATTTTCTTAAAATTTCATCAGAAAAAAATGCCAATTTTTTTGAAATAGGTATATTTGTTTTTTAAATATAGTTACTAAATAGTTTTGGTAGTTTTTTTATTTTTAATTAAAAAAAGCCACCCCCAATTTTTATAACAAAAATATATTTTTATTTCTTGTGGGTCACTGTCATTAAAGCAAAATACTTTAACGTAAATTTATCAGATAATGATTTTATATATATTTTTAATGAGATACGTAAACAATTTTGTTTAAACTGGTTTGATTTGGTATTTGCAAAAATTAAGAGATAAAAATAATGAATTAAAATCTGGGAAAGAGGAATTTGTAATCAATGAATAGAGAGCACTGATATTTTAATTTGAATTAAATAACGCTATCGGTATATTGTCGTTTTGTGTAAATTAGGGTGTTATTGACCGGTAGAAAGCTTAGACTATGTACTAAATAGACACGATATTTTGTCAATACGTTTGAAGCCAAGATATATATTTTTCAGCGTCACTTTGGGACAAAAAAGAAGATAGAATTTGTAGAAAATGCACACAGGGTTATTGTAGAAGACTTTTAATAAAAAGAGAACTAAAAAATTACAGTATCTTCGCTATTTTTGACCTATATTTTACCCCTAATGCTACGCTCATGTATCGTAGTTCTTAAAATATTTAGGGGCATTAAGTTATTGCCAATTTTAATAGCTAGGGAAAGCAAATTAAGCATAACCATTAGGCTGTTTAATTATAGGGTAAATAACATCGTTACTGAACTCTCTAATGCCTTATAGTGATTTCCTTGTTACTTGCCTGCAAATTCATTATACGAGACATGGATGTCTGCTTTCTTTATGGCATTGGAATTTTGAGAATTAACAAGTATAGTAGCCTAATGCTGGTCTTCCAATATAAATTGTTAGGTATAGAGTTAGTTTTTAACACAGTGATCAACATTGTCAGGTAGTTACCCTGAGAGGGTTATACTCTTATTGTTAATTTTATTTTAATACAAGTTAAGTTATACTCAATCTGAGTGCAGAATAATAATTCTACAACTCCCGAAAAGACCCACAACAGATTTTATATGTAAGTAAATCTGAAAATCTTTAAAAACCTTGATCTATTGATTCGTCTTTTGGATTTGTCATTGGTTTGCTGTTATATAATTTTCCATTAGGACTTATAGCTTTTTTAGGCGACTTGGCAACAACTCATAATTATTCATATTAATTTTACTGTGGTTCTCAAAATTTTCAGGGTTGTTGTCAGTCAATTTTTCACCTTTTTCGCCCTTAAATGACGTCGTAGCTTTCAATTTTATAAAATAACGTGTCTATAGATACTTGTTTATGCGTATATTATTGTAATAATCTTAATAATTGGTGTCATTATCATAAGTCCGATTATTTCTTTGCTAAAAACATGGAAATATTGGCCTCAAGATGTGTTAAACTTTAACAAAACAATTAGCGTGATATTTGAACTAAACTTGAGCATACTCTTTGGCCTTTTCTTGGAAATTATCGGTTTTAACCACTTAATAGGCACTTAAATTCAATTAAATGCTTGGGAAAGATCTCTAAAGAACGTAAATTACAGTCACCATACAGAGTGATACACGTTTACAGTCTGATAACATCGACTGTCATTCCCTTGCCTTATTCGTTGACGCCGTTTTTGGTTCACCCTGTACAGGGTGGCGCCTCTCATACGCCGCGGAAGCTGCAAGGAGAACGGTACTTTATATCGAAATCGAAATGAAATTTTGGCAGCATATGTAGGTTAACTGAAAGCATTTTATAAAAATATATAGAATTATACAGGGTGTCCCCAAAAAAAGTTACACATCAAAGTTGTGTTTTTTCTAATGGAACACCCTATATATTAATTGATTTTTGGATTCTAGGGAAAAAATAAAGGTGAGTTTTATTAAAGAGTCGTATACCTAAAATATAAGGATTTTGACATATTTCACATTTTGTGAAAATGAAGAGTAAATAATAAATTTCGATAACAGCTACCTAAATTTTAGTTGACCTTGTATAGCCTGATATTTAGTTACAGTAACCATTGTGTGTTAAACCAAATTGAAATTTCACCCGAAAAGTTATACAGGGTGAGACAAAATCAATATGGAACATTAGTCACTTTTAAAAGCAAGTTACTCCTTTATTTTAAATGGAACACCCAGTATATTTTCCTGTGTTCAATGGGGAATTTATATATCTTCAAAATACTATTAAGGTTGCCTACCCCTCAGACAAAGATTTTCACAGATATTTTAGTTTTTATGATTTTGCGTCAGTAAATCATTATTATTTGAAAAAAATCGGTAAATTTCTGAGAATTTTTTTTGTTTTAACTGACACAAAATGATAACTAGTTGTTAAAGTTGGACTAATTAGACAGCTATGTTGAAGTAACGTCAGACCATATCACAGCAACCTAGATTTTATCAAATAATAAATCTACTCAGATCAAATCATATGTAAATGAAAATATCTAGGAAAATCTTTGTTTGAGGGGTAGGCATGCAACCTTAATAGTATTTTGAAGAGATATGAATTCTCCATTGAATATCGGAATAATATACTGGGTGTTCCATTTAAAATAAAAGAGTAACATGCTTTTAAAGGTAACCAATGTTCAATATTAATTTTGTCTCACCCTGTATAACTTTTTGGATCAAGTTTTAATTTGATTTAAAGTACAATAGTTAATTTAACTACGTATTAGGCTGTACCGGGTAAATTCCAATTTAGGTAGCTTTTATTGTAATTTCAATATTATTCTTTATTTCTAGAAAATGTTAAATATTTCAAAAACCTTACATTTTAGTCACATACTTCTCTTATAAAACTTACCTTTATTTTTCTCCCAGAATCCGAAAATCGATTAATATATAGGGTGTTCCGTTACAAAAAAGTTTTTTTGAGCACACCCTGTAGAAATCTCTATATTTTTAAAAAGTGCTCTGAATTAACCTCTGAATTAATTAATTAATATGTTAACAAAATTTCATTTCAATAAAAACTGTCGTTCTCCTTGGAGTCTCCGCGGCTTATGAGAGGCGCCACCCTGTATATAAAGCTCGAGCTTATTATTTTCCATAAATAGCCCGTTGTAAATGATAAAACCCAACCAAGACAAGCTTATCTGTGTTGTATATAAATTATTTGCGAGTATTCTCGGTTCATTTTTGCACAGTCATTTTCAGACAATCGGGTTTGTGTTTAAATTTCTTAATTTTTGGAAAAGATAGGAAAAAACAACTTGTAATATTCAAATATAACTGCTTTGCGAGCGGTTTTGTGCATAGTCATTCGCTGTTGGTTCCGATTATTTGATTTTATTCTAATTTTGAAGATATACAGAGTACAGAAGTGAAAAAACTATGACTGAACAAAATGGATTTAGACCGTTTCCCAGGGGATTCGCTACAGCGGCTATCCACCACGATCAGGAGCCAGAAAAATGGGACTCAATGGCTGTTGTAACGCCCATTGTAACGTCTTCAACTTACAAGCAACACGGGCCTGCAAATCCAAAAGTAAGTCCCTAGAAATTATACACAAAATGTGCGCCAGTGACTTTTTCTCCTTTGAGCAACACTGTGTAGGCCGATTAATGCCAATTAAAAGTTGTATCTTGATATTTTGTCGATTATTTCGATCCCCTTGATCAGATAAACGCAAACAATTGATAAAAATAAAATAAAAATTAAATTAATAAGTTATTTATTTAATCTGATTTATTATTAAGTTTTATTAACATTTATAACAATGATGTTTAGTGCTGCCAACAGCAAATTCCTTTAAAAAATAGTTTTTAATATTTATTTTTTAAAAGTTTTAACATCTCGTAAATTTAAAACTATGTATTTCCGCACCTATACAGGGTGTCCTAGAAATAAGTGCAAGTATTTTAAGAGGTGGTAGATCTCGATAAAAGAAACATATTTTCTCTTTATCGTTTTTCAAATCAGTCCAAAATAACGGAGTTATTTTACTGTGAAAATTTCCAAAAAAAAATAATTTTTTGCTAAAATTTTGAGAACCACTTGATCTTTTCTGGATTTTCAATCTTATAAATTTAATCTGATACCTATGTTGCCATATTATCAAGACATTATGTTTTTTAACTAAAAATTAATAAATTTCCAAAAAATTTTTCAAAGAATTTCGAATTCTCAAATGTTTTTTTCGCGAAAAAACCTCATAGGCGTGTTTCTGAGGTTGAACTATACTATAAATAAATAAATAAATGCCTTTATTGTCAAAAAATTTTTCAATTTGTAGACAAAGGTAAACTAACAAACAAAGTAAAAAAACAAGGTACACAAACAAACAAACAAAAGATAATACAAAACATTATACAAATAATATTGTCAGTCTTATTGTTAAAATAAACATTTATAAATGTTTACAATGTCAAAGAACAAAAAAATAAAAATAATATTCAAAAATATTTAGCTAGTTTATAGTAAAACATCAATGACCTCTAAATAAATTCATTTCGATGTCATTAGTAAATATAGCGATAGCAAACATTAGACCAGTGTTTACAAAATCAAATTCGATTTTCAAAATATAATTCATTACGGCGTAGAAAGCCTTGTAAATAAAAGTTCAATGCTTGGCGAAATGAAAAAAATGATGTTATGGATTTGATTTCAAATGGCAGGTGATTGTGCATTTTTTTCGAGTTGTATAATATTGAACTTTTAACTAACTCTGAGCGTGGGGTAGGTAGATAAAGATCTTGCTCCGCGTTCCTGAGTGGATGAGTGTGAGATGGCCTTTCTTGAGAAGCTGATACATGTTTACGTATTAGGCAAACCGATTCAAATATAAATAAGGAAGGAAGAGTCAATATTTCTAATTCTTTAAAAAAGTCCCGGCAATGAGTTGTGCTGTTTAGTCCCAGTGAATATCTCTTCCTAGAGCTTGAAAATGCGGTCAAATTGAGTCGCACAACACGTACCCCAGAATGGAAGGGCATACCTGAGGTGCGACTCAAAAAGTGCATAATAAACAGTTCTAGCCACTGACAAGTTAAGCTCCTTAGAAACAGACCTGAATGCAAAACAGGCAGAGCTCAATTTTTTCGACAAAGCTTCGATATGTATGTCCCATTTCAGAGAATTGTCCACAACAAGCCCTAAGAATTTTACAGATTTTACGACGTCAGTGGTGGTGTTGATAAGCACAAAAGGCTGCAAACAAGAGTTTTGATACGACAAAGCTTTAGTTTTAGAAATGTTGAGACTCAGGAGGTTCGAATCGCACCAAGATTTAATGGTGATTAAGTCATTTGATATAATTCTATGAAGTGCCGTGATGTCCTTGTTGCTCCAAGTGAAGCTAGTGTCGTCCGCAAAAAGACATATTTTGCCACTGATGTTTATGTTAGCAATGTCGTTAATAAAAAGAAGAAACAAAATAGGGCCTAGTACTGAGCCTTGTGGTACTCCACATTCTATTGGCTTGCTAAAAGACAACGTGGTATCCACCCTCACAAGTTGACTTCTGTTGCTCAGATACGACTTAAAGCATTCGAGAGATGATCTCCAGAAAAAATTATATTAAGTTTCTTTTCAAGAAAGAAACAAGTTGTAGTTATATTATTTTGGATGATAACAATATTTATTCAGGAATTATGATAGATGCAATCACATAAACTAATCAAATATATACTTCAATTTAAGTACTTATTTTTCAAAATCATATCAATTTTATCTTTTATCTCATAACAGAAATCATTGACACGCATAGATTTTTAGTATGAATGTGTATGTAAGAAATGTAATTAAGTAGTTATCTACTTAAGTACCTACCTTATTTAAGCAAGTACCTACTTTATTACAGATAAAATATTTTTCTTTTTCAAAAAATTACAAATTTAAAAAAAATCGCGAAATTTTTTTAATTATTTAAGCCTCGCCCTGTATAGTCGTCCGCCATACAACACTAAAAATAAATACATACCATAAACTATATCTGTAGATATAAGGATTAACTTTATTGTGTAATTGAATGCTATAAATGACTTGCAAGAAAACTGTATAAAATGTTATAAAAATTATTTTTAACCTTGTGCTGGGTTCATGATCATTTAATCTTTTTCGTGAAATTTATAGCTAGAATAAACAACTAAAAATCAGAACATATGTGGGAGGATAACGATTAAAAGATAAACATATACAGAGTGATCCAAAGTGTTCCGAAAAAACTCCATATCATATTTTCTACTGTTCTTTTTATATTTTTTGAATCGCCCTGTATAGCGTTAAAATATACTCTTCCTATTTAACGTATATTCCCTAAAAAATATTGGGAGATTCGCTTCTATCTGATATCTGACTATTATTTGTCCATTTTTTAGCAATACGAGTACAGTAGATCGGGGAATCCCACGCGAGACGTCCTTGAAAACGTTCTTGCCAAGCTGGACAACGGCAAGTACGGACTGGCATTCGCGTCAGGGTTGGGTGCAGGCGTTACAGTGTTGGGGATGCTAAAATCCGGAGACCACATCATCATGGGCGATGACGTATATGGTGGTACCAGTAGGATATTCCACAAGATGACTCAGTCATATGGTATCGAGATTTCGGTGTTTGATTTTACCGATTTAAGTAGTCTGAAGAGTGTCATCAAACCCAACACAAAATTGGTATGTACCTATATACGTACAGGGTGTCCCATTTTCTTGTGTTTTGTCCCCAACAAAACACACGAAAATGGGTGGAAATAAAAAGATACGATTTTCACATCACTGAGCTAAACACACGTGCTCTGATTAAGGCTTGATTAAGGTTTGCAGAGCTTCAGCATTTGCCATAAAATAGCGAGCCAATTTGTTACAAAACCATATAAATTATATATCACTGTTATCACAAAACTTCAATCTATTTCCGTATAGTAACGGAATTTTAAATTATGTCTTTATTTTCGAGAAAATTTAGTCCAAACATTGGTAATATTTTGTTGATGTTTGACCATCAAAATCTTAAAAATGTGCTACAATACGGATATAGTATAATACCACAGATTATACAGATTATAAACTTTGTTTTTTCTTTATTGTTTTTCGACGTCATTGTTGACATTATTATATATTTGACATATTTTCGAAATTTTTTCAACATTATGATTTTTTTTTCGACATTTTTTCAACACATTTTCGACATTATAAGTTGACATATTTTCGACATTATTGTTGACATTTTTTTTTCTTAAAATTGCGTCATATTTTGGTCATTATATACGATATTCTAAAGGAATTTTGCTCAACAAATAAACAAAGGTGTTTACCCGACCTTTTTTACGTTTTACTGCTTTATTATATCTGCCCCTTCGGCCTTGTTTAGACAATTTTTTACCACCGTACAAATACGTCTTTCTAGAGTTATTTGTTTTTTTGGTTTGTGATTTTTATTTCAATTTTTTACATAAGATGGGGGCCATTGTAACGCACATTTTCAAAATATTTCAGTTCATGAAGATTGGGACATTTAACTAAAATTTGATTGTCTGATGAAGCTACCTTTAAAAGTAATGGGTTTGTAAATAAACGTAATATTCATTATTATGCGACAGAAATCCCATACTGTAGCACACAGATTTGATACTTTTAATGATAAATGCCTTCTATTGAGAGACTAAAAGGTAATTGTCTCGTATCAGAGCCATCATAATACAAGAAGAAGACCGAAAGAGTCAAATCTCGTCTTATATTTTCAAAAAAACACAATTTTCTCATTAAATATTGATTTTAGGTATAGGAAGTTATTAATAATACAAGATTAAACAACTATTACACAGTACTTCACAGGAAGCTATCGATTGCGAACTAACTAAATCGTTACTAATTACTAATTTTGAAAAGTTCTTTTTAAGATCAAAAAAGGTAAAACTAAAACCTAAACTATCATTTGAGATTAAACGGGAAGTTCTAAATAATGTTGCCTATTCTAAACAAGAAAAATTTATTTATAAGTTTTATAACATCTCTAATTAAATTTGGACGAAAAGAATATTTCTGTTTGCTGTAGGTAATTATCTCAGGGAAAATACGTAAATAAAAATGACTTTTAAGTAAAAAAGTCAAAAGGACAAGTTATTCCAAAAGGACTGTCCTTTTCAAAAGGACAGGTGGCAACCCTAGGTATTTCTGCAATAGAAATTTAATGGCAAATCTACAACTTTAGTTTGAAAATATGTTCCGGCCACCTATGTTTACAAAAATGTCTAAAATGTGCTTTACCATTGCCTCCATATTCTGAAAAAAAAATTGAAAGAAAAGTCACCAACCACAAACCTAATATAGAACTGTTTCAGAAACTTGAGTCACCCTGTAAATATTCAAAAGTAACTGAAAATTTATATAGAAGTAACTGAAAGTTTAAATTGAAAATCGACGTTGGAGCGATTTTCGAAAACTACCTACTAACGTTTCAACATAAGTACATATGGGATATTAATTATATTATTATATTAGACCTTATAAAAAAACTCAACTGACGAAAAAGTGTTAATGTAGTATATTAATATTGAGTTAAAATTTTACTAATTACTTTACTAATTAAATTCCTTCCAAAAACGATACGCCACTGGCCATTACAACAATCCAAATGCGCCTAGTTGCCGGGGTCGGAAATTTTAGACTTCTCTGTCTCTTCTGTCCTTGTTTGACACATTGGAATGTTTGAGACACTTCCAACGAGTATTTATGAATGAGATGTTCGGTCTATCTTTATAATGTCTTTGGTTTTAAAGTACCTAGTAAACAAAACAATTTCAAAGTTTTAAATTCAAAGTTAGGTTAAGTTTAAATAGCGGACGCGACGCGAACAGAATTCCTTCCGATCCGATAACTATATATGAAGAGAGTTAATACCACCTCACGTAAAGGAAATAATACCTGGGGCTTTATTAACGTCCGTGCACGCTATTCGGTTTAGCGATATCTCTCTATTACGCTGTTTATTGTTATTTTACGCGAGTTTATTTTTGCGCACAGGAAATTTTACTCGTTGAATCTAAAGATGCTATGTACGCAAGAAGTTTTACAAAACTCTAAGTATTTTTTTGATGCTCAGGTATGGACTGAAATGCCCACCAACCCAATGATGAGGGTGCTTGACATTAAGGCTGTGGCAGAAATCACTAAAGAACACAATCTGATCCTGGTAGTGGACAATACCTTCCTTACATCCCTATTTAATGAGGCCTCTAGATTTAGGCGCAGATATAGTTAGTTATTCTCTTACAAAATACATGAACGGACACTCTGACGTAGTTATGGGGGCTTTGGTCACTTCCAACGAAGATTTATACGAAAAATTAAAGTATTTACAAAATGGTAAGTCTTTTAGACACTATACAAGACTATACTCAGTGTTTTGATCCAGTTTTTTTTATAAAATACTACAATATGTATGTATACAGAGAAGACCAGGCTACTAGTAACATAGCAAGTTGCCGGACGAATTTACGTTTACCCGATTTGCGTTCGTACTCGAGATTCACTGCCGGCTAGTCGGCTGGTCAGGCAGTACGCAGTTGCAATTGTGCTTGGACGGGTCATTCGTGACAGACTAGGAATACGACGCGAGGAGTGCCGGGTATTTATTATTTTCATTTTAAGTGTTTACCTTCACTTAAGGTAACATTTAAAATAAAAATACTTAAATATTTATTATTTGAGTGTGTTTACAAGCCAAAACTAAAAATAAATAAATTCTCTAAACCCAAAAAAAATATAATATTACTCTAAATAAAAAGAGTTATAACAATAAGTGTTCAAAAGACCACCTTCTTGTGCTAGACAGAACGTCGTAAAATCCCCGTCTGACATTGGCTAACATATTAGGGCTAATAGTTTGGAAAGCCTCTCGTATTTTTACTTGAAGTTCATCCAGATTATTAGCCCTATTATGACCATACACTTTAGATTTTACGTAACCCCACAAAAAGAAATCATTGGGAGAAAGATCTGGTGCTCTAGCGGGCCACAAAATAGTTCCATATCCACTAATTAAACGGTTGGGAAAAGTATTGTTCAAATATTCTTGAACAATACGGGCATTAATGGGCAGGGCAACCACCTCAGCAATTTGATTACTTGAAAACGTGGGATTTTGATCCGCGGTAGCACAAATGAACACTTGCTTTGACTCCTGTTCTTCACTAATCAACACATCAGGCTTTTTGTGTTTTTGTGGGAACACGCACCCATGTGTTTCAAAATTATCAATAACTCTTGATATAGTCTGTGAAACGAATAACTTTGAATTTGACAGTTCCCGTGGGCTTCTAGTGTTAATTATTAGGTTAGCAACTTGCGGCCATGCTGACGCAATGCCGTCTCTAATAGAACAGCCTCGGAACGAGATTTATGACGTCACGCTAGTTACATACTACAGATTAATATGTTGTTGTGTATGGAAAACATAATTATTCCTCGTATTTATGGTTTGTATTTTAAAAATGATATAGTTTACATGAAACATACATAATATACAGTTAATATAAATAAGTTAATATAAAATATATATATACAGTTAATAAATAAAAACGCTGATTAAGTTTTCATTTGGTTTTCATTATTTTTTTGGTTTAAAAAAAAACGTTTCAGCTAACATTATAGCCTTAATCAGTGCTGTGTCATATGATTTTTTTTTCTTTTAAACCAACAAAAATAATGAAAAACCACATGAAAATTTAATAAGCGTTTTCCCCGAACCTAAATCCCAAGAAAATCAAAAATTTTAGAATAATTTGACATATAAAATGACAGCGATCTTTATTTCATAGCCATCTCTGACGCCTTTTTTTCTATGATGTTGATTATTTGCAAATATATAATTTTTCGAACATTAATACTTGCAAAATATTAAATTCAATAAATTTTGTGAATGCAAATAATAATACATCACTATTAGTAGATATTGAATGTTTTTTTGTTAAATTAAATCGATTTTGAAACCAAAATTTAAAATATATTTTACATTTTACCCATTATGTTATGTACCTATTCATTATTTGTATATTGTAAAACATTTGCTGCATTTGTATGGTTCATAGTTTATTTGCCAAAGTATTTATTACTATGAATAGGTATATAATATATTGTATTTATTAACTGTATATTATGTATATTTCATGTAAACTATATCATTTTTAAAATACAAATCAAAAACACGAGGAATAATTATATTTTCCATGTATTCTACAACATATTTATTAATCCGTAGTATCTAACTAGCGTGACGTCATAAATCTCGTCCGAGGCTGTTCTATTAGAGACGGCATTGGTCTGAAATTTAGAAATGCCAAAAGCTGATGACATTTGACTTTTGACAATTATGCCATTTCGTGTTGATTTTTGCAAGAAGAGGTAGAACTGTGACTTGTTTTATAATTTTCCTTTTCTATTTCACGAAAGTAAAAAGAGTTACCTATCTGATTCGTTCAGTCACTCAATTTAAAGAATATCAGTAACTTTATTGATAGAGGTATTTTATATTTGCCATGTTGGTAAAAAATAACGGTCAAAATTCAAAGTTATTCATTTTATAGACTATACAGTAGGTAAAGATGGAATTGGCCTGTTTACAAAAGTTTATGGAAAAATTGTTTGTATATTCCGATAAGACCTATTTTGGAAATACCATTTTACAATTTGAATTTTCTCGCGAACTTCGTAAACATCCATTATTTTACTTAAAAAATAAATTTTACACGAGAACTGTCGCGAGAATCTACGTATTCGTTTTGGCTATTAAAACACGAATAAATACAAATTCTGAAACATTCTTATCACATATCTACCTATTTTTATTTTATCACATTTTTTTCGCCTGCTTTTTATCCGGCGGACGGGTATACGCTAATTCGTCCGGTTCTGCCTATGCTACTACTACGGTGGTCCGGTCTGTATAAGAGAAAATTGTACAGGGTGGCTCAGTGGCTCGAATTCGACGCTCATCATTGGGATTTCGGAAACCGTAAGAGATACAGGATCGGTTAAATGGAGGCAAAGTTGCGCAATTCGATGCTCAATAAAATGCCGTATTGCATTTTGAAAAATTCCGAATACTTCCGAATATATTCGAAAAAAAAACGGAATTTTCAATTTTGTTTTCTATTGTTTCCTGACTTTATTTGTTAAGAAAACTTAAAATGAAAAACACATTTTCACGGTCACTTTTTCTGCTCTGTAACTCTGTGTGATTAAATATTGACTCTGACGTTTCGGCTTCTGGCGACCATCATCAACTTAATTTTTTTAAATACGGACCTGATTTTTTTTTCAATTTAATTAAATCCTTTCATTATACTCTTAAAACACTATATGTAGTCACTTTGATATTTGCCGAAGTTTCGTACAGAATATTTTATGCAAAAAAAATAAAAAATAAAAAATAAAAATGCAATACGGCATTTTATTGAGCAATTGCGCAACTTTGCCTCCATTGAACCGATCCTGTATCTCTTACGGTTTCCGAAATCCCAATTATGAACGTCGAATTCGAGCCACCCTGTACATCGCATTTTGATGCACCGAAGATGTTTTTTTAGAAAATGTTACCACCCTGTATATCAAAAGTTAAGATTGTTTAGGACATACATTCATATGAAGGTTTTTTTCTGAGAATAGGTCCAAGAATCACCTTATATATTAACGTGTCATTAAGGAACACCCTGTATATTTATAATAGTTGCTTATGTCACAGATAACATAGAATAAACAGGGTTGTTCACCACATACGACACGGAGTATTGTAGCTAAACGATGAGATTTTTACAAATTGTAAGTTTTGGGTTCGATGAAGGACTATTAGAGCTACAATTTAAAAATATTTTTACAAGATACAGAGTGTCCCAAATAAATACAAAATATCAAAGTTGTATTTTTTTAAAAACCCTGTATATTATTACATTTTTAGTTTCTACAATTAAAATAAAGGTAAATTTGATTAAAGTTTATTACACTTAAACCTTACCGTTTTTGAATTATTTTCAATTTTGTAAAATTGCAGTAAAATTTGTAAGGCTTCATTTCTCCGAGGGTATCAAAGTTTTTAATACTAAATATTTACTGAAGTTTATTTATTGATCAGTTATTGTGTTGCAATAATAAAAATAATACTACCTCATACAGAGTGTCTACAAATTTATTTTAAATAATTTCTAGCTTTAAACGACAATAACTTGTTTAATTTAAATGGAATGCTCTGTATATTTTAGGAGAATCAGATGCACAATTTAATTGTCTATCGAATTGTGTTATACCACTTTTTACCTATCCCTTCAAGTTTTCGTAGAAAATGCATTTTCTTATAATTTAGGCTTCATTTATCAATATATACCCATGGAATATTGACATTTTAGATTGTTTTTAAAGCAACAAATGTACAAAATGTACAGGCTAGTAATATTATCGCTTTTAGCAAAACGATATTTGTATATGCAAAAAGAAAACTATTTAAATCTTTATAAAAGAGTATACCATTAATTAAATATTCCACCAATATTTTCGCTCAAATACTAATTAATTACATACTTAATTGTTTAGTTAATAAATTATTCTTATTAAATGTGGATTTGAATCAGAAATCAACATAATAATAAGTTATGAAAATGACTTAATCAATTTCAATTATTAATTTCGCGGAAAAAACCTCTTAGGCGTTTTTCTGGGGTTGAACTATACTCCCAGTTAAAATACTTGCACTTATTTCTGGGATACCCTGTATATTGTGTAATTAACCTGAACATACAGGATGTACGAAGTCGAACTGTATAACTTTATTATGTTATATTCACTCAAAAGTAACTTAATTTTTTTTTAAAGTGTATTATTTTTATCCTTCTACACAGCCATGGGAATCATACCCAGTCCGTTTGACTGCTACCAAGTCAACAGGGGACTCAAAACACTAGCCTTAAGGATGCGACAGCACAGTATAAACGGTCTGACCATAGCAAAGTACTTAGAGAAGCACTCCAAAGTGGAGAAAGTACTTCATCCAGGTCAGTAACATTTTTATTTTTTTATTTCTCTATGTAAACTGTTTCTGTTTTTTTTTTCTTTATAGGTCTAAAATCGCATCCACAACACGATCTGTTCAAGAAGCAGGCTTCGGGGCATAGTGGTACCTTTTCCTTCTACATTAAAGGTGGTTCCACAGAGACCAAAACCTTTCTGAATAATCTAAAAATATTTACCACTGCCGAAAGTTTAGGAGGATACGAAAGTCTCATAGAAATTCCGTAAGTAAATTTGATTTAACCTTAAGAGAGAAAAAAAAACGGCGTCGGAGTAGGCTTGGAAATGAATCGCAGTCATTTCAAAGCATACTCGACGCCGTTTTTTTTTCGATAATGCGGTGTAGGTATTTAAAAAACTTATTTTTTGTTCTAGTTCTATAATGACGCACGCGTCTGTTCCACCGGAACACAGGGTGGTTCTGGGAATCACAGACAACTTGATTAGGGTGTCTGTTGGTATCGAAGACGTCGAAGATCTGGTTGCGGATTTGGAATTGGGTTTCCAGAAAATATAAGCCGATTTTTTTCTCGAATATTTTTTTTTTAAAAAATCTACGCTACGCGAACCCTGATATGGTATTTTTTTGGAATTTTTTACAGTATTTTTTTTGAATTAAAATAAAAACTAATTTTAATCGCATTCCTAAACATACTCAGGTCTTCCAAAACAGAGAAAATAAAAATAAAATAAAACATCGCATATTATTTTTATACGAATTTATTTTCATTACAAAAAAAAACATTGTGATAAAATATCCAGTAATTTGGTTGCTTTAAAAAACAAACATTAATTAATTTATATTGTATAAAAACTTTAATTTACAATAAAAACGGCGTCAAAGAAGGCTGGGAAATGACGATCGATGATAATTTTGACGAGGTCAATCTCTCTAGATGAAAAATTGACAATTTGAATTGATCGAAAGGTTTGAAAGACGTCTGAAAAAGTGTAGTTTTTTTTACGCGTAACAAAACGTTTTTTACGCGTAACAAAAAGTTTTTTACGTGTAACAAATGGTTTTTTACGCGTAAATATAGTTTTTTACGTGTAACTAATAGTTTTATACGAGTAAAATAAAAAAATAGGTACTAAGCGCCATTAAAAGATACGGAAGAGTACGGGCCAAGTAAACGATGACTATAGGGCTTGACCTAGCCAAAATTATCACCGGTTGTCGTTCCCGAGCCTTCTATGACTTGATTTTTTTTTCGATCGTATGGACCTACGATATTTAATAAAAAAAAAATTAGTACGATTAATTATATTATTCCTGTATTTATATTTTATATATTTATTTTTATTTAAAGTGTTTGTTATCACTGTGTCGATCACTGTGTCAATACAAATTATCACTGTGTCAATACATCTTTCATACCTCGAAGGAGACTGTCTGTTTCATTTTCCGCCGATGCCGATTTATATTTGGCCAAGTGCATGTTCACACTAGAGATAAACTGAAAAATAGAGAGAAATCATCCAAGTTTACTTATTTTTCTGGAACAAGTTACCTTTTCCAGATGAGTTATGTTCAAATCCTGAAAATAGGGTTTGTCAAAGTCTAATTTTTTGTCCTTGAGATGTCCCTCTTCTGTGTGAAGGATCCGTTTCATTTTATTAAAAAATTCTGTCTTATTGAATTCGTCAGGTATTACGCTAACTTTGAGCCTAAAAACACAATTTTTAAACTAAATATTGGCGTATACAAGTGTCCAAAATAAGAGATTTTTTCTATTCACTAATACCGTATGATCGAGAAAAAAAAACGGCGTCAAAGAATGCTGGGAATGGCAATCGATGATAATTTTCGCGAGGTCAATCTCTCGACGTCATATTACTAAAAATTGACATAAAACTCATCAAATATTGACACTAATGATTATAGAAAAATTAAAAAGTGTATGATATCTAGGGCGTGACCTCGCCAAAATTATTATCGATTATCATTCCCCCAGCCTTCTTTGACGCTGTTTTTTTTTCGATCGTATGGTAAATTTGTCCTAATTTTTTTGACAAATAAGATAGATTCGTTTGTACACTGAGTGAAATTATTTATTTAAATACCTGTTATTTTATAGCTAATTTTTGATTAAATATGGTAAAACCGAATTCAAAAAAAAACGATTTAAAATACAATTTACAAACGTGATTACAGGAGATAAAACGGGAAATATACCGTATGATCGAAAATAAAACGGCGTCCAGTTGGCTGGGAACTGACGATCGATGACATTTCCCATATAAAATGACAACGATCTTCACTTCATAGCCATCGCTGACAGTTTTTTTTTTCGATCATACGGTATTAATTAGTGATTAAGTGTCGTGTCTTTTTTGACGTATTTTCTACGGTTTGATGTAAAATACAGGTAAAAAATGTAAATAAATAAAGAAAGAAATGTTTCTCTTCCTTTCCAAACCTAAACTTTTAATTATATCCGCATAAATTTTGATTTATATAAATCAAAATTAGATTTAGATCAAAATAAAAGAAATAATATCAATAAAAAGTCCAAATATAAAGACATAAATTAAATTTTTACAACAGTCATTAACAGAAAACAAAGTTTTTAAAGGATCTTTAATAAAAATGTTCTTTACGCGTAAAAAACAGTTTTTTACATAAAGGTTTTTTTACACGTTCATCCCTGATATTAATGATCAATATCATAAATAAAGAATTAAAATTACAGTCAAAAAATATCACAAATAAACTCACTATTTAGTCTACGAAAAAAATTCTCTTATCCCTTCTGTATGATTAGATAATTATTCTGTAGCTCCCGAAAAACTAGGCAACTCAAAATACACATTTTTTTCTCACCTGAAAGGCACCAATTGATCCTCAAAGTTCGGCTTTTTACCCACCACCAAACAGCGAAAAGGCGAAGAAATTAGGGCTCCGTTCGAACTAAAGGGGGACAAAATAACCCCTATACACGGCTTGCTGTGCCCTATCCATTGCTGAACCATTTGCTGAGTGTCCAGATCCTGCTGTGAAGGCTCTGGAGCAAACGTTGGATGCGAATGAAACCAACCTATAGAGAAATCACATTAGAATGCCCGAGATTTGATTATTAAACAAAGATTTTTACCTAGAATATCCAAATTAGCATTGTGAATGCTTTCTGCAGCTCTGGCTTGCGATATTGGACACATATCGCAGTGCGTTGAGGAAGAAGCTATGTTTTTGCAGGGTTCATAGCAGGAAATTGTTAGAATTTTCCCCTGGGAATCCCAGGAACCGCCTACCAGTCCCATAACTTCGGTCAAGTAAGTATGGGCGTGAAAATCCATGAGAAGTAAGGTAGATAATCGTATTTTAACGCCGAATTTTTGCTATTTAACAGAAAAAAATATTAGCATGTATATCTGGTCGCCTAAACTTCTGAAAAATTCTGAAATATAAAAAAAACTTACCGGATTGTCTACAGTGAAGGGCCTACAATAAATCAACCTTATCGTAGGTTTCTTTAGGTAAGTTTTCGCTTTTGCAGGTTCCTCATTCACTATAGTCGTATTTATAACTTGCCCTTGCTCACCGTGAGCCATAGTATATCCCCCTTCACCATCCTAGAATAAAACACAATAAAAACCCCTCAAAAACTATTTTTTCACTCACATTCGTGAATTTCTTCTTAATTCTTTGCCTAGGACCCAATTCACTAATCTCCCTCGATGCTAAAGCTTTTGGTTTCCTTACAGACCGACTTTTTTGAGGAGCGAAAATTTGTAGCACCCTGTACAAGGGTCGTTCGTATTTCGTTTGTTCTTAGGGGGAAAAAAAGGTTAAAAATTGATGTATGAGATAAATTAGTGTGTATTTACCACATCCAAAGTTTATAGCTCCTATTTGTTCTAAAAAATAGTGAATTCTGCTGATACAAGTGACGTCTCCGCAATTTTTTAAACCGAAACGCATTGCCGTCTTGTATACGTACTTTGGGCGTGAATTTATCCAGTTATTCAGTATATGGTTTCTAATCTAATAATAAAATACCTTTTTTAAAGATAAAACAGTATAATCTTCAAATTCAATACCTTTAAATATCTTTCTGGTGTTTTTGAAGTTCTCCCTTCGAAAAATTCATAATTGGCCACTTTTTCTAGCTCACTAGGTACGTTTTCATCTAGCAATACTTCGCTAGTTGGATGCTCTAAGCTGGTTAATTGTTTAGCAATCTCTTCATCCATTTCGTTTATGTTTATTGTGTTTTGAGTATCTTTTTCATGCTCACTAATTTTCTCTTCGTTTTCTTTAACTTCATTAGTTTCAGGTTTGATAATTGATATTTTATTAGGTCCTGCATTGTCGGTTTCTTCTGTATCTTCAATATCAATACTAATATCACTAGAATCATCTTCAACTTTTTCAATTTTTACCTTAAAAATTGATTTAAAAAATATATTATTTACACTGTCTCACTTACTAGTCAAACTTACAATTTCTTCACCGTCGCATACTGGCACCGATAAACCTTTACCAGTTGTTATTTCAGGCCTTACAATTTTAGTTTCAACATTTTCAACTACTTTTGGCAAGATCAACCTACTTTCCTGCTGATTTTTCGATTTAACTTTAAATTTAACAGCTTTTTTATTGATTTGTGACTTGGAACTCTTGAATTTCTGAACTTTTTTCAAATATTTTCGTTTTTCTGGAGATTTACTGTTCTTTATATCGCTGAATGATACTGTAGCTCCCTGAGAAGCACCGCTAGAACTACTAGAACTTTTTTTCCTCACTTTTTTGTATGGATTTGCTGTAACATTTCCTGTACTAACAACAGCAATAACCTCCTCTATACTTGCTGGTATCTAAAACTCAAAAACAATTATATTTAGAACATAAAATCTCCTGTATTTTGTTACTTGATCAGAATGCAAGACTTCTGTGCCAATTTCCTCTTGAGGCAGCTCTGTAACTGCTGTATTATTATCAGATTCATGTCTGTACAAGCTTTGATTTTCAGAAAAATAATTTTTTAAGTAATATTTCACTTCTGAAGATGTTTTAGAGCCTACAAATTGAGACAACCTGACGCTGCTCTTTCCAAAAATCTCGATGCCTCTGTGTAACAAGCTTTTTTCTTTCTCAGTCCAGCCACTTTCATCCGTGATGCAGTTTTCTGTCGAGATATGACCCAAAGCATCTTGTTCGTTATTAGACTCTGTATCAGTAGACACAGAGGCTGTGGTTGTATACCAGTTATCTGGGTTAGCGCTGGGCTTATCTAACAACCATTGAGGGTGTATCGTGTAGTCGCAATTGAGTAAATCCGAATTTTGAGAAACTAACTCGGCATTGTCTAATCTGAAATTCAACAGACATATTTTTAAGGTGGTTTATACGACAAATTCGAAACCTACATGCTTTGGCCACCTTCTGAAGAGTAAGCGCCTAAAGTAAAGTCTCCTAAAATATCTATTTCATCTTCATCGGCCATCGGAAAGCTTAAAAATTATTTAATTAAAACATAAAATTAAGATTTTTCAGAATTTAGAAATTAGTAAACATTACTTTGACATTTGACGTCAAATATAAATGATCAGTGGTTTTAAGGCCATAGCTGCCAGTGCTATCCGGCCGTAAAAAAACATAAAAAATATATGATAAAGGTGAAAAATATAATTAAAATAATATGAATATCATAGAGTTAAGCATATAAGAAACATCATTTATGTGTCCCTTTATATTATATATTTTTTTAAGCCTTTTTTACTGTTATTTACGTGTATTTTAATATCAAAAGGATTGTCATTTATACGCGCCCAACCCTGACTATTTTATAACTTCTATGGGCGTAGTTGGTAGCACTGGTTTAAAAAAAAAATGATTGAAAGAAGCATTCTCTGTTTTTAAAAATTTGTGTTCTCTTTTATTTGATTTTTTTGTTATAAACTTTGTTATGCACATCTACAGGAGCCGAATTACGAAGTTAAAGGTTTAAAAGTTTGTTTATAAACAGAATAATGAGCCATTCGCACGAGAATTCGGCATCTCAACAGGAAAGTAAAGAAAACAGCAATGTTCTCTCCCAACAGTTACAAGATTACACGGTTTTAATTAAGCAGAGAGTTCAATTCTACAGGGAAGAAAGTAACAACACCCGTATTGCTTTTATCTCGACACATAATAAGGTAAAAACTTTTTCTAGATACGAAAATGGACGAGATTTTTAAGAAATTAAAATTGCTCACCGATGAGCTTAGAATATCCGGTCTAGGAGGTTGTGTGGATAATATTGATAAGCTCGTCTCCGAGTACGAAGCAAAGTACCTAAACCCTGATAATGCTGCATTAAATCAAGCAGAGAAGTTGAGGAAACACAACAACTACCTTTCAAAGTTAAAGATATGTATCCGATATTACACCAACCTTAATGATACGTTATCGAAAGAAATAAAATATGTTAGAAGGTCAGTAAAGGTTTTATAACAGTTTGATGCTGAAATTAATAATAATACAGTGATATGTTTATTCACAAAAACAAGATAAATGTACTATACAAAGTAGAATGTTTACAAAAAGTGTAAATAAACAAAAGTACTCTACTAGTATTTTTTTTTAGTGAGCTTGATAAATCTAAAGAAAATGTAAACAGCATTTTGAAGTTATCTTCCGAAGATGTACAACAGTTAGAAGAAAAAGCCAGGAAATATGAGAATGAACTTATTAAATTTGAAGTATGTATCAGTTTTACATAGTTTCAGTTTTGTATCTATTTTTTTTATCAGAAAAAATATCCCTGGCTAAAGAATCCAGAGTTTGATTTACCCAACATATCGAAATATGTTGACACGTTAAAAGCACTGAAAGAGGAAAAAGACAGCTTGGTGAAGGAGTTAAGTATCTATCAGGATTTGAAACCCGATATAAAAAAGGCTGGTGAACAGTTGGCTGAACTGAAGGAACAAGTCAAGTCGATGAAACTGTTCGAACAGAATTAGTTAGATAAGTAGCTTTATATAGATGTAAAATTGTCTTTTTTTTTTTTCTTTTAAATGAAATAGCCTTGCCAAAATCATGTTTTAGGGTATTTGTGAGACCAGTATGTGATTTAGTTCTGTTTTAAAATAGTTTTTGTGTCTTTTTATTAGCAGGGAATACAGTTATTTCCTTGTACAGGGTCAGGGGTTTGGCAATAATGCGTCGAGCATCTGTAGCTCTTGTAATAAAAAGGTTGGGAATTTTTAGGAAGTGCATAACTAAATTATGTATTAGAATGTATTTCAGGAAAATATTTTAACTTCTATAAAATGGCTCAAAAATTTGTGTGTGGATTGGGATTATTTTTTTAAATGGAACATCCTGTATATTATTGTATTTTTGTTTTTCTCTCTTATTAGTTTATATAATCCTAGGAGAGATATTATTGGATATGTTTTGATAGTTTTAGAGATAAAATAAAAATTAAAAAAAAATATTTTTAAGAAAAATTATTAAAAATACAAGAAATGTCCTGAAGTCAACACTATACTAGGTGTTTACTATACTTGGTCTGTACTTACTTTGCTATAAATATCGTAATTCTAAACCAATACAGGGTGATCAAAATTATGTGACAAACTTTCTAAAATATAAAATAGTTTTTCTTCTTTTTTTTTAAATGGAACACTTTGTATATTATTCCTTTACTAGATGGAGAATTAAAAAATAAACATTTTTTGCATTTACAGTTATTTCAAAATTTTTAACGGTTTGGCGGATATTCTTAATATTATATTACATTATGTATATGGGGTTTTCAACAGTAATTTTTTTATCAAAGCTACCTAATGATTTTTGTTTGGTATTTTACCATTTAAACAGCCATATTATGGCTCCTCCGTTAAACAAAGGAATAATATACAGGGTGTTCCATTGAAAAAAAAAACGAAGAAAAATATTTTATATTTTAGTTTAAAAGTTTGGCGTAGAATTTTGAACATCCTGTATGATTTAATATTACGATATTTATAGGAAAGTTAAGTACAGACCAACTAGAGTAAATACCTAGTATAGTTTTGATTTCAGGACATTTCTTGTATTTTTAATAATTTTTTTAAAAAAGGCTGAAAAAAAAAATTTTTTAATTTATTTATTAATATCTCTGAAACTATCAAAACGTATTTAATAATATTTTAAGATTATGTAAAGTGATTAGAAAGGAAGCCAAAAATGCAATAATTACAGGGTGTTCAATTTAAAAAAACAACAAAGAAAAGCTATTTTATATTAGAAAATTTGGCATATAATTATGACCACCATGTATGGTCTAAAATTATGATATTTATAGGAAAGTAAGTACAGACCAGCTATAGTAAATACCTAATATAGTTTTGATTTCAGGACATTTCTTGTATTTTTTATAATATTTTTAAAAAAGGCTGAAAAAAATTTTTTTTTTATTTGTTTTATTAATATCTCTGAAACTTTGAAAACGTATTTAATAATATTTTAGGATTATGTAAAGTGATTACCAAGGAAGCTAAAAATGCAATAATATACAGGGTGTGCAATTTAAAAAAACCAAGAAAAACTATTTTATATTAGAAAATTTAGCATATAATTTTGAACACCCTGTATGGTCTAAGATTACGATATTTACAGGAAAGTAAGTACAGGCCAACTGTAGTAAATACCTACCTAGTTTTGATTTCAGGACATTTCTTGTATTTTTAATATATTTTTTAAAAAATGGTGCAAAAAATATTTTTTTTATTTATTTATTAATATCTCTGAAACTATCCAAACATATTTAATAATATCTTAGGACTATGTATAGCAATCAGGAAGGAAGCCTAAAATGCAATAATATACAAGGTGTTTCATTTAAAAAAAAATCATCCCGATTCACTCTTGCTTTTTTGAGCCACCCTGTAGAAGTTAAATTATTTTCTCGAAATACATCCTAATAAATACTTTAAGTTTGAACTTAAATAAAATTCCTAAGTTTTTTTTATTATAGAGCTACAGATGCCCGACGCACTATTGCCGGACCCTGTAGATATATACAGTATGGCCCTGGATTGTCTTTATATGAGGAAAAACTTTTTTAATATTAACTTTTTGATGAAAATGCCTTCTTCATAAAGCTTTTGATTGTTTTAAAATGGATAATAAATTTATACTTTTCCAAATTTTCATACCGTTTTAGAAAAAATAATAAAAATATGAAAATATACTTGAATTTTTTCTAAAGTCCTAAAAATTAAAACGTGTTTCTGTGTTAATATCTAGTTCCTAGTTTTTATTCTTTGATAGATTGTTATTATTAATTTTGATTAACGTCATACTTTTTGCTGTTTTAAAATGTCAAAGAAGCAGAAAATTTATAATCATCTTTTCCATAGTATTGAAATAAATAAATTTTATTCTTGTTTAACATTTTTTTAATTTTTTTTTTTTTTCTCTAAAACGGTATGAAAATTTGGAAAAAATTAGCCATTTTAGAAAAAGCAATTTTTTTTATTAAGAATACATTTTCCTCAAAAAGTTTGTGTGCTCTGGTAAAGACAATACGGGGACATACTGTACATAAATTATATTAATTATCAAACGAAAGTGTTTGACGAAAAAAAAAAGGGACAATTTTATGAATAAATCAATTATTTTTGTACAAATATTCGAATTAGTAAATATAAAAATGATATTAAGACAGACGTCAGTGTCATTTATTTATTTATTTTATCAAAATCCTTCATTTTCAAAAAAATTCCCGTCTCATGAATCAAAATCGTCCATTCTATTCCACCAACACCAATTGCTATGATGAATCGTTTAAATCTTCCGGTAAGTATTTTGAATAAATATATTTTTTTATTGTATTTTTTCATTTTTAGCTCCAACAATGTTGAACGGACAAAACGTGATCGTTTCTCAAGAACAACAAAGGAGAATATGCGATATTTTAAACACATCCATTAACGGGAGACCGTTTCAGTACAGTACTGCGCCCCAGCATCAGTTTATTCAGGCGAACAAGCAGTTTTTTCCTGGAGGCGTTCATTTTAGCTTTGGCCAGCCCCATTTTCAGCAAGACAAGTAAGTTTTACCCCATTGGAAACATAGATTGCCACCAGGGTTGGGTAACGACGCGTAGAAAATTAATTTTCTACGTGTATGTAGAAAATGTAGAATATTCAGTAGAAAATGTATAAAAATCTGAGACAGGTACAAAATTAATTTTGTATATTTAAAGCAGTTTTTTTTTCGCTCTAGAGGTTTCTTCCTTTCTATTTTCTTTAAATTCTATAAGTGTGAAAACTGTAATATGTGTGCGCGCGCTATTTCTATTCTGTAACGGTACTAACTCCCTGAAGATAAGAGACAGTAATCAATCTGAAGATTATTAAAGTATTTTTTGTTCTGTTTAATCTGAAGACCATACAGAAAAGTTTGTTTTTTTTCATTGGAAGTTTTTGTTCTTCCTTTTTTTAATTTTACCATAGAAAGCCTGTGGCTTCATAAACTATATACATATGATAATTATTATTGTAGTTTGTAGTTCTTACTTTCATTATGTTAGATGTTATTTTTTTGTTGTTCTGTTTGAGTCTTACCAAAGTTGACAGAATTACATAGAATTATTCTGTAAACTTTGATCTTACTATTGAAAACTTTTAAGATATCTGTAAAATTCGACTATAGTGTGTAACAAATCAAGGAAAATTTCGACAGATAGAATACGATTTGCCTGTGAATTATAATGACACAACAGTCACTGTCACGCATCCTCCTGTTGTACATATCAATTTAAAATAATTAGTATAGAAGTATTTTTACTCATATCTTAGGATTATGTAAAGTGATCTGAAAGGAAGCCAAAAATGCAATAATATACAGGGTGTTCCATTTAAAAAAATAATCCCTATCCACTCACACTTTTTTGAGCACTTTTAGAAGTTAAAATATTTTCCTGAAAAATATCCTCCTACATACTTTAGGTTTGCGCTTAAACAAAATTGCCAAGTTTTTTATTCTAGGAGCTACAGATGCCCGACTCACTATTACCGGACCCTGTATAATAAAAATTATTTTTTTTATATATTTTTTTAGTTCGTGTAAATGCGGAACAAACAGCAACACGATGCAGTTACCGGTCAATACGTACTTTCCCACGGCTATGGAGCCGCAAAGGAACGTGGATCATGCTAGTTTTCCGAATTTTTTTCAGCCTTTGCCTCCCTATACGCTTAAATTACACTACGATACATCTACATCATCAGATGATCTCCCTAATTATTCAATACCAACTCCAATATCAAGTAAGTAAATCCGTATCTATTTTATTTTTTTATTAAAATTAATATCACAATATCACCCAGTATTTCACACATATTTTGTTTATCATTGGTTTTAAAAATCCGGTTTTCTATTCAAGATTTACACTCTAATATTTTTTGTACAAACTGGCAACAGGTACGCACACATTATGAAAAAGTGGCAAAATCATCAGGTACCTGCAGTGACAAAATCACCAGGTCCCTGCAGTAGCAAAATCACTAGGTACCTGCAGCGGCAAAATTACCAGGCCCCTGCAGTGGGTGTATCACAAGGTCCCCGCAGTGGCAAATTCACCAGGTCCCTACAGTGGCAAAATTACCAGGTACCTGCAGGGGCAAATTCATCAGGTACCTGCAGTGGCAAAATCACCAGGTCCCTGCAGTGCCAAAATCACAAGGTCCCCGCGGTGACAAATTTACCAGGTCCCCGCAGTGGAAAAATTGCAAGGTTCTCGCAGTGGCAAAATCACTAGGTCCCTGCAGTGGCAAAATTACCAGGCCCCTGCAGTGGCAATATCACAAGGTCCCCGCAGTGGCAAATTCTCCAGGTCCCTGCAGTGGCAAAACCACCAGATCCTTGCACTGGCAAAATTACCAGGTACCTGCAGTGGCAAAATCATCAGTTACCTGCAGTGGCAAAATCACCAGGCCCCTGTAGTGGCAAAATAATCAGGTACCTGCAGTGGCAAAATCATCAGGTCCCCTGCAGTGGGAGTATCACAAGGTCCCCGCAGTGGCAAATTCACCCGGTCCCTGCAGTGGCAAAATTACCAGGTACCTGCAGTGGCAAAATCACCAGGTCCCTGCAGTGCCAAAATCACATGGTCCCCGCGGTGACAAATTTACCAGGTTCCCGCATTGCAAAATTTACCAGGTTCCCGCAGTGGCAAAATTACCAGGCCCCTGCAGTGGCAAAATCACCAGGTTCTTGCAGTGGCAAAATCACCAGGTCCCTGCAGTGGCAAAAACACCAGGTACCTGCAGTGGCAAAATCACCAGGTCCCCGCAGTGGCAAAATCACCAGGTCCCAGCAGTGGCAAAATCATCAGGTCGCCACAACGGCAAAATCACCAGGTCCCTGCAGTGGCAAATCATTTCATTAATAAATAAAAAAGATTTTGCTTTTTTCTGGGTGAGCTTTAAAATGTGTAGAAAATTTATTTTAAAATTGCAAAATTATTACAACACATTTAATATCTTTGAAAAATGGTAATTTTTTATAAACTACACAGTATATGTATAATGACATTAAGGTATCTTAAATTGAAATTTATTGCAAATCTACTAAATGGAAACAATATACATATAAACTCCAACTTTAGATTAAAAATATATTTGAATTGAGTAGAAATATCGAATAGAAAATCTGATTTGGGCTTTTTACGAGCATTGGCTCGCCCTGTACCACACGACCGAAAAAAAAACGGCGTCAGAGTAAGCTTGGAAATGGAAATTTTAACTTGACGCCGTTTTTTTTTTGTTGTTTTGCCCCCGTATTTATCTATGATTTTTCCAGAGTGTCGTGCAGATTTAAACAACATATGCTCCTCTCTCGAACATCAAAACCCTGTTGAAGTAAACTTGCCTAATTGTTCTAAATTAGCCGCAGACCCTACGGCATTTTTTCCACTACCTCCAGTAGAGTTTTCGTCGAATGTGATTTTTTTTTATTTTTAATCAGAGTTAAATTTAAAATAGTTTTTTTAGGGGAGAAAATTGACTCTTACTAAAAAAACTGCCGAGCAACCTGCAGGACATGTGGTAGACGTTTTAGATTGTTCCAATAAAAAGAAAGTGTCTTTTTCAGATCTTCCACCGATGAAGGAGGAAAAATGCGACAAAACGTTTCAGTTCACCACTGAGTGCATTTGCGAATGTAATTTGAAAAAAAATTAGATTTTTTTTCGGTGGTATTAAATTTTAAATAATTTTTTTTCTAGCAAAAAAATGTCCGGATAAAAATAAGAAAAAATCTGACTGTGAATCGGACGAGGAAGAAAAATCCAAGAAAAATAAAGAAAAGAAAAAGAAATCTAAAAAGAAGAAAGAGAAAAATGAAGAATCTACTGACTCAGACACTTCTGAGTCTGAGCCAAAGAAAAGAAGTTGGTTTGGGAGAAGAAAAAATAAATCAAAGAATTCTAAAGAAGATTTAAATAGTTCTGCATCGGAAAATACAGAAAGTGATACTGGTAACACTGCTAACTACAGGGTGGCGCCTTTTATATGACTCGGAGGCACCAAGGAGAATGACAGTTTGTATTGAAATGAAATTTTGTAAGTGTAGGTTAATTTAGAGCATTTTTTTAAAAAAAATTATCTTTGTTATCAAATAAGTAATGTTGACATTATGGCGAAGGTTCTTAATATTAATAATTTTCAAAAAAAAAATGCAAAAATATCAGGAAGTTGAATATTTAACTGTTATTTTTTTGATTGGACGTTAGTACTAAAACTTTCTTCAAAATGGAAAAATAAATCAATTAAAATATACAAATAATAAATATCTTTTTCTAAAAAAAGTCTTAAAAAAGTTACATTCACATCTAGGCTAAAATTAATATTAAAAAAATATTAATAAGTTAAACGCATCATTAAAAAGACAAATCTAGGGACGTAAGAACTATACAGGGTGAGTCTTAATTAAGCAGAAATATTTTCAGGGTTGGTAGATCTCGATAAAAGACTGTTGTTAAAAGACTCTAAATATTTTTATAAAATTAATTTCTCCCAAAATTTCATTTCGGTACAAACAAGCTTTCTCCTTGAAGCCTCCGTATGAGAGGCTCCACCCTGTATTGTTATTTTTTCTATACAGGGTGACAATTTGAAAACGAACAGTATTTAATATTGCCTCTACCGATGATAGTATGAAAATTTGGCAAAACACGCCAATTTACATATCAAGGGGGACAATTTTTGAGGCTTTTGTTGTCGTGTTACTTTCAACCCCTTGACCCCCAGGGTACCTACCCCTAAAATTTTAAATAGCAACCCCTTTTTCTTTTACCATTTTTGTGTTTCTTATAGAATTCTACATAAACTGCATTTTATTTTTTTGAGAATTTTACAAGGAACACAAAAATGGTAAAAGTAATAGGGGTTGCTATTTAAAATTTTAGAGTTAGGTGCCCTGGGGGTCAAAGGGTTGAAAGTAACACGACAACAAATGCCTCAAAAATTGTCCCCCTTGATATGTAAATTGACGTATTTCTCACCAAATTTTTTTACTATCATCGGTAGAGGTAATATTAAATACTGTTCGTTTTCAAATTGTCACCCTGTATACTAAAATTCTGTTTGATAGATAAAGAAAATATGAAGAAATCTAGGAAGACAAAGAAGAGAGAAAAAGATGACGAGGCTTCTTCTGGATCAGAGACATCAGAATCAAAGAAAAATGGCTGGTTCAAAAGAAGAAGTAAATCGAATAGTTCAGGCTCAGAAAATACAGACAGTAATAACGGTAATGATTTGCGATAATTATTAATTTTTTGATATTAATTTTCTGTGTTTTTAGTAGATAAAATGGAGTCTTGATGGAAACTACAAGCCTTGGAATTAAATGTTTTTTTCCTGAGTAGAATAATGTGATATTAATGTATTATAATCTTCAATAAAAAGCATTAATTAAGTTTGATAAATGTGTTAAAATATTAAAGTTTTTTTAATAAAATAAACGTTATATATAAGTAAATTAATAATAGTTTTATTACCCCCAAAGAGTTTAAAAAAATGTCATGCTATCTTTATTAGAGGTTGAGAAATTAAGAATATGTATCAGGAGTACATAAGAGCGAGGAGGTAATCATAAGAGCAACTACGTAACTCCGGGTATCGAAAAATACCTCCTCGCTTTTATGTGATCCTGATACAAATCCAAGATTTCTTCGACTTTTGGCGAAACTGGCAGAAAAATATTTTATTTCGTACAAAACAGACACCTGCTACCAGGAGTACATAAGTGCGAGGAGGTATAGATGCTCCTGCTAAAATTTATCAACGAAAAATACCTCCTCGCTCTTATGTGATCCTGATACAAATCCAAGATTTCTTCGACTTTTGGCGAAACTGGCAGAAAAATATTTTATTTCGTACAAAACAGACACCTGCTACCAGGAGTACATAAGTGCGAGGAGGTATAGATGCTCCTGCTAAAATTTATCAACGAAAATACCTCCTCGCTCTTATGTGATCCTGATACAAATCCAAGATTTCTTCGACTTTTGGCGAAACTGGCAGAAAAATATTTTATTTCGTACAAAACAGACACCTGCTACCAGGAGTACATAAGTGCGAGGAGGTATAGATGCTCCTGCTAAAATTTATCAACGAAAAATACCTCCTTGCTCTTATGTGATCCCGATACAAATCCAAGATTTCTTCGACTTTTGGCGAAACTGGCAGAAAAATATTTTATTTCGTACAAAACAGACACCTGCTACCAGGAGTACATAAGGGCCAGGAGGTATAGATATACTCCTGCTAAAATTCATCAACGAAAAATACCTCCTCGTTCTTATGTGATCCTGATAAAAATTCACGATTGCTCACTTTTAACAAAAAGCTGCCAAAAATAATTTCAACCTAGCAAAAAATAGAGTACCCGACCAACGAGTTCGAACGAGTTAGATTTTTTCGAAAAACGGCCATAACTGCTAAACTATAAGAGATACCGATGAACGGAACTCGGCATTCGATTCGCCTTTCAACCCTCTATAAGGGTGCAAAACTAGGGCGCGATCGGAGACAAAAAAAAATTTTCGGTAAAAATGAAGGAAGAAAAAAACCCCTTACCTCATTTTTGCCGAGAAAATTTTTTGGTCTCCGATCGCGCCCTCGTTTTGCGCCCTTATAGAGGGTTGAAATGCCTATCGAATGCCGTGTTCCGTTCCTCTCTAACCCTTATAGTTTCCGAGATATTAAGGGTTGAAGTTTGGAAACGAGGTCGAAGTGCTAGAGATAGCAGAAATATAGTTTTTCGATGCTTTATTTACATGTGGTACTAAATTTGCTCCTTACCTCTTCGCCCTTATTTGTTCCTGATAAAAATCGTCGATTTTTGACCCGGTTTAAAAAATTTTGTGCGGTCTTTGACAAAAATTGAATTTTCTCCGATATGTATCAGGAGTACATAAGAGCGAGGAGGTAAATTTTGGTTCTCAATTTACTCCTTACCTCTTCAGACTTATGAGTTCCTGATAGAAATCACTGATTTTGGACAAGGATTAAAAATTTTCGTTCAATTTTTATTAAAAGCTGAATTTTCTCGGATTTGTATCAGGAGTACATAAGGGCGAAGAGGTAAATGTAGGTATTATTTTTCTAAAAAATACTGTCTATTCCAGAACAAGTTAAGTATTAAAATATATTATTATTTATTTGATAATTAAATGACCTTCTTGTTCAAGATTGGACAGTATTTCTAATATATATTTTGGTTCAAAAAAACTCATTTATTATTAATTATTGTTTATTAACAATATTAACATGCTATACTCTATTAGCAAGAGTAATTTAAAAAAATATATTGAAGTCCAAGGTGTTGGTGGATTTGTTGATGTCTACTGATGTTGAGGTAAATACATCTTCTGGCTACCCTTCTGGAAAGTCTTGGTCCTATAAGAAAAATATAAAGATATAATAATTTATTTAGTAACAAACTATATTAAAAACTATTGTATAACTTTAAGTAACTAGCTAATTGATAGGGTACATGAAATATTATAAAACATATCAAAATCTTCGTAATACAAAGAACTTTTTTAATAGCAATACCAGGAAAAACATGGTTACGTGTATATTTTAATTATAACAATTAAAAAAGTGGCAAAAACTAAATAAAAAATTATAATTTTAATTATAGGCAACTCTATATACAGGTAAGTGTATTTTTAGTTGCCTATATATAAAAATTATAATACAAATTCTTTTGTATTTTTAGTTGCCTAGTGTATAGTAACCAGCGCGCCAAAATATTTTATTTGAAATCATTCTTAAACAGATTCAATTAACAAAAAACCTTTTAGTATATAATTTACCTAAAATTGTTTAAAACTTGCTCTTCAATGATGAATTTCATCTCAATCCACTGTTGAATGTTGAATTTGTATTCTAATGGCAGCTTGAAGAATAGTGATTGAATTGTGATGTGCTACTGTCCCAAAAAATCCTTGTTCCAAAGCAGTACAATATCCCATTCAAAAACTCAATTTTAAAAGTTATTAGCAACGGAATAAAAAGAAAATGAATCCAAAATAAAACAGTTCTATGTAGGCACCAGTAGAAAAGAAATCAAAGAGCTAGAATTTTTAGAAGGAGAATAGCAGTAATATAAAGAATAATACAAAGAAAAGAGATTTAGCAATGCAATCAATACAGAAGAAATAAAAACACACAATAGAGAAAAAATATGATACAAGTAAATGATGACTGATAACTCAGAAATGCATAAAACAATAGAGGATTTCACAGAATGAATTTAATATGAGAGACAAAGTAATTGAAACTGAAAAAATTGCATGAAAAGGAGAGACAAACTGAGAAAAGTTTCAGAAGAATGACCTAAAAAATTATACAGTTATATACATAATATATAAGACTTATTAACTTGCAAATCAAGTTTATCGTTTTTTTCTTGACGAAATGGCGAATGCGCCTATTAAAGGAAACTTTTAATACTTAGAAATTGCCTGAATTATTAAGGTAGAAGTACGATAATTCAACTGGTTATAGATAAGTACCGTATGATCGAAAAAAAAACGGCGCCGGCGATGGCTATGATATGAAGAGAAATATAATTAATCAAAGAGATGATAGAACTGATGAATGATGTCATTTCCATATTGAGAAGATATGGGAGACAAAAATAGTAAAATAGAGGCTGGTCAAAAACAATAGAAAAACAAATAAAGAAGTATGTGGTCAATAAAAACCGGAAAATAGACCAGTGATTATGCTTAGCCTCCTCTAAAAAATATAGTAAAAATTTTACATCAACAGCATAAAGAAAAATCCTCCAGAGCATATAAGTTCGCCCCCTTCAGCAGATTTAACCCTTGGCCGACGATTAAGCCTCACCAGTCAGTTCCCATCCCAGCTAAGCAGCCTCGTCTCGAGGCTAGTTATGATGCTCTGGAGTCGATGTTACTTAGAAAATGTATTGGAAAGAACGCTAAAAAGCTAGAAGTATCATCCTGTGGAAGTCAGGTTTTTGAATAAATGGCGAATGCGCCAGGAATGGATTGGAAATTTTATGAGATTTTTAAGTGCGTTATCATGTATTTAAATTATATGTAAATACACGCAAATCGAACCAACAGAATCTTTAAAATTTTAACAATTCATGAAAAAGGTCTGAAAAAAATTACATGAAAATGAATCCATGAAAACTAAAATCTGTATGCACAAGCAAAAAAGTATTAGAAGAATGACACCATAAGAAAAATAATACAAATTGAAAACTTATAGAAATACATTCAATGGAATATTCTATAGTTAATGAATGATGTTATGCCTACAAGGAAGAAAATATGGGGGTCAAGTTTTTATACAAAAATGAAAGTTAACCATAAACAACATGAAGTAAAATTCTAAGTAGATGGTATATTTTACCAAACAAATAAGACATATAGAAATACAGGCAAAGAAATAATTTATAGGACTGATAAATGATATTATTCCCACAATCAAGAAGAGATGAGAGTCAAGCTATTATAGAGAAATAAAAGTAAACCAAAAAAAACACTAAGTAGATGTTATTCTACCAAAAAGAAAAAGAAGTGTCCAAGAGCTAAAAATTAGCACAAATTTAAAATAGATTGTCTGAATTTGGTTATGATAATAAGGAAACATAAAAATGTAACTCAAATGGATTTTTTTTCTTAATTGAATTTAAAAATGATGAATTCTCATGATGAACATTAAAAACCAGTAAAAAATACATTTATTTACCCAATAGAAATGAAATTTTAGATATACTTATAAGTCCTGATGCCATTGTCGGTAATATTTAGCAAAAGATTAAATGTACTGCCCTGGAACTGCATCCATCGGTTGATTTGTTGTACAAAATCTGTAAAAAAAGAAATAAAAATTATTACATTATATATATGTCAGTCTCCTAATAAACATTGAATAAATTTATTCAAATTATTTTTAAAAAATACTTTAAACTTACTGTTAATTGGATAATAGACGATCAATATCGTAAACCAAAATGGTAGCTAAACATCAGGATTATACAAGGGGTGACCCAGGTCAATTCTTTTGAGAGGTCCTTATGTGCTGGTGTGTATTATTAATAACGATCCTAAAAAGAAAATTATAATTAAAGCATTATATATATATATATATATCAAAACGATGAAAAATTATTAACTAAAATATGACGACAGTGTTATATTTTTTTTAAAGGACAAGTTTAGTATAAAAGGTGATGTGTAAACTGTTTTCTTTCATCTGAAAGTATTATATAAATACTGAGAATGGAGCCCTTTAAGTATACTAAGGGTCGGCATTTCTGGTCTTGCGTACCGGTTTTCATGTGTACGAAGAGTACGGTCAACACACTTAGTAAAATAAGATGTACTGAATAAAGACAGAAGGCGAGTATTTTCCCAAGCGCATGGAATCTAACGTCAGATTAAGTAGTTATGTAAAAAATACTTCGTATTTTTGGTCACTCCGACTTACTAGATTGCCATAACGACTCACTCCTATACATGTAAACGCCGACCCAAAGGTTTGCTAGCCAGCGTTCAAAAAGACGTAGAAAACTTGTTTGCCTGTACGAATAAACACGTAAAAACCATATTTAGGAAAAAATTCAACAAAAAACATCTTTACATCTACCAACAAAAAATGGTTCAAAAAATACCAAATATCTCTAAATATAGAGCAATATTCTAAGTAACTATACTTTTAATATACAATAGGGACCTCAAGGAAATTCTCTATATTTCCATATACTCGATTTTCGAATAAGAAAATTATGAAAATAAGAAAAATGTATCAGCTTTGAATGATGATGTAATTGAAATACTTGCAAGTGAAAAAATCTATAGAAACAGGCAAACAATGGGTACTTACATTTTCAAGAGGTTAATCAGGCCTTAAGGAACCGAATACACTCACATAGTGTACAGAAAAACCACTTTTTTATTAAAAAATCAGAAAAATTCTAAAGAACCACATAACAAAACAAAAACATCTTGACAACACTTTAGTTCAAAATTTTCTCACCTTTTCCATAACGGCGCCACCATCATTGTTCTTCTTTTTCGTTTTTCGGGTCCTAAAAAAACTGTAACCACAGAATGAAAGTAGCGTTCTTCTTCTTTTTATATTTATAGTCCGAAGCAGAGTCGCCCACAGATTAGACATAGATTAAATCTTCGATCGTATAGTCCTAGCAGCTTATGCCGTGAAACTCATTAAGAAGAAAAATTATTTCTTCTTTCCTTTTTTAAGTGGCTTCAACTCATACAGGTTATCTGTCCTGTAAAAAATAAACAAAAGGAGAGAGTACAAATTATAATCTATGGTTAATTATTAGACAAAGACAACAAGAATAAACAAGCACAGCAATATTAACTTGTAAATAAAAAATTTAAAATTTCCACTTAATTTAAAACTATTTTAATGAAATCCAACACTTTAAAAATCCGTGATGTAGATAATACCGTTGATATTTAGGCACTAAATCTTCGAGATAACGGAAATGTTTTTGGTTTAGAAGCTAAAGCATCCAACCTTTAATATCACAACGCTCAGGATACAAGAAAAAGTTTTCAGTCTAGTTTATTACATCCTAATAATATTGAATTTTTAGTTAAGACTCTTACAAGAAAAAATAGAGAATTTAAATTCAATTAGAATTAAGAAAGGAATGAAAAATGCTCTTACTGATACAGGACACGTAAACATTCATTTATCGTACAAAAATATCAGAATACACTAACAAAAGTTATATATTGTAGGTATAAATTATTAGTAGAAGATACTGAGGTGGTTTTATTAAATTTACAGCAAGCATCAGATCAGATTTCAAGCGAAATTTAAAAAAATTCTGTAGCTCTAGTCCTGCATGGTGTAAAAGACAATTTATTTAATGTTAATATCGTCAACAACGCCATATAATAATATTTCTTGTTTCTAGACTATGATATACGTGTATAAGAATAGTTTTAGTTGCTTAATTTTTTAATAATAGCTAGCTGTCTTTTGTAGATAGAAAAAATAGCCGAAACTTTACAGCGTAACTTACAAAACTTGGAAGAAATTGAACTAAATACTGAACAAGTTAAGGCCAAGTTTAATGATGTGGATTATAGGAAGATTTTTTGTTTATATTTGTATAAGTTAAAAGAAATAAAACCATGGAAATACGAAAATTATAGATAATAAATTATTTGCATCCTATAAATATTATTCTATGTTATTATTATAAATATATGTTTTAAATATGCTTATATTTTTTATATTAAAATATACAGGGTTGTTTCATAAGTAGGGTTTTCCCCAAAAAGATTCATTTCCAAAGAAAGTTCATAATAAATGTACAGGATGAAAACAAATAAGTGTATATTAACTGGTCTGTCTTTATATCTGTGTGGACCACCCTGTACATAAATATTTACCACAGAATTCTTTCAAAAACGCCCTATTTAATAAAGAAAATAGTCCTTCTGAAAAAATCTTTGGAAAAAATAAACACCTGCTTGTATTATTAGTGACAATGACAATAAAAGTGTCACAATTATCATGTGTAAGAAAAAAAATTACTTGTAACATATTTCATAAACCATCTAAAGATTGTTAAAGAAAATGAAAAAAAGCACGCAAAGAAAACAGAGATAACCAGAGCATTTAATAATAACTTTAAACAATAATAATAATTCCAACAGTTATTATAATACTGTATTATTTTAGAACATATAGAATGAGATAAAGAACTCTCAACTATTTTAAATCTGTGTACACAAATGTGTAACAGATAAAAACATTGCAAGCAGCATATAAAAATAACTTGAAGCCATATCAAACCGGTACTGCTAACTAAATAGTTGTACAAGTAGTTCATATACTCAAAATAAAATGAGTTGCCCACACAGTTGCAGCACAACAGAAGAAAATCTGAAAGTTGTTAAGGTAGAGGCCAAGGATGTAAGGTTTCCTACGTCACTACAATCAGATGGATCGGATGCCATGGTAAGATAAATTAATTTTAATTTTTAAAACCCATTTTTTGTAAGAACTTAAAAGTTAATTTTGTCTTTTTGTGACTTATTTCTTTAATTTCCTGTACAAAATACAAAGTCAATTTTATTGTTCTATGTTTATTTCTATAAAAATGTATAATTTTAATATACAGGGTGGTCCGAACTGTATTCCGGAAACTTCGGCAGGATATTTAACTGAGAAAAATAAGTAAAAAAGTTCATATAAATCCTTGTCCTAAAATGTTTAGTTTCGGAGATACAGGGTGTAGACGTTTCATTTTTATTTCGATTTTTTACAAATAATTTCTGAAGTACCTAAGGTCAATATTTGGATGAAAATTGGTGTCTGGAGTTTTTTGACATGAGAAATTTGATCTTGATGTCAATAGGACTCCTATTTGTAGGGGGCGCCACCTACATGTGTTTTAACTGTTTTGAAGAGTAATAACTTTTTGTCCGTACCTGTATAAAATTACTGAGTGAAAAAATATACATTTTCGTGATTTTCTACGTAAAAAATGTCTCTTGGTAAAAATCGCTACGAGCAACCGTTCTCATGATATTTACAATTAAAATAGTCAATACATGTCATTATTGACTAAAAATAAACATGTTGAGTAGATAGTTGTTTGACTGAAATGAGAAATTTGGGAACTTTTTATATCATTAATTTTTCTTCTAAAAAATGATGATAAAACAGTTTCTGTTGAACTTTTGGCACAAAAACATTTCAAATTTATGATTTTAGTCTAATAACTGATTAGTCAACACGTTTAATTTATGTCAATGATGACAGGTATTGGTAACTTCGATTCCAAATATCTCAAGAACCACTACTCGTAGCGATTTTTACCAAGAGACCTTTTTTACGTGAAAAACGTCGTAAATGTATATTTTTTAACTAGCTAGTTTTATACAGGTACGGACGAAAAGTTATTACTCTCCAAACCAGTTAAAAAATACGTAGATGGCGCCCTCTAGAAGTAGGAGTCTTATTGACATCGAAATCAATTTTCTCATGTCAAAAACCTCTCAGACACCAATTTTCATCGAAATATTGACGATACTTCAGAAATTATTTGGAAAAAATCGAAATAAAAATGAAACTTCTACACCCCGTATCTCCGAAACTAAGCATTTTAGGACGTATATTTATATGAACTTTTTTACTTATTTCTATTGGCAGAACATGTTGCCGAAGTTTCCGGAATACAGTTCGGACCACCCTGTATACAGGGTGAATCTTAATTAAGTGCCAATATTTTCAGGGCTGGTAGATCTCGATAAAAGAAACACATTTTCTCTTTACCGTTTTTCAAATAAATCCAAAATAACCGCGTTATTTTACTTTGAAAATTTCCAAAAAAAAATATTTTTTTGCTTAAATTTTGAGAACCACTGGATCTTTTTTGGATTTTCTTGCTTGTAAATTTAATCTCTATCTTAAGTTGCCATATTAACAAGAAATAATGTTTTTTAACTTTATTTCTTGTTAACATGGCATACATTTTTATTGTTTTTTTCTCTGAAAAAACTCATAATCGTGTTTTTGGGGTGGATATATACTACCCTTAAAAATATTTGCACTTATTTGAGACTCACCCTGTATATTGAAGTATTATATCGAAAAAACGCCGAAGTTTAAAAAATTATATTTACACTGATAAAAATTAAAGAATTTTGAAAAATATGTTCAAAATTAAATTTATCGTACATATGTATTATTACAATAACAAAATGTAAACTACTATTGGTTACATTTACGTAAATAGATTGTGTGGTTGGGCGACATAGATAAGTCTTTAAAATGATGAAAATAAAATATTCCAACATAAGTGTTTACAGACTTAAAATTTATCAAACGAATTTAATAAAGGAAAAATTTCACAATAATATTTGAGAATATTTCATGAGATACTTAAAAATAAAATAAATAAACCTTATATAATATTTACATAATTTTTATTTTGAAACTTTTGTAACTATCTTTTCAATCTAATATTATTTTTTTTTTAAATTGTGTGTGCATATATTTGAAGTGGAACTTCCATGTTTGAAAAAGTGTAGTTTGAAACGTTGAAAAAGTAATAAATTAATAAATAATTTTATTAATTTTCACAATTTTTTTTTATTAAAATTACCGTCTCTCCGTCTGTATTGTACAGGGTGGCGCCTCTCATACGCCGCGGAGGCTCTAAGGAGAACGACAGTTTGTATTGAAATTTAATTTTGTGAGCATATCTAGGTTAATTTAGAGCACTTTTTAAAAATATAGAGAAATCTACAGGGTGTCCCCAAAAAAAGTTCCATATCAAAGTTGTGTTTTTTGTAATGGAACACCTAGTTAATTTTTATTGATTAATTATATTTTTATATCCAGTTTTAATTCTGTAATAATTAAAATATGTTTTAAACGTCTATCTTTTAATTACTCTTGAGTATTTTACTCTACAACCTTTAATTTTTGTTAAATTAACAAAAGGTATATCACACAGCCACCTAGATTTTTTCAAAAAATTAAGATTTGCTGACGCAAAATCGTAAAAATTCAAATATCTGGAAAAATCTTTGTGTGAGGGGTAGGCAACCTTAATAATATTTTGAAGATATAAAAATTCCCCATTGAACACCGGAAAAATATACTGGGTGTTCCATTTAAAATACAGGAGTAACTTGCTTTTAAAAGTGACTAATGTTCCATATTCATTTTGTCTCACCCTGTATAACTTTTCGGGTCAAATTTCAATTTGGTTTAACATACAACGGTTACTGTAATTAAATATCAAGCTATACAAGGTCATCTAAAATTTAGGTAGCTGTTATTGAAATTTAATATTTACTCTACCTTTTCACAAAATGTGAAATATGTCAAAATCCTTAGATGTTAGGTATATGCTTCTTTAATAAAACTCACCTTTATTTTTTTCCTAGAATCCGAAAATCAATTAATATATAAGGTGTTCCGTTAGAAAAAACACAACTTTCATGTGTAACTTTTTTTGGGGACACCCTGTATAATTCCATATATTTTTATAAAATGCTTTCAGTTAACCTACATACGCTGCCAAAATTTCAATTCGATATAAACTACCGTTCTCCTTGGAGCTTCCGCGGCGTATGAGAGGCGCCACCCTGTATAATTAACAAATAAGTTGATTCAATTTCACAAAATTGGTAATACAATATCAATATTTTTGATAAACACGTGGACTGCTCACAGATTCACGCCGCGTCACTACGTATTTCAAAGCCGTAAGCTGTGTCTCGCTAGCTCGTGTGTCACGAGTCACGACCTTGAATTTTTACTCCCTGCGCGCGTAAAAAAGTTACACTTCAAAACATGCTGTACACTATACTTTGTTCAAATGTATTTAGGGAATTATAATACAATATAATCGAAAAAAAAACTGCGTCAGCGATGGCTATGAAATGAAGATCGCTGTCATTTTATATGGGGAATGTCATCGATCCTCATTTCCAAGCCAACTGGACATTATACTGTATCTATTTATTATCTGAGTAATATAAAACCCTAATAGATTACCTTGACTTTCAGAACACAGCAGTAAAATAATATATTTCCACAAAAATACAATAAATATTTCTTTTTAAAAACGTTTTGGTATTATTGTAAACCCTTTTCTATATAAAATCAAATATTTTTTCAGAAAATCTCACAGGCTTTTTCTATTTAATAGTTTTATAGAAAATTGAAAATTTTTTGCGCATTCACCATTTAGTAAAAAAATGTCCGATGCTATCTACAGGGTGGTACGAGCCGTATTCTGGAAACTTCGGCAGCATATTCTGCAGATAAAAATAAGTAAAAAAGTTCGTATAAAATGCTTGGTTTCGTAGATACAGGGTGTAGAAGTTTCATTTTTATTTCGATTTTTTCCAAATAATTTCTAAAGTAACGTCAATATTTTGATGAAAATTGGTGTCTAGGAGTTTTTTGACGTGAGAAATTTGATTTTGATGTCAATATGACTCCTGGTTGCAGAGGGCGCCACCTACATATTTTTTAACTAGTTTGAAGAGTAATAACTTTTCGTCTGTACCTGTATAAAACTAGTACGTACAAAAATATCCATTTACGGCGTTTTTTACGTAAAAAAGGTCTCTTTTTTAGTCAATAATGACATGTATTAACTATTTCGATTCTAAAAATCTTAAGAACGGTTGCTCGTAGCGATTTCTGTCCAAGAGACATTTTTTACGTAAAAAATCACGGAAATGTATATTTTTTTACTTACTAGTTTTATACAGGTACGGAAAGTTATTACTTATTACGGTACAAAAAGTTATTACTCTTCAAAACAGTTAAAACACATGTAGGTGGCGCCACCTAAAAATGGGAGTCATATTGACATCAAAATCAAATTTCTCATGTCAAAGACACCAATTTTCATCCAAATATTGACGTTAGCTCAGAAATTAATTGGAAAAAATGGAAGTACAAATGAAATTTGTACACCCTGTATCTCCGAAACTAAGCATTTTAGGACATACATTTATACGAACTTTTTTTTTCAACAGAACATGCGGCCGAAGTTTCCGGAATACAGTTCGGACCACCCTGTATACACCCTCTAATATACAGGGAGTGCCCATTTAATAAAAAAGATATATTTACGTTGCACCGTAGCACACCGATCCTGACTACTCTTGTGCCTATGTCACTGTCACACTGAAATCCGGACTGCAAGGACACGGACTCACCTTCACCAATGGCAGAGGCACCGAAATCGTAGTTCAAGCTGTCAATTCTTTGAGTTATTTGCTGGTCGGACAGGTGGTCACAGATATTTACAAGGACTTTGCCAAGTTCTGGAGATCGGTCACCAGCGAGAGTCAAATTAGATGGGTAAGTTTTTTGGTTTGATTCACCCTGTAACACACACAGAGTAAAGTAATATAATAATTTTATATAATAGTAAAATAATATCACAGATTATAATCTTTGTTTTTTCTTTATTGTTTTTCGTGGTTCCAATTTTCGGAATCGGACACTAGTTAGGTGACTAGTTTGCGCACATAGCACGCCCACTTATGGCCTCTAAAATTGTGCACAGCGCCTGACCGTTATTAGAGAGATATCGGAAAACCGAATAGCGTCATCCAGTATTTACGCGTACCTTTTCATGGTTACGATATGCGCCAGTCAATTTTTAACGCAACGCCCGCTAATAACCTTACCGCCTGACGTAATTTGCGGATCAATTACACCAAGCGCTCTTTCTAAAAAACCTCTGATAACGTTTAAAAATTGCCTAAATGGGCATGTGCGGGTATTTGACAACCGGAGCCGGCCGGCGAGATCTTTTATTTTAGGTTATGTTTGAATTGTTTTGAATTATTGCTTTAGTTTTATTAGGTAATTTGATATTTAAGTAGCTGGAATTAGTTTTAATTAAATAAATATGGCCCAAAATATGGATTCCACCTCTTCCAATACTAAAGAACCTATAAAGAGTCTTAGGTATACAGCAGATGACGACTTAGCCCTTCTAAGAGAATTTGTTGCTTGTTGCCCTAAACCTACTGGCAGACGTTGAACAATAAAGCACTGGAAACAAGCACTTTAGCCCTTTAGTTTTAAAATACCTAGTAAACAAAACAATTTCAAAGTTTTAAATTCAAAGTTAGGTTAAGTTTAAATAGCGGACGCATCGCGATCAGAATTCTTTCCGATCCGATAACTATAAATGAAAAGAGTTAATACCACCTCACGTAAAGGAAATAACACCTGGGGGCATATTAACGTCCATGCACGCTATTCGGTTTAGCGATATCTCTCTATTACACTGTTTATTGTTATTTTACGCCAGTTTATTTTTGCGCACAGGAAATTTGACTCGTTTGCACATCGTCATAAAAAACAATTTTCGTATCACGAATTAGGGACAAGATTTTTATCTGTATACTTATAGGATACCTAATCTGTGGTAATATAATAATAATAAAATAACAAATGGTATGAATAAATAGCAAAAAGAATCTATAATAATATGGTATGATCGAGAAAAAATGGCGTCATAGTAGACTTTGAAATGATAATAGAAAAAAATTATAATGAAAGAAGCGATTTTTCTAAAAGAAAAATAAAAGAGGCACAACTAGATTTTACAATCTAATAAAAATAAATGTATTGCTCATGCATCTGTAGATGTTAGTAATGTATGGCAATCTGGTTATTAGTTTTTGGTGGGGGTGGGGGATTGGTAAGGGGGTTAACAATTTTAAAAAATAGTAACTCCAAAATTACAGTTGCTAGCGAAACGCGGTTTTCAATTTAAGATTAGGAATAATATTTGCAACAAAATTTGTAATAACATCAAAATCAGCCAAAGTCCCAGTTTCTGAGATAAAAAAATGGAAAAATTCCTTTACTTTGAAACTAAAAAAACTGCCTACCAACTTTTTATTAACATATTTTAGTATGGGCGACTGTACGTGCCTCCAGGCGCAAATTTTTTAACGTATTTTTTATCTGTTTACCTTCGTCAATTCTAAAAATTGGAATTATTTTTACACCGTTCGTACAACATATTTCCCAAGTTTTTTGTTTATTTCTCAAAGATTCGAGAGGTTATCACATGAAAGTGTTATCTTTATCTCGTACGTTTATTACGGTTACGTAATAAAATCAATGAAAAGTAGATTTAAATTTACGTAAATCATTTTTAATTATCATAATACGATAATTAATTACCATATCATCATGATCTTTGGCTTTATTCTACGGAATGCTAAAACAAAATCCGGATTTTCTTTTTAAAAAACTTACAAACCTTCTCATATTATACAGGTTGGCCCAGAAAAAGGCGTAACCCACTTGGCTACAGCAGCTCTGATAAACGCTCTATGGGATCTGTGGGGCAAATTACTCAAAAAACCCGTCTGGAGACTACTGGCCGACCTCGAACCCGAAGTACTGCTTTCCGTGATCGATTTTAGGTACATCACCAACGTGATCACGAAAGAAGAAGCCTTGTCCCTCTTAAAACAGGGTCAAGTTGGTAAAGAACAAAGGATAAAAACGTTGCAGAGCACCGGGTACCCTTGTTACACCACACAAGCAGGTGAGACCATCGGTTGTTGTCATATTGTCTTTATTTTAAAGGCAATATGATCGGGGAAATGGATCCTATCCCTCAAGTTTTTTTTCTTTAAGATAAATATACGGTAAAGACAGTATGTAGAGAAGCTTCATACTACTTTATAGTATTTTAAAAGATGTTTCCTTTAAATAGGATGGTTGGGATATCCAGACGAAAAGATCAGAGAGCTTGCTCAGAAATACATCGACTTGGGATACACGGTGTTCAAAGTAAAAGTCGGTAGAAATCTCGAAGATGACATTAAAAGGTGCGAGTTAATCAGAAACATCATCGGATATGAGAGAACATTGGTAATTCAGTTTACAGTTTTTTACGTGTAAAAATCTATTTTTTACGTGTACAGGGTGTCCCAGGCTGAGCGTGCATTAGAAGTTTCCAGAGAACTACAATATTTAGATCGGAGATTTTTTGCGCATCATTGTTTCACAGTGATCTATCGATTAAAAATATTTTCAATATGCCGGCACCTCCGGGGACACCGGAAGTTGACAGAAACTTTCTTATTTTAAATGGGTACCCCAATTTTTTATTGCATACTTAAATTCTCTGTAAAATTTTATGAATTTTGATATCAAACACTCTATAAATAACATTAACCGTTTTGGAGAAAAAAAAATATTTAAAATTTTTGGAGGAAAAAAACTGCCTGTCAAAAAAATTTGTATAGCCTAAATGTCAAATTTAGTGATTACTACAGCCACTGGGACATAAAGAATAGACATGTGGCTATCTATTTCAAAAATTAAATTGTTTGAATGTCATATAATATTGGCCGTAGCTGTCATAGAATCGAGAGATTAAAAAATTATCATAATTCATTTTTTTCAAATGGAAACCTACTTTTTTTATTTCACTAGTGGAAAGGCTTTTTAATTCGTTACTTTTTGATTATACATGTTCCTATACCTAAAATAAATCGTTTTTAAGTTATTTAGGATTTAGTTTTAAAGCGTATATTTTTCTGGTTTTTAACCAGTAACCTAATGACTTTAAACGTCAAGCCATGTAAAACTATATCTGGCCATGTCATATTATCATTAGAGATCACTAAAATACAGATGTATTTTTATAAATTCCCTTTATAAAGTTTAACAGCAGTATTTATAATATACGAAATTCAAATAATTCGTTTTTTGAGTGAAGGAAATAAATTGACTGATGGTTTGACACTTAATGTCAAAGGAAGCTACATAAAATCAAGAAAAAAATACGCTTTAAAACTAATTCTTAAATAACTTAAAAACGATTTATTTTGGGTACAGGAACATGTATAATTAACAAGTAACGAATTAAAAAACCTTTCCGCTAGTGAAATAAAAAAAAAGTAGGTTTCCATTTGAAAATAAAAAATCGGTAAAAAAACTTTTAAGTTAAACGGTTTTATCGTATGTGCACTGAAAACTAGAAAATAATAATAACAATTAGGTATTTTGAACTTCTAGTTCAGAAATATTTTAGTACTAGGCAGAATAGCTTTTAGGCATATTAGACTAAAATAAAAACGTGGGGTCCCTCTGAAATCCTACCTATGGCAAAGCATATCTTTATACTTTGGTAGATCACGAGCTCGGCGTTCGCTGGTGAAGCCGCCACGGCTGGTTATTGTCAAAATCTCCAGTTACGATTATAGTAAATCGATGCAATCCACACTTAGTATAGAAGAAAGTATTACAGCAATAGTTAATGGGCCCCACGTTTTTATTTTAGTCTAATATGCCTAAAAGCTATTCTGCCTAACTAGAAGTTCAAAATACCTAATTGTTATTATTATTTTCTAGTTTTCAGTGCACATAAGATAAAACCGTTTAACTTAAAAGTTTTTTTACCGATTTTTTATTTTCTAGTTTTTAGTATTTAACGGAAATGCCTACCGAATATTCCTCATTCTATTTAATTCATTTAGTGCATCATTATTACATGGTTTTTTACCTGATAATTTATTACAATCTGACGCACAGGTGTTTCTGACACTAACAACTCTCTATGTCTGTCGCGTTCTGATGCTAGCCTAGACTCATGACGCTCAGGTGTTTCTGACGCTAACAACTCTCTCTGTCTGTGGCGTTCTGATGCTAGCCTAGACTCATGACGCTCAGGTGTTTCTGACGCTAACAACTCTCTCTGTCTGTCGCGTTCTGATGCTAGCCTAGACTCATGACGCTCAGGTGTTTCTGACGCTAACAACTCTCTCTGTCTGTCGCGTTCTGATGCTAGCCTAGACTCATGACGCTCAGGTGTTTCTGACGCTAACAACTCTCTCTGTCTGTCGCGTTCTGATGCTAGCCTAGACTCATGACGCTCGGGTGTTTCTGACGCTAACAACTCTCTTTGTCTCTCTCGTTGTGATGCCAGCCTAGACTCATGACGCTCAGGTGTTTCTGCCGCTAACAACTCTGTCTGTCACGTTGTGATGCTAGCCTGGACTCATGACGCTCAGGTGCTTCTGACGCTAACAACTCTCTCTGTCTGTCGCGTTCTGATGCTAGCCTAGACTCATGACGCTCAGGTGTTTCTGACGCTAACAACTCTCTCTGTCTGTCGCGTTCTGATGCTAGCCTAGACTCATGACGCTCAGGTGTTTCTGACGCTAACAACTCTCTGTCTGTCGCGTTCTGATGCTAGCCTAGACTCATGACGCTCAGGTGTTTCTGACGCTAACAACTCTCTCTGTCTGTCGCGTTCTGATGCTAGCCTAGACTCATGACGCTCAGGTGTTTCTGACGCTAACAACTCTCTCTGTCTGTCGCGTTCTGATGCTAGCCTAGACTCATGACGCTCGGGTGTTTCTGACGCTAACAACTCTCTTTTGTCTCTCTCTCGTTGTGATGCCAGCCTAGACTCATGACGCTCAGGTGTTTCTGCCGCTAACAACTCTGTCTGTCACGTTGTGATGCTAGCCTGGACTCATGACGCTCAGGTGCTTCTGACGCTAACAACTCTCTCTGTCTGTCGCGTTCTGATGCTAGCCTAGACTCATGACGCTCAGGTGTTTCTGACGCTAACAACTCTCTCTGTCTGTCGCGTTCTGATGCTAGCCTAGACTCATGACGCTCAGGTGTTTCTGACGCTAACAACTCTCTCTGTCTGTCGCGTTCTGATGCTAGCCTAGACTCATGACGCTCAGGTGTTTCTGACGCTAACAACTCTCTCTGTCTGTCGCGTTCTGATGCTAGCCTAGACTCATGACGCTCAGGTGTTTCTGACGCTAACAACTCTCTCTGTCTGTCGCGTTCTGATGCTAGCCTAGACTCATGACGCTCAGGTGTTTCTGACGCTAACAACTCTCTCTGTCTGTCGCGTTCTGATGCTAGCCTAGACTCATGACGCTCAGGTGTTTCTGACGCTAACAACTCTCTGTCTGTCGCGTTCTGATGCTAGCTCTAGACTCATGACGCTCGGGTGTTTCTGACGCTAACAACTCTCTTTGTCTCTCTCGTTGTGATGCCAGCCTAGACTCATGACGCTCAGGTGTTTCTGCCGCTAACAACTCTGTCTGTCACGTTGTGATGCTAGCCTGGACTCATGACGCTCAGGTGCTTCTGACGCTAACAACTCTCTCTGTCTGTCACGTTGTGATGCTAGCCTAGACTCATGACGCTCAGGTGTTTCTGACGCTAACAACTCTCTTTGTCTCTCTCGTTGTGATGCCAGCCTAGACTCATGACGCTCAGGTGTTTCTGCCGCTAACAACTCTCTCTGTCTGTCACGTTGTGATGCTAGCCTGGACTCATGACGCTCAGGTGTTTCTGACTCTACCAGCTGTCTTTGTCTCTCACGTTGTGCTATTAACCTGGCATCATGTTGCTCAGGTGTTTCTGTTGCTAACCGTTCTCTTCGTTTCTGTAGTCGACTATAGGTTTCATTTTCACTTTCTTTTCAAAAATTTGAAATATTTTTTTTTCTCAAAAACGGTTAATGTTAGTTATAGAGTGTTTGATATCAAAATTCATAAAATTTTACAGAGAATTTAAGTATGTAATGAAAAATTAAGGTACCCATTTAAAATAAGAAAGTTGCTGTTAACTTCCGGTATTTCCGGAAGTGCCGCCATATTGAAAATAGTTTTAATCGATAGATCTCATTGTGAAACAAAAAAATCTCCGATCTAGATATTGTAGTTCTCTGGAAACTTCTAATGCACGCTCAGCCTGGGACACCATACCACTTATTTTTTTACACTTAATTTTTTTTTTTAATTTTTCAGATGGTAGACGCTAACCAAGTGTGGGAAGTACAGGAAGCCATCGACTGGATGAAGCACTTGGCTCGTTTCAAGCCGCTCTGGATCGAGGAACCGACGAGTCCAGATGACGTTTTAGGTCATGCGGAGATTGCCAAAGCTCTAAAACCCTACGGAATAGCCGTGGCCACTGGAGAGATGTGCTGTAACAGAGTACTGTTCAAGCAGTTCCTTCAAGCTGAGGCCTTGGAGTACTGTCAAATAGATTCAGCCAGAATAGGAGGAATTAATGAGATTCTCAGCGTGTATTTGATGGCGAAAAAACTCGGAGGTATGTACTATAAAAAAATCCCCATTAATTTCTAACTTTTCGGAACACCCTGTACATGAGACGTATTATTTCCCTTTTTCAGTTAAAGTGTGTCCTCATGCCGGCGGTGTGGGACTGTGCGAGATGGTTCAACATCTCCAAATGTGGGATTTCGTGGCACTAAGCGGTACCAGCGAAGGTAGAGTTGTAGAATTCGTCGATCAACAACACGAACATTTTGTTAATCCCTGTATAATAAAGAACGCCCATTATACAGCACCCACGGTAAGGAAAATATGATAGGATCAAAAAAAAATTGCGTCAAAGACAGCTATAGATTTGTGTGTTCTATGTGAATATTCTATCCTTTTTTTAATCCTTCTATAATTAGTGATTTGACAAATTTTATGACAATTAAGTTAGTTAATGACGTCTAGAGCTTGACCTCATTAAAATTATCATCGATTTTCATTCTCCAGCAGTCTTTGACGCAGTTTTGTTTTTCGGTCATACAGTATTATCTACCTTATAGAAAATTAGGTTTTTTTACACGTAAAAAACAAGTTTTTTTAATTAATTAATGATTATTTTTAGGCACCTGGATATAGTACAACCATGAAACCTGAATCGATAGCAGCCTACGAATATCCAAATGGATCAGAATGGCAAAGTATGTTTGCCAAAGGTATATTTCACGATCCAAGAAAATGATCATGTTAAAATATAAAATTTTCATTATATTACAACAAACAAATCATTCCAATGTATTTTTGTATTTTTATTTGTTATTAAAATTGATAATTTGCGCAATTTAAAGCTACATATGTATTGTATTGTTAAATAAATAAACTATAAATTAAAAGAAAAATGATTTTTCTTTACCTATCTTTTGCTGAACATAAATTTGTCAAGTTTTCGTTGTTTTTCCACTTGTTTCTCTTGCGTATCCGAGTCAGATAATTTTCGTTTTTCTCCATTCTAGTAAAAAATATCAATACAATAAATAAAATTAACTATAAAGAAATAAAACTACCTCTGAATTTTGTTGGGCTTTACTATTAACGGGTGTCTCTTCCTCTAAACCGGCAAATTTATCTGTCAAACTCAAAGGACTGTTCGTTTGACCATTTTTCAGTCTTTTTGCAAAAGGATTTTTCGATGCCGAATCCTGCGAATCATCCTGAGCTGATTCAGCATTTGCTCTCTTCAAAAACGGATTTTTTGGCGTCAATTCAACAATGGATTCGGATTCACTAAACAATGATTCCTAAAATTAAATAAAATTTAATTACTAATCCCAAGAAACAGAAATCTACACTAAAAATCATATTGATGAAAAAACAACAGAAATATTATATAATTGAAAAAACGGCGTCATAGTAGCCTTTGAATGATAATATTCGTCACAGGTTACCATAACATCGTTTCTTTCTCGATTATCACTAAGATTGCACAAAAAACAGCAATCTACACTAAACAATTATGTTGATAAAAAAACACCAGAAATATTTTAATACTGAAAAAACGGCGTCATAGTAGCCTTTGAATGATAATATTCGTCAGAGGTCACCATAACATTGTTTTTTTTTCGATTATCACTAAGGTTACACAAAAAACAGCAATCTACACTAAAAAATCATGTTGATGAAAAAACAACAGAAATATTTTAATACCGGGAAAAAAAACGGCGTCATAATAGCCTTTGAATGATAATATTCGTCACAGGTCACCATAACATCGTTTTTTTTCTCGATTATCACTAAGATTACACAAAAAACAGCAATCTACACTAAAAAATCATGTTGATGAAAAAAGAACTGAAACATTTTAATACTGAAAAAAACGGTGTCATAATAGCCTTTGAATGATAATATTCGTCACAGGTCACCACAACATCGTTTTTTTTCTCGATTATCACTAAGATTACACAAAAAACAGCAATCTACACTAAAAAACCATGTTGATGAAAAAACAACAGAAATATTTTAATACCGGGAAAAAAACGGCGTCATAATATCCTTTGAATGATAATATTCGTCACAGGTCACCATAACATCGTTTTTTTTCGATTATCACTAAGATTGCACAAAAAACAGCAATCTACACTAAAAAATCATGTTGATGAAAAAAGAACTGAAACATTTTAATACTGAAAAAAACGGCGTCATAATAGCCTTTGAATGATAATATTCGTCACAGGTCACCATAACATCGTTTTTTATTCGATTATCACTAAGATTACACAAAAAACAAGAATCTATACTAAAAAATCATGTTGATGAAGAAACAACAGAAATATTTTAATACTGAAAAAACGGTGTCATAATAGCCTTTGAATGATAATATTCGTCACAGGTCACCATAACATCGTTTTTTTTTCTCGATTATCACTAAGATTACACAAAAAACAGCAATCTACACTAAAAAATCATGTTGATGAAAAAGAACTGAAACATTTTAATACTGAAAAAAACGGTGTCATAATAGCCTTTGAATGATAATATTCGTCACAGGTCACCATAACATCGTTTTTTTTCGATTATCACTAAGATTACACAAAAAACAGCAATCTACACTAAAAACCATGTTGATGAAAAAACAACAGAAATATTTTAATACCTGGAAAAAACGGCGTCATAATATCCTTTGAATGATAATATTCGTCATAGGTCACCATAACATCGTGTTTTTTTTCGATTATCACTAAGATTGCACAAAAACAGCAATCTACACTAAAAAATCATGTTGATGAAAAAGAACTGAAACATTTTAATACTGAAAAACGGCGTCATAATAGCCTTTGAATGATAATATTCGTCACAGGTCACCATAACATCGTTTTTTATTCGATTATCACTAAGATTACACAAAAAACAAGAATCTATACTAAAAAATCATGTTGATGAAGAAACAACAGAAATATTTTAATACTGAAAAAAAAAACGGCGTTATAATAGCCTTTGAATGATCATATTCGTCACAGGTCACCATAACATATTTTTTTTTCGATTATTACTAAGATTACACAAAAAACAGCAATCTACACTAAAAAATCATGTTGTTGAAAAAACAACAGAAATATTAAAATATTTCTGTTGTTTAATAAATGTATTTCTGCAATTTCTGTTCACCATAACATCGTTTTTTTTTCGATTATCACTAAGATTACACAAAAAACAGCAATCTACACTAAAAAATAATATCGAAGAAAAAACAACAGAAATATTTTAATACTGAAAAAAAACGGCGTCATAATAGCCTTTGAATGATAATATTCGTCACAGGTCACCATAACATTGTTTTTTTTTTCGATTATCACTAAGATTACACAAAAAACAGCAATCTACACTAAAAAATCATGTTGATGAAAAAACAACAGAAATATTTTAATACTGAAAAAAAGGCGTCATAGTAGCCTTTGAATGATAATATTCGTCACAGATCACCATAACATCGTTTTTTTTTCGATTGCCTCGCAGTTTATTTTGCAATTTTCTAAATTGTATTTTTTTAAATGGACTTACCTGAGTATTCACCACAGAACTGTTGTTTTCACTGTTATCTGGTTGACTTTCCTCCACTTGAGACTAAAATTTAAGTAATTTAAAAAATCCATAAATTTTTTAATTATTTTAATAGCTATTTACGCACCTCATTTTTGAATTTTCTATGTTTCTTTCCTGATAATTTTGACAAACTCAATCTATTAATCGTTTGAGGTTTTACAATATTCTGTTGCCTCTCGATGCCAGAATTTACAACTATCGGTGTTGAGTCTTCTTCAGCTTTTTCTTCCGCTTGAAGACTTCCAGCCAATTCCATCAATTTCTCTGCCAATCTCCTTTTGTTCAATTTCGAAGCGTATTTCAAGCCTAAATTCAGTATTTGAGCGTTTCCTATTATTTCTATCACTTCCAAGGCTCTTTGGTCGAGATCATTTTTGCATGCCAACTATACAAACCAAAAAAACATAAATAAATCATAAAAAATGAGCGAAAAAAATTACTTACGGCAAAAGTCTTCAGTGCAGTCTCCTTGAATTTTTTGTCAGTGTCCATTACTTTCAGATTAGACCACGTATACAGGCTCATCTCCATTTGAGTTTTTTCTGTACTAATTTCAGCAAAAGGAGGCTCCAAAGGCAACTCACAGAGAGTGGGTTTAGGTATAAACCCAGGATAAGCGGAACCTTTGCATTTTATACCACCTAAAGCTTGATATGTTTCGAAAACTGACGTTACAAAGAACCCATCTGCCGGACTTTTACGCTAAAAACCATTAAATCAACAAAAAAATCACAGAATAATAGAATAACTCACGTGTCTGGTTGTATCACAGAAGGGTATCCAAGTATTACACTTCGGAGGGTACAAACTCAACATCCCCAAAGAATCCATCATACCGGGCGTTCCAGAATCGGAGAAACCCAGCCAAAATAGCGTAGACTCGGGACCCAGGGCTGAACCGAGATCGTGGCACTCAACTCGCGTACCTTTGAACTCAAACAGCTTGATATTGATGCACTGGTCCTTGTTTCGAATGCCCGACGAATGGTAAGCTACCAGAAGAACATTTCTGTAAGCCGACATAGATACTAAGGGTCCCGGAACGGAAACTATTCCCCTCTGAGTCCCGTAGACTGAGCAAACCCTTATTATATACCCGGAAGTGGCGAAACAAACTAGGTTTTCTGAGGAGGCGACTAGAATTATTTCTTCGTACTCTTCGACCTTTAAATTCCACTCCTTGTTGCCTGAGAGCATCGGTATTACCATAATTTGACTAAAAAAACAACAAAATGCCGTCAAATAATTCAAATTATCCGCAAAATAATTTATTAGAAGTAATTTCCTTCTTTACCAACAATTACAGTTTTCTCCTTCAACATTACCTAATTTACCGACTATTACAGGTTCCTAACTTATCGTTATTACAGTAATCTACTTATCGACATTACAGATTTCTTTTTATTATGCAACAGGGTTGGGATTTGCGCAATCTTCCCGTTTTTTACATAAAGACGAAAACTACACGTAAAAAAAGTAAAAAAATTCTGGAAACATTATTAATCTAATAAAAAATATAAGAGAAAACAATTTCTCTTCTATTGTTACCGTTATGATTTTGATTTCAACATAAAATAAATAAAAAAAATATTCTAAAATAAGATTTGAAAAGTTTCTTAAAATATAATTTGTTTAGCTACCCATCCCTCGCATTTTAAAAAATTAACGTTTTTCTTACTTGTTATTGGCTACAACTAGGGCGCCTTTGCTTACAGCACCCATCGTATATTCCTGATAATTCTGCAACATTATGCTGTTATGAAATGTGGAATCGTGGAACTCTATTTCGATAGTTTTTGATGCCATTTCGGTACTGTCTGCACTGTTTCCATAACTTTTTATCACCCCGACTTCATTGTAACACAAATATCTGGGATCTAGATGTTCTGGGGTTGAAGATGGCATAAACGGATCTTGTAACGGTACTTCTGGAGTTCTAGGTCTTGGAGTTGGAGCCCTTGATGACACTAAAACAAAATTTAACCAGAAAAATTAAGAAAAAATGGGGAAAAACTAAAACCACCTTCACTGAGAGCTTTAAGCTCAGATTCCGGACTTCCCAAATATTGTTGTTTTAATTTTTCAACTGATACTGCATTTTCATTATCTTCATCAGCATCATCAAAATTTACATCACCAAAATCCACTTCGTTTTCCGTAAAATTCTCAATCTCAGGCTCATTGGTTTCACTGACCATTTCCATTTTAGAACAATTAGACATGATACTAAGTTGACCCTCGATATCTGTGTAAACTATTTTACCGTTATCTAAAATTTTAATAAATTAAAATTAAAGAAAAAACTTTTTAATCTGTACTTACTTCTAGGACTCCAATTGAGGCCACACACAGGTTTAGAGCTTTCATGTTTACTAGTTGTAAATATACTTTTCTGTGCAACATTCCATATTGCAAAATCACCTTCAACAGAAGCTGCAGCTAAATATTTGCCACAATATGAAAATTGAAGAACCGAATAATCTGCAGATATTTTTTCATGATTTAAAACCTCTTCATTCCATGTGTCAGTGTTCAGCAATATAACAGAATTATTTTTTGGATAAGCTAAGTACTTTCCGTCTATTGGATAAAAATCTAATCTACCTAAAAATAAACACATTAAAAATTGAAATCCAACTTTAATATATGTCTTACATAAATTCTTAGCATTGGCAAAACTATTAACTTTAGGAAAGCAGGATATCTCTTTTAAAAGACTGTTTGTTTGAAGTTCCCAAATATAAAGACTGCCATTTCCACAAGAAGCTGCCACTTTAGTTGCATTCGGGCATAATGCTACACTCAGGCAAGGTCCAGGTAGTTCTTTAAACGCTGCTACAGTTGAATTGCTGTCCAGATCCATTACTATCACTTCCATACCCTCACTAGCTATGGCGATAAGCTGAAATTTACTGTTTAGTAAATAATTTTAACTGCACTCGTTTCTAACATTTTTATTTTTACATGTAGCCAGCTGATTGAAAGGATCGGTAGATCGGGTAAGTACACCGTCTCTTTCACCTTCGGGATGAGTCAATATCTGAATTTCATTACTTCCAGTCGCTACATAGAGCTTATCGTTTTTCTGTTGGACACTCAGAGCCCATTCTCCTATACAAGTATGATGTGGATCTTCGCCTTCGTTTATAGACCATATACGAATATCTCCGTCAGATCCACATGTTATAAAGTTTCTAAAATAGTTTCATATAAATTTAACAAATACAACAGGAGAGAATAGGTACTTACTCGCCGTCCTCAGAATAACAGACGTCTGTATGCCCTTCGTCGTGGGCATATCGCAAAGGTTCGTGAGTAATTGACATTTTTAATCCGTAAAATTACTAAATTCCAGGCATAAAAATACTTTATTTAATTAAAACAAATTCCTAAATTTACTTAGCCTACAAACAGAAAAACCGCCAAAAAATGACAAACTTTTTTATAGGTTAAATCAGATTCTGACTTACCGACTGGGCAGGGTTGGCCTCTTCGAAATCTTAAATACAAAAATCAGAGACAAAACTGATTTTTAAAGCAGTTTTTAAAGATTTTGGGACGCTATTAATTAATTATTAATAGTTTTAAATCATTTGTTTTATATTTTGACCATTAATTTCGCATGAAAAGCTGTTAAAATGTTGTTAATTAATTTAATTTAAATGAAGTGTGGCTATTGTCGGGTAGATGGAGACAGGTTCGAGGTTGAAAATGAGTGGTGATGGGCGAAGCAACGGTATGTAAAATCTCGATTTACAGAGCGCGTCCGCCATTTTTGATGCGTCAAAGTGGGGATGTTGTGAGCCCTAAGTTAATTTTACAAAAAATTTACGAAAGTGCCCGTATTTTTTTCAATTGGACCCCAATTAGCGCAACAAAGGCCAATCGTCGACGTTTCTGCGATAAGAATTGAGCCGCCAGTGAAAGTGTTTATGTGCAATCAAAATAAGAAGACTGCTGGTCAGCTCCTATCTGGAATCTAGCAGCGTGGCTCTTTGTTTCTGCCGCCACGACAAGTTCGTTTAATGGTGAGTAGAAGTTTTACGCTTTTTTCCTTGTTTTAACTCGAATTTGGCTGTGAGACGATGGAAATGGTGTAGTAGAAAAGATTGGTAAGCGGCATGCATGCCTTATTAAACACCTTGAGCATTGGCTTGCGTGTATCGCGTACAAGCAAGCTTTCTCTAGCACGGCGGATAGGTAAAAGGCGAACGATCAAGTGATATAATAAATAATGCTTAACACTATTTGTTTTACCGGCTCTTGATCGGCGAACATACGGGTAAACAAAAAATGTGCACGTTTCGCCGATCCATTACGAACTGGAAATTTTCAGATGTTTTCATTTTTAATCAGGAAAATGCGCATGTAAACATAACGCGCTTTCTAATGTAATATATTATGCACGTAAATATTCAGTTCTCGCAAAGAAAACCCAGTTTTTTAATTAAAATATACGAGAATTTTCCTTTTTTGTTGATCCATTGATGGACAACTTATCGTATTTTTCCATGATGTCAAAATTTTTGACATCTTAAAACTTTTTCATATTATTTTTTTACCAAAAAACTTGTTTTAGTGTTTATCAATCGCTTATTTTATGCATTTATTGAATTTCGTGCAAAATATAATTAAAATTTGTTTATTTTTATTCCCCAATTGCCTCTAATTTTACTATTTTTTTCAGAAATATTTAAGGTAAGTTGACAGGTTGTGTTGATGTTTTATTTATATTTTTTTTGGAGTGTCTAATAGTCCGCCTGACGGACGAACAAAATAAAATAATCTTCCGGTTTTAAACAGAAAAAATGCAGTAAAATTAGCTCTTATCACCATTGAATACATTCAAAGAGATCAGAGGAAACATTGAAAGTTCACTATTGCACTGAAAAGTAAATTATTTCTCTGGATGAACTACTGTTTCCTTTAAAGTTTTCACTGATTGTGGCTCTAGTTTCTGCTTAGCCAATAAAAAAAAGCTTTATATTGGTAGTCATGGCAAACGTTGCTGATTGTCATGAGATTTTTTCAACAAAATAGCAAAACCACTAATTAGCTGGAATCAGCAACTTATTTGCTCTTTTCTGAATTATTTTGAATAAGAAAAAGATCATGGCGATTCTCTTTTGCTGTTAAACTGCGTTGGAGAGGTAAAAATTGATATTGTTGCTTAAGTTTTGCGGCTTTAGATATTAGTTTACAGATTGTGAGTGTAGTGATCATAGAAAATGTAATAATGTAGATGCATAAAAGAAAATGTATTGTGTCTAAAATTTATGTGAAAAATCGGCGACAAAATTACAAATTTTCTTTGACACTATCAAAAGTCAAGGTAAAAAAAGTAACCGTGGCAACATTGCGACGTGCATGCCAATTTTTACTGATATTCCTATATGTTTTTCGATAAATTAATTTGTCAATAAACACCAATTAATTTGATAACTGAAAACTGTTTGAATTAAACAGAGAATATTTTGATTTAACTAGGATGGGCAGATATTATTTATTAGTCTAAATTATTTAATAAATTTATTCATAAATCCCGACGCAAAAAAATCGGACGATTGATTTATTTTATTCGCACGTTTAGCGGACCATTAGCCACGACCAACATTTTTATGACATAATTAAACGAGATTTTTTTGGCGTGTCAATTTTTTTTTTCAAAAGAAAAACAAAAATCTGGTAAATAGGAAGTGGTGCGGCGGAGTTTGGAGATAGCCTCGAAGTTGTGCCGGGAGAGAGCGGAGAAGAAAAAGCTTAAAAGTTTTATTTGCCGGTAATTTGAAGAGAATCCAATTAAAATGTTCGTGCGACTGGGGGAAATTATCCCCGAGGAAAATTATTGTTATAAAAGTTTGGATTCGCCCGCAAAGTTGCCGCCCGCTAGTCGGCAAAAGTTTTCGGCGAAAAGTTTGCGCGACGTACGGCAAACTTTCGAGGGGAGTTGGAGAGAAGCGCGCCCGGCAAAGTTTTTCCATGATTTCGGATTAAATAACCAACTAATGCGAGGTTTCTGTGTGCCAGTCGATTCAAATCAGCACTAAATCGCTTAATTTTATCACAAAAGTAATCTAATTTATTTATCCTTTTTTTTATTTAACTCGTTTCTTGAAACTGTCGTTAAAAAAATGCGTTTTTGCCTGCTTTTGAATGAAATACAAGCATGTATTGTGTCCCAATAGTTTCAAATTAAGACTAGGTATTATACAGGATGATCCAGTGTTCCCAAAAAGTATATTTTAATTTTTTTATCTATATATACAGTATAATTTAAACATATTTTCGATCTAAGTTGTGTATTTCTAAATGGATAGTTGTATATTTTTTTACTTTAGTGGATTTGTCATTAAATTTTCATTCCAGAAATGCCATACTTACTGAATATTCTATAATGGGTGATTTTAGAAAAATATCCAAATTTTTAGACTTAATTTTCTATTTACCTAACCAAAATACATTGTATTTTGGCACACCTAGTTTTGTAACATCTCTGTATTGTATACAGGATGAGTCAAAACTTGATGTATTTTTCTCCACAATTTCAGACGAAAAAAAACCCGGAAATTAGACAGGGCGTCCCAGAAATAAGTGCAAGTATTTTAAGGGGTGGTAGATCTCAATAAAAGAAACATATTTTCTCTTTATCGTTTTTCAAAAAAAAAGTTAAAAATAACGGAGTTATTTTACTTTGAAAATTTCCAAAAAAAAAAAGATTTTTTGCTCAAATTTTGAGAACCACTGGATCTTTTCTGGATCTACTACCTATGTTGTCATATTATCAAGAAATTATGTTTTTTAATTAAATAATAAAAAAAATCCAAAAAAATTCCGAATTTTCAATTTTTTTTTTCGCCAAAAAAAACTCATAGGCGTGTTTCTGGGGTTGAACTTTTGTACCAGTTAAAATACTTGCACTTATTTCTGAGACATCTTGTATAAATGAACATTATTATAACCAACTTTATTTTCTGATAAATAATTTTTATGTCCCAAATCGGTGTTTTCCGCTAATTTTCTGTTATATAAAGATTATGCAAAGAGAAATAAGGTGATTAATAAATAAATTGCCTCGTAAAAAGTTGAAGATAACTAACCGAAGTTGAATATCGAAGTGGAACGAGCGAGAAAGTTGAGACAACACACAGCGAAAGCTTTGACGCTACCGACGAGCTTTTCGTGGAAACTTAATTAAAAAAGTTAGCGGCGGAGTTCCAGAAAGCCTCGGGAAGAAAAAAACAGCGGCAAAGCGCGATTTAAAAAGATTTTGTAGATAAGAGACAAAAAAGTTTTTTTTTGTTATCGTTTTGCATTTGATGGTGATACGAATTATGGCACTATCTATACTAAAAAGTTGTTATACCTCTTATATGTATACACGGCCGTCCCATATAAGAATGCACATTTCAGGGATATTGAAAATCAGAAAAATTAAGTTTATGAAAAGCCTGTAGCGTTTGTTCTTATTTAGGATACTGTGTAGAGTCTCTTTATATATCATCAAAAAAAATGTTTTACCTACTTGTACTTGAGTATTTTTTTATATAAATATTATATTATTCAATATACAATTCTGGAAGGTATAGTTTAATTTTAGCATTAAGTGTAGTTTATTTAATTATATTAAAAAAAATGGCTTTACACAACTTTTACGTTTTGCAGGTCGGCGCCTTGATGTGCGACAATGAAGCCGATGGTGCCTCCAGGAGCGTAACGTAAATAGAAAAAAAGGATCCAGTGAAGAAGGAAGAAAAAGGGTCGTACCTAGGTCGCGGTTGTGTAGCGTAGGGGCGCGACGGTAACGCGCAGCATCGCGGGTGCCTCGCTCTATGACGTGGCAGCCGAGCGCCGCCTGAGCAGTGCAGTGCGTGCTCGCCACCGCCCGCGATAAATGGACAAGCGTAAAATGATGGCGAAACGGCCCAGGTTCGAACCGCGCGGACCCATCTCCAACGGCCCGATGCAGGCGCGCCCCCTCGTGGCGCTGCTGGACGGCCGCGACTGCTCCATCGAGATGCCCATCCTCAAGGACGTGGCCACGGTGGCCTTCTGCGACGCGCAGAGCACCAGCGAGATCCACGAAAAGGTGCTGAACGAGGCCGTGGGCGCGCTCATGTGGCACACCATCATCCTCACCAAGGAGGACCTGGAGAAGTTCAAGACGCTGCGCATCATCGTGCGCATCGGCAGCGGCGTCGACAACATCGACGTCAAGGCGGCGGGAGAGCTGGGCATCGCCGTGTGCAACGTGCCCGGATACGGCGTCGAGGAGGTCGCCGACACCACGCTCTGCCTCATCCTTAACCTCTACAGGCGCACCTACTGGCTGGCCAACATGGTGCGCGAGGGAAAGAAGTTCACGGGGCCTGAACAGGTGCGCGAGGCAGCGCAAGGATGCGCTCGCATACGCGGCGACACATTGGGTATCGTGGGACTTGGACGCATCGGCTCGGCCGTTGCCTTGCGTGCCAAGGCATTCGGCTTCAACGTCATTTTCTACGACCCCTACCTGCCCGACGGCATAGAGAAGAGTCTAGGCCTGACGCGCGTCTACACCCTGCAGGACTTGCTGTTCCAGTCGGACTGTGTGTCGTTGCATTGCACGCTCAACGAGCACAACCACCACCTCATCAACGAGTTCACCATCAAGCAGATGCGGCCGGGCGCCTTCCTGGTGAACACGGCGCGCGGCGGCCTCGTCGACGACGATTCCCTCGCTCAGGCCCTCAAGCAGGGCCGAATCCGCGCGGCAGCTCTCGACGTGCACGAGAACGAGCCCTACAACGTGTTCAGCGGGCCGCTCAAGGACGCGCCCAATCTGCTCTGCACGCCGCACGCAGCCTTCTACAGCGACGCCAGCGCCACGGAGCTACGAGAGATGGCGGCCAGCGAGATCAGGCGCGCCATCATGGGACGCATCCCGGAGTGTCTGCGCAACTGCGTCAACAAGGAGTATTTCATGGGACCAGGCTCCTACCCCGAAGGTACAGGTAATGCTCAGGCCACCCACGAAAAAGAATAAGCAACGAGTGTATCAATAAGTCTTTTATCTTTTTATCATAATTAGTTTTAACGCCCCACTTAAGTTTTTTGATATGCTATGATTCTTTAATATTTTTATTCGAAGGTGGTCGCATGACTTATCAAATAATAATTCAATAATAAAAAAACACCTATTGTAATCGCAAAACATTTTCCGATGCACGTCATTAATCAAATTTAAAATACCGAGCAGCTCTTCATTTTACTTTATAGAGCAAATGTTTGTAACAGATATTTTATTTAGATTAAAGCTGCAAAAATTCGTTTGAACCGTATTTTATTATCGCTATGTTGGTGACATTGCGCCGTGTTCAGCAATGTTGTCCTTTATTATTTGACAAGTAATTATCCTAGTGTCAGTAATTATTTTGTATAATATTGTATTGTTGTTGAATCTTTGTTAGTAATTCTCGTGTTTTTGCCTATTTTCGTAATCTTTTTTTGAAAATTACAAACAATTCTTTTAAGAACTAAATTTTCGAGTTTTTTTATTGCATTTCTTGAAATTATGTGTTGAAAATATGCCAAAGTATTTAAACAGTCGAAGCAGAGAGCTTATGGCTTCCCTTTTTTTACTATTTTGAACGAGAACGTGACGATAAAGGTCCTTTATTAGCCTTGACTGCATTCAGAAAAGTAAGTTTGATTGATAAGCACATTATACCACTTTCAAAGTTAGTTTTTATTAAATTCTGTGATTATTAGTTTGTGCATTAATAGCACCCTCTTACTTGTTATTACCACGTTCGGCGTTGTAAGATGTACATCAATAAATAAATAACCCATAATAACACTTATAATAATCTTCATAATGAACTAGTTTTTGCCAATATGTAACAAGTAAAATCAACTATAAAACAAATAAATCAATTAATCACTAAAATATTAGTTATTAAATTAAAAATAAAACTTGTTTATCAATATAATAATAAAAAAATTTGTTTATCAAATTTAAATTAAGATTCACCTCATAAATCTATCACAATCTGGCAGCGCTGTCGCCACCGCTTGTCAGTCAAAGTTGATCACGTGCATTGGAAATTGTTGTGCAATTACTCATAATACCGTGATCGTTGTATCTTTTGCAGTGTCACCGGCCGGAGTTAACGGCGGTTACTACCAGAGCGCGCTGCCCGTACAGCAAGCGCACTCGACGACGCCGCACGAGGCTCCCCACGCAGTCACGCCCAGCGCGGCGCCTCCCACGCCTCAACCGGCGCCTCCCGTGGGGCCCGTGGCCGTGCCGCCGCACGCCCTCGTAAGTAATCTTTGACGCATACTATTTTACGCGTCCTATATATGCCGTACTAATGTTTTGTTTCAGCCAATCAGCGCGCCCGAAGCCGCGGCCAACCACCACCCGCCCAAGCCCGAGCCGTCGGAGGTGCACTAACGTCGCGGAGGCGCCGCCCTGCCCCCGCCTTCAGATTCATCGTCACGCGCGTCATACGTCATCGTTATGGTCGTCATGTTTTCGTTTGGGCCGCCATCAGCGGCGGCATACATATCGAGACGAGTCTATCTTCACACACATCACACAAACCCAAAACACACTTAGTTGTTCGGTTTCTGCTCGTTCTGGTTCTGTTATTAGTTCTCGGGGGGGGACGAAACGGCCCCCTCTAATTTTTTCTCATCCTGTAAAAATGTGCTTGGTTTTGTATTTCCCGCGCGCGTGTCTCCGCGCCGGTCTCTTTTATTTTTAGTGCGTAGTACATTTAATCAAAGGAAAAAACGCAAAAAAAAACAAATAAAAAAAGTAAAAATAAAATTGTTCAGCATTAAATAGTATATAAATGTAAATCATTTAGTTTTAATTTACTACACCACTGATACATAGTGCATTATTTTCATTTTTTCTCTTCTCTTTTACTTAAATAGGAAATTTTTTTGGTATTACTGATATTAACGTTCGATTTTTTTTTGTTGTTCAGTTTTTCCATTTTTTTTTTTTTAAGTTTTCTCTGTTCGGTGATTTATAGGTTATGAGCTGCCACGTTGTACGAATGGATAAAAAAAAAGCTAGCCCGATACTTTAATCTAAACGTGTTAAAGATCTTAGAGTGTAATAATTATATATATTATATATATAAAAAATGGTACAAAGTTGGCGTTTTATTTTGTCCAACATTTAACAGATTTTAACTTTTTTAAATTTTATTTTTAAATGGATCCCTATACATGGTATCCTAAATAAGTGCAATGTTTTAACCAGTAGTATATTTCTACCCCAGAAACACATCCATAATATCTTTTAAATGTTGAAAATTTTTCATTTTTATCTTATAAAACTAAAACCGTATATTAGCCGCGGAAATAAAAAAAAAGTGAAGCTTCGATAATGTGGGACAAAATAAAATGCTTGCGCTGTACATAAATAATTATTGAAGGACTTTTTGCGAAGCGTCAAGTTAAATTGAACAGAAAAAAATAAGCCCCGAAGAGGGGGGAGCCTAGTAATACTATCACATTCCTAGACTGTCGAGAAGTGTGTGCTACGCTCAGTATATTTTTGTAAAAAAAACGAACCCACGTCGACGAGCGCCAAAAACTAGAAAAATTTGATTAAAAATGGCGAAGTCGGGCTTTCCCCCTCCAGGTTTTTGACAGTGACACACAAACGGACAGTTGTTTAGGGCTAATGGACTTCCACAAAAATTTTCAAAATAAATATATGAAAATAACTGCTGTGGTTTTAATTTTAGCGATATAATAGTAATATAAACAAAACAAAAAAAAACTATGAGAGAATTATAAAAAACGGACAGATCCTTTTTTACTCTGGATATTAGGTTAAGATCAATCAGATTGTAAACCGTAGAGCTGTAAAATTGACTTATATAAAAATAAAAAATCTTTTTTTTCTTTCTTTTCGTGTACGCCTCTGTTTACCCATCTGATTTGCGCAAGCAAAATTAAATTCTAGTACAATATGAGCAAAAAAAACGGCGTCAGCGAAGGCTAAGAAGTGAAGATCGCTGTCATTTTATATGGGTACCGTTTGGTACTGTCCACGGACTGCCATCGATCGTCATTTCCAAGCCAACTGGACGCCGTAACTGCTGATTTGTAATATGATTGAAGAAAAACCTTGAGTGGCTCCAAAAAGTTTTTGGAAATGTTATGACTAAAGAATACAAGGACCAATAACACGCAAGAGATATATTTTTGATAATTTTTTTTGACTACGCCTATGGTGTATGCTGCTTATTTAGGTGGTATATTAAGTAATTACAAAAAAAAAGTATTAAAAAGTTAACAAAAGATACAAAACTAGTATCGACGTCATATCAAGTACATATAATATAAAATTCAATAATAAAACGCTTTATTTACCTATGAAACTTGAAAGCTGAACAAATCACCATTGTAATAAAGTTTATACAAAGTTCGCTACACAAAACAACCTATTAAAAATCGCTAAAACTGTCGCTGGTAACACAAAAATGACCTCTAACGACACAAATTCTGCTCCAGCCCGTATATAGGCGTTACGTGTCCTTGTATTCTTTATAGTCATTGAACTTTAATTCGAGATTCACCTTTTTTTGGAGCTAAATACATGAAACACAAATTAAGAAAAAAGTATATATTTTTTTATTAACAATATAATACTAAAATACTTCTTTGGTTAACACGACAACTTAATACAAAAATATACAAAATTGCTTTGTAACTTATCAACTATGAAAATGGCACTTGCGGTAACAATTTAGTTTTAATAACATTAGAAAAAGCATGCATATAACAGCAACAAGCACCTATATAAAATTTACAGTTAATCAAGAAGGCTTTGTACGTTATATAACAGCGAAAAGATTACAAAAACAGGTTTATTTGAAAAAAAAAGTTTTTTTTTGGTATTATGTAGTGCCTTAAATCTTTATTAGGTACCGCCTATTATCAAAGAGTATTTCGCCTAATTTAATACAAAAAAAAATAATAAATTTAACATTTACTTAATACTATAAAATAAATAACTCCTTTATTAAAAATTTGACATATATATCTAAAAAACAGTCTGTTTTAAGTGAAAATAGAAAATCTATATAAAAAAGGGTAAAGATATAAAATATAATACAGCTTATAGAGAGTTCTGTTGGTAAAAGTAGTGTAGCATTTGTAACAATTCATCCTAGATGATTTATGTTGCCTACGGAATTATAATGACAAGGAGTGTCTAGTTATACCATGCTCTAAGATTTCAAATTCGCTTAATAATGGGTAAACCGTTTTTTAAGGCAAAAAAATTGATGAATATTTCATTATTAAAACATACAAATAGTTGGCATTTAGATATATAAAAATAACGAAAAAAATATATACTATTACTGAAAACCTTAAAGCATACAACAACTAGATACATAATATAGTCAACTTCCTGTAGCTAACATTCAGTCATAATTTGACGTCAGCTAAGGGCACGCAGTTTAACTTATTATTTTGTTATTACTATTCAAGTTTCTTTGTGCTAATACACTAAATTTACTTTCAGAAAACACTTTTTTGATTAGTTTGCTTATCATAGTTGACAAATAAAAGAGATCTATAAGTTTAAATGCACTAAAAGTCTCATGAAAATCTCTTTTACTTGTTCTAAATTCTTGTACTAATATCAATAAACAAATTATAGGCATATGAAAAGACCAAGGAAGGACACAATACTATTTTTTTCTTGTTTGTTCTTATGTAAAGTGCATAAATCTTTCAGACATTGTGGGAAGGCTTGAATGATCTCAAGCCTGTTGATATAATCCTTGCTTAGTCTTTTTATTCAATGCTTTTGGACGTGTATATCATACCAGGGTTGTAAAAAAAAATAAATAGTTTCAACCCTGGTACCTACTGAAAAAGACCGAAAGTTCTATCGAAAAAATAATCGACGCTAGAGCAGGGTTTTTTGTTTGGTTTTGGGAGGCTTAGGCGGCGGACTCGGCGGTACTTCCCGCACCAAATTGACGGCTTCGATCAATCGGTACGACTGCCTGGTGAACGAGGTAGTACGACTATGGAGAAAACTCATGTTTTCGTTAATCGTCAGCTGACTAAAATCCACTCCTGAGTCTTTTTGTTTTGCCGGAACCGGCGGTGGTACCATCTGATCTTCCTCGCTTACGCTGGAGTCTGTAGTACCTATGACACATTTTTGTTCATTTTTATTTTATTACGCACGAAAAGTAAAGATTTTTTCCATAGCCGTTCAAAACTGGGTACCTACCTACTGAATCCCTATTGCTGCTGTTGCCCGAGCTGTTTGTAGTCCTAATTTGCAAAGAAACAACACTGTTGGGCCTAGAAAACTGTCCACTAGAGGGCCTGCTCAGGCGTTTTTCTCTTTCAACTTCTGAACGTAGAGGGCGCTTCGGATGTAACTTAATACAAAAAAAAGTTTACAAAATATCTATTAAGTAGGCACGTTAAAATATTTTTATTTTTTTTTGTTAGTACAAATTATACAGGGTCGCTCTTATGTATGGAAACGGTCGATTATTAGGTAAAATATAGGAGGTACCGCAAAAAGTTAAATATAAAAGTTATAGGGTTTATAAATATCTATTAGTGAGTAATAAATTTAAGTATACAGGGTCGTTCATAAAGGCGTGACACATCATAGTTTCATTTTTTTAAATAGAATCCCCTGTATATTACTGCATATTTCGGTTCTTCCTTTAATTCTAAGCAAAAATCGAAATACAAACGGTTGCTTTGAGATACATTGTGTGTATTTCGATTTTTGCTTAGAATTGAAATATGTAATAATATACTATGATGTGTCACGCCTTTATGAACGACCCTGTATACTTAAATTTATTACTCACTAATAGATATTTAAAAATCCCGAGGGGTGTCTCACTTGGGTAAAAAATGTACATGTACTGCCAAAATATCATCTTTCTACCAAGCGACTGCCAATCACAGCCAAGAAGACTGCCATGTAATTATTATAGGTGATTGCCGTAAGACTGCCAATGACTGCCAGCGACTGCCAAGAAAATGTACATGTAATTCCAGTAGTGAGACACCCCTCGAAAAATCCTATAACTTTGGTATTTAACTTTTTGCGGTACCTCCTATATTTTACCTAATAATCGACCGTTTCCATACAAAAAAGCGACCCTGTATACCCAATCTATCAAACTTATCCCAAAAAAAAACCAAAACCTCAGCCAAAAGAAATAAAAAAAATCTTCTATAAAATAATTACCTAAAATATCTACATTAACCTGTGTTCACAACTAAAACGCATGCTGTTGTTGAGGTTAAGAAAGAATCAAAACCTTAAACTCACTTCTTCCGTTAGTTCGATGGGTGGAGTGCCCACGCCAGATGGCGTCGTGACAGGGTCGTCGTTCGTGTACCACTGAGTACTGCCGGTAGAGGGCGACAACGATTGTTCCGGCTTGCTCCGCCTCCTTTTCGTCGACAGTTTGTGCGACTTCTTGTGACTCACCGGCGTTCCCGTCAAACTTTTCGACGGCGACAGTATCAGGCTTTTGGTGTAGTTCAGTTGAGACGATCGGCTAGAGAGAGAAATTAATTTGTTTTAGGTTATGTTTCCCGAGACAAAAAAAATATGTTATGAACCTTTGAATAAGAAGACTAAGGAAGGAGCATATCAAAAATCTTAGGTACACCGCGATGGGCCTCAAATATGGCCGACTTAAATTCCGGTTATTCAGTGCCGTTCTAATTTTATTTAAAAAATGTAAAACTATGATGTAGGGTAGACGTGGGGTAGATTCAATAATTTGTTATTTTATTTTACGTTGTGAATAAATGTTGGTAGTTATTAAAATTGTTAAAAAAATATATAATTCTAATAAAAATAGATAAGTTATAATAAGTTATTATTAACACAAACATCCGATACGCTACTGAAGCAGGTAAGTCAAATTAACGTATCAAAATTCTATGACAAGTAGTAAATAAAAGCTAAAATGCAAGAAAACTATATAATTTAGTTAATTTAAGTGAATTTCATAAATGATCAGTTTACTACACGTATGTATATTATATAGTCACTTACTAGCGAAAAGTTGTTCCATTATTTCACTCAATTTTTGCCGAGATCTACCGCACGCTACACAACCAACTATTTTAGAGTCTTTTTCGATAAATCGCGAGTGTCACTGTTAATTTAAGTTCTGCCACAATTTCCATCTAGATTTACTACCTTTATACAAATATCAGTAGTAGAATAAATAATAAATAACATAAAATAAGCTCCGTAAAGACTGACAAATCCACAAAATTTCAAATCAAATTCAAATGTGTCAAATGAATCGTCAAACAGAACTGTCAAGGATCCCCACCCTAGAGAGCTTTTTCCGCCCACCATGCATGAATACATGGATAGCATTATGCTCCTTAGTCTTCTTATTCAAAGTTATGAACCAAAGCGACCCAAATATGCATGCTGCATGCAGATAAATCTGGTGCTATTTACCGTTGGGAACGAAAAACCCTAGGTTCGTCCTGGATTGTGTTAGTGTGCGGACGTTAGTTATTAATAGGTTATAAATCTAATTTAATAAAATGGTTAAACTATAGTGTTAAGCTAGAGACGACGCTTGTCGGTTATGGGTTAGGGTCAGCTTGCTAAGTCGTTTCCTTCTGAAAAAAGAAGTAAAAACCATGTGTTCTTTCTACTAAATAACCCTACTGATATTTCTGTCTTCAGATTTTGTTAATATGTTTTTCGAAATCGTGCAGTCCGTACAGAAAAATAATTAAAACTTACTCAGGGGTTATGGTGACGTCGGATAATCTAGTATCACTGGCCGTGCTGTGGTGTCTTCGCATTAGGACGTCGTTTTGTAACTTTACATCACAATCCTATAAGAAAAAAAAGTAAAAAATAATAAAAATTGGTAATAAAACATCCTGCACCACTAAATATTAAGCTAGAATCTATAACACTCAATATCATTATTTAGTTATAACGTTAGACCATAAACTAATTAGACACTCTCTTAAATCAAATTCCTGAAGCCAACATAAATAAAGATTTGATGTCACAGCAGGGCAAAATCTTAATTTCTTCCTGGATATTTTTAACTAATGGGTAAAGGAACTAATATCACAACATTATTTATTCGGAGCCGTAGATCATATAACAACTAGACCCATAATTTCGTCAATATCTTGTAGCCAACATTAATCATCGTTGAAGCCAATTCAGAGCAAAATAAACTGATTTTTCTTTGATATTTTTACCTATTATATAAATAAAGTAACATTATTTACTGAAAATCTTAAACTATACTACAACTAGACGTATAATTTCGTTAAGTTCTTGTTGCCAACATTAATCATGTTTCACGTAAGTTGAAGACACAAAAAACTCCTTTCTTTTAACTTCAAGAACTGACTATAGATTTTTAAGAGTGAAATTATAACATTATTTATATATGTACTGAGATTCTTAGACTATACAACAACTAGACACATCTCTTTTTTAACTCCTTGACGCCAACATGAACTAGAATTCTACGATAGGGCTACAAGAACTTATATCATCTTTGAAACTTTTAAAAATGAAAAAGAGAAAAAAACAATTTCATAAAAACATGAACTCTTATAACATTATTTACTTAAAACCGTAGACCATACAACAACTAGACACTTATTTCCGTTAACTTCTTGTAACCAACATAAACCACAATTTGACGTCAATTGAGGGCAAAAAATCACATGTCGTTATTTTAACACAAAACTATTATTTGTTCAACTTACTCTTTTGCCGTATTTCTTCTCAACATCACTTCTAAACACTTCAAAACACTCCTCCAATCTCTTCTGAAGCGGTTGCAAGTTTCCTGGCGCTTTCTGCTTGTGAATCTGTACACACAGATCCAACAGAGGAATCTGGTCAGCAATCAGGTCTTTCAGTCTATTAACAAGCACTTCATCATCGGGATGGTGCACCAAGTAGTCAGGATGAAAAAAGACGTCTTCGTAGTTTTTGACGCCTCCCATAACTGCGGCGTCTAATATACCTGAAAAGAAAAAGTTATTGAAAAAAATCTTGTTGAAAATAAATGTATATTTTACCATTTAATGTCATGCTCAAAGGATTGATCTGCATGTTCTCATCCCTGTTATAACTAGTAACATAACCCGCAAGTACTTTATTCTTACTCTCCAAGGTTTCTATGGCGTTTCTCAATGGAGAAATCTCTTTAACTGTCATACTTTCCACCGGGAACCACCTGAGAATACCAGGAAGCGGATATGTCGTCACAAGCTCCGTTCTTTCGAGCCACAAGTGGGCAAACTCATTATCCGTTTCTATGAAAGGGTCCTTCCTACTGAAAGGCCTCGAAAACGTGAACTTTTTTATGTTGTTCACCCTGTAGAATTTGACTATCTGCTCGCACACCGGTTTACCGGAAAATCTTTGCTTCTTTTCCTCCATCACTGGGTCCACTTTATTGATCTGGACGTCTGCGAAAGAAAAATTGCAATTAAAGTAGAATTTTTCGGGGATTCACTGAACACTTACATTGTTTGTCCGAATTCTTGATGTCATCGCCAGGGGGTGTCAGTTTATTCAGCAACTGAGCTTTCGGAAACTCGTTCATGATTCTGCCGTTGAATTCTTGCAGTCTCTCGTATTCTTTACCCCTGTATATAAAAACTTTGTTTTGGAGGAATTGTGGGAATCCCCTGCCAAAGTACCCCACCCTGAAATACTCCGGTTCCGGTCTTGCTACTTTCATGATGTTATCATAGAATTTAGACAGCTGATTATGAAGCTGACTCAGTTCTTCATAGTCGAAGGTTTCTTGTTCATATTGCTGTGCTAGTTCCTTACATTTTTCTATAGCATATTCCCACATCTACAACAGAGAAAACCAGTAGTTTAAAACACGCAAAAATATGCTCCTGTTTGTTGTAAATTAAAACCTTAGATCATGAAACAACTAGACACTGTCTCCCAGATCATTACCTTGAAGCCAACATACAATATATTGATTGTAGAGGTCTATAACCGTACTAACCTTTCCGTTATTGAAGTTTCCGATGATCTGATTATACAGGGCCGTCTTTAGTTGCCTGTGCGTCTTGGCATTTACGGCAAATTTGCTGAAAAGTAATGGAAGAGATTCGTCTGACCATCTGAGTAGTTTCGTGTGGAGTTCTAAAGCAAAGGCTGCTTCTGTGTAGTTTTCACACTCTATGTGCAAGTCGACGAGTTTGTTCATGTAGCGAATATACATCTCCTTTTTGTTGATTTCCGAATAGAAATCCTAAAAATTTTTGTTTTTAGGTAAAAAATTCTTTAAATCAATATATAAGCATTACATACCAACAAATTCACGGTACAACTCATGGTATTCTCCTTATTCTCATCAGACAGTATATTCCTGTACTCCAAAAGACTCTCCATCAACCTTGACACAATCAGCACAAACTTCACACCTTCCTCCTTCATTGAAGTGTGCTGATCACAAAGTTTGAACATGATATCGTGAAAAAGACGCCTATAATCGGCATCACCACGCCCACCTTCAAACAACGCGTCTAACTTCACGATCATCTCGTTCTCGAAATCATCAAAATTCGCCTTAGTATGACTGGAATCACGTTTCGTGTCCCCAAAGCTCTCATCCTCAAGACGAGAAGAGTAAAACTCACACTGCATCATGTCGAAGAATATGGGAATGGTAGCCTTCCTTAATTCAGGCTCAGGGATCAAGGTCATTTCCAGGATCAGTCCCACTAAAGACGGTACAAAATGAACCTTGTGCTGACCCAAATTGAACCACATAGACCGAATTTCGAAGCCCATTTCACGACGCATGTCGCTGTATTGGTTCACTATTCTCGTTCGCTTGTTAAAAGAAAATCTTTCCAATTGCAAGGCATCTTGGGTCATGAAAGCTATGGCACAATGGAAGAAATTACTCCAGGCATCGTGCTCAAATTTTGAGAAAAAACAATCTCTGATGGTGTGAGAGAAGAATCTTAAAGATTTCAGGATGGTATGGTTCTGGAGCAGTACCATGTCGCACCAGTCTCTGGGAAAGGCAGAATTGCTGACCAGTTCTTTGAAAACTACGAGGATTTCCATGAGGAAGTCCAAGACGTCGAAACTAGTCAGGAATTTCTGGATGTAGTTCGAATAGTGTTCTGGAGTCATTTGTCTGAACACGTCTAGCATTACTGCAACCAACTGACTCTGCAAATGTCAGAATAATTTAAATAAAAGTGTCTTTAAGTTTAATTGAAATCAAAACAAATTAAACCTGTCGTCTATGACCCGTTTTAAACCATAAATTATTAAACAATCCTTACCGCTTGTGGATGGTCTCTGTCCATTTTGATATGACTCTGAATAATAGTCCTCAAATCAGTGTTAATAATCTGCGTAATGTCCTTGAAAGTAGATCCGATATCCTTGCGAAAGAGCAATTCCATCATGTCACTCAGTATCTTGATGCAAAGCTCCACCTAAAAAGTTCGCCAGTGCAAAAAAGCATATTCTTGGGAATCCCATAGACAATAAAAGACTATTGAACGATATAGATACAGGAATTGAGTGTTGGAATAGTTTGAAAATTTTTCTTTGATCGAATATATACAGATGACGTTATTCTAACTTATTTTTATGATGGATTTTAGTCAATTTTTTTTTTTTTGGTAAATATACCAAATTTCGATATACACAAAATAAGGTAGAATAAGCCAAAAGCTAGTATAAAAAAGCCTAAACTGACAGAAAAAAATAACTTACCTTGAAACCAGAGTAAATATGAGCAATTTACTTAAGATGTTCACAAAAATACAAAAAATTTTGAAAAAAATGATCAAAAAAAAATTGAAAAAGTATATTTTTTATATTTTTGAAAAAAAAACACTTAGAAATTGGTCTCCTTTGACTTTAGGGCTCAAACTCACTGACGACCAGGTCGCAACGACCTGGCCTCGCACAGTGGGGTATTTGACACAGATAGTTGACCGAAATTTTTTTATGTAGACCTTATATAAATTATTGCTATTTTCAATTAAAGAGGAAATAATATGAACAAAATAAAGGATAATTCGTCGATTCTAAACAAAGAAAGAAAAATCACTGTTCCAGTGTTTCCACGGTCAATGCCACTAATGCCAGTAGTAATATCGCAACTAATACTACTAATGCTAAGACTGATCCGCGAGCAATGCCCATACCACTAAAGTCGCTACTAATGTCAAATTGTGCTATACAGCTAATGGCACTAATGCGATCGCTGTGTACACAACAATGCCATCGCGGTTTACACCTCGCATTAGTATATCACTGATTGGCAAATTAGAGGAAACCAAGAATGTTTTTCTCATTTTATCAGCAAAATCGCAAAAAGTCGCAGTATTTTATTTTACTGTATGAAAGCCCAATGTTTACTAAGTAAAACGTATATAGACAATATGCTGAATTCTTCGAAATGCGTAACTAAATCTCTAAGTATAATAAAAATGTCACAAATTTAATCAAATTTTCTGAACGCCTAACTTTTAGTTGCAAAAAAAATCGTTAGTATAGAGAATATCAAAATAAACAATACGTTTTTGTAGAATACATACCTGCAGCTTGCTGAGCCATTTTCAATCAAAACAATAATATCAACGTAAAAAGAGCACAAGAACAACAACAATTTATAATTTTAAACATAAAATTTAGCCATACCTCTTATCTGTGAAACTTTGACGTTTCGTTGAAACAAATAAATGCAACTAAACACGCCCATAGCAACGCCATTCATGGCAGAGATGATTTAACTTATCATTTATCTTTTTTTGGGAAATCTTAAACACATTTGCTTTTTCGAATTTCGATCACCTTTTTCATGCTAATACCCCACCGTGGGACGGCCAGGACGTTAGTGTGCGCTATATCATTTGATTTAATGGTTTTAGAGGTAGCTGCGGCCTGGCCGGTGCGACCTGGTCGTCAGTGTGTTCGAGCCCTATAAACCATGACTTTTTTTAAATTAAAAAAGAAATTTCGATTTTTTATACTTTTGTGGTCATCTCAAGCAATAAAAATACCATAAATAAAGCTAATCTGTGGATCTATAGTGTCTATAAAAACTATATCTCTAAAAATCTCTATCGCTCAATAGTCCAAAGCCGTGATTAGTGCCCAAAAATTAAAAGCATCACCATGATTTTATGCATATATGTTTGTGTTGATATACCTTTCTCTATAAATGATCGAAATTAAAAATAATTCAACAAGCAACAAAAATCGCATTTTTATTTATTTTTTTTTTAAATCGAATACCCTGTATATCTTTATTCTATTTATCTTGTTATGAGCTTTCTAAAAATTGGTCAAGTGCGAGTCGGACTCGCGCACGATGGGTTCCGTACCATTCATTATCTATACAACATTAGCAACTATATTATTATAAACTTTTTCTCCGATTTAGCTGAAATTTTGAATGCGCGTATAAGTAATTTAAAAAAAAGGAAGAAACACATTACAAAAAATTGTATTAATCAATAATAAATATGTAAAAATTAAAAAGAAAACGATTAAAAAAAGTCGCCTTGACTAGGATTCGAACCTGCCTCACTACGGCTCCAACGTCATAGCAGCGTAAAGTCCTAACGCTTTAACCACGCGGCCACCGAGAACTTGAAAGATCTACGTAAAATTATTACTTAAAAGATAATGTTTAGTGAAAGTACTTTTTTATTTATAAACATTTATTTAATTCTGTTTTTAGTATTTGTTCTTATAGCGACAACATAGATACATTATCTGTGAAAATTTCAACTGTCTAGCTATAACGGTTCATAAGATAGACCTGCATCAATGACACCGAACCAGAGCTAAACCGAAATAAAAATGCGACTACGTGTGCCTGTTGAATCACGTTCATTTCGCATCGTACTGTTGTACATTTGCAGCGGTTATATACGTTTTTATCACCTCTTCTGAGTATCCCACGTGTTCAGTGACGCAATGTTTGGACGTTCCAAGCAGCTGAGCGACCTTGGCCACGGATTTGTTTTGTCTCCGACCATCTTGCCGCATCGCAACACCCTATAAGACCCATTGTACCACTACATACTCAAAACTACTGGTAAAAAGATTGTTTGGGACACCCTCTATATATGCCCAGGTTTAGTACGGTTAATGTAGACAAAAAATAATTAAAATAAAAGTTTTTTTGACAAATAACGTAATTCTACTCTGACGGAAATATGCCTCAAGATGCCCAGAACCTAGATTTTTTTTGTTATAAATACATGCACATGCGTTTTGAAATTGTTGTCATTTGTACAATAATCGACATATATCTCTGAATTCTAGCTTGACTAACTATTAATAACAAATGTCTCCATGCAAACAGAAAATGAAATCCCTTTTTGGATCTAATATGCAAATTTTCAAAATTAAAAATCTGAAATTTTTTGTATATAAAATAGAATTCTAAACCTAAGTTTACCAGTACTTTAATTGTTTTCAATTTTCTGTCAAAAATGACATTTGCTAAGCGTAGCCACTTCCGTTTAAACCGGAAATGTCAAGATGCGAACTATTCTTAACCTAAAAAATTCAGATTTTTATCTATTAAACCTCACAAATCGTCAAAAAAATGTTTTTTTGTAAATAAATACTATAGACCTGAAATTTTAATCATGAATTTCATTCATTAATGTAATATGTCGATAATCATATAAATAACGTACAATTATTATCTCAAATGCTGATATTTCACACACAAAATTCTTCTCTTTTCTGTAAACTACTATGCTTAATATTACAAGGATATTACTGAAGAACTAACCTCTACTAAGACGGTAACAACAATATTTAGTAACAAATAAAAATTTAAGTAGTATAATGCGTTCTATTTTCGTTGAATTTGTTTTAACAATAAATTTAAATTAACTATCAACAATATTAAACTGAAAATATGCCAATAAAGTAATGTTAAACATCAAAATGACAGGCATTGACATTCTCTCTCAAAAACAACTGTATATTGACTGAAACAAAGTCAATAATGTCATCAACGTCATCTGTAAAATACAGACACATGAATCTCTGTTTGCCCAAGGTAAAAAAAACAAGATTATTTTGTCATTAGTGTTATTTTGAATGTCAAAATGACTAGGCACTGTTGAACGCCTCAAATATAAAACTACTTGAATATTGTTGTACCATTATTACCAATCCCAACTACCAACAAAACTGGACAAAAAGCTAGTCAAAAATTACACCCTACATACGTCATTTAAATTACCCTATCATGACACGGTGACACAAAGTGTCAAAATATTGTGACCTCAGATAAATTATTTTAACACTGCTTGTCATATTAATGTCAAAACTAGGAAAACTTAAATGACGTTTAAATTTCTAGTATTAGGCTCCAGAAGATTTAAACAAAAAAAATATCCTGGAATTTATCATGCATTGGAAAAGTTAAAGGTTGTAAATTAAAGAAATAATTTTAGATTGTAGAAAATAAAATAGTCAAACTATCAAAAGTGCTTTAAGAATTTGCAAAAAGTGGTGCTAATTTTGTTTTTTTTTTCTACAGGAATTATAAGAGTCAATTTACACATCAAAATGTTTATTTAAAATTGTATGATTAGTATTATTTGTTTTTTTTTATAAAAATGTGTTATTATTGTTAACTAGAAAAAATCACAAGAGGAATATGAAACTTTTATTGTCATAATATTTTCAAATAGCCCAGAGAAAAGTAAATAAAAAATCTGTATCACTTCTGGTTAACAAGATTCCGGTAATGTACGTGAAAATGTCGTTTTTTAACTAAATATTTATAAAAACTACTCTAAATAACTCAGTAAATTAACAAAAATTACATTTTCAATGCATAAAAAGACTCTTAAAAAATGAAAACTAGTAAAATAGTACAGAAAAGGTATGAAATACCTAAGTTTTTTGATCAACGGTGGCCAAGGTGTCTCTGTGCAAGTTTTTTTCCGTTTTCGACCTTGAAATTCAACGAGAAAAATCATGCGTTTATTTACAATGTTTACAGTAAGGACAGAATTAAAGTGTATTGGGCTAGAAATGTTTTTTTCTTGGTGAAAAAGATATGTAGAAAATGAAGATATGGGTGCTAATGTAGAATGTATTTATACAGTGTGATCAATAAAAAAAACAGAAAATTGTTTTGTGAGAAAAATTTTTAAAATAACTGAAAAAAAAAATATTTTGTGTTTTCTGTGAGACCTTATCACATAACTGATCACACTGTATATGTTGTGTGCAATGTTTTTAGTATAAATGTTTGCATGTTTTTTAGAAAAATCACGTTGCAATTCGTCAGCTTGTAATATTTACAAAAATATTATCATGGAGCCTATTCACATATATACTATAAATTAAATTAAATAAATGACACTATTTACACTGCTTGAAAGCTTCTTGTCTATAACTACTTACTGAGGTAAAAAAATAACGTATATACAGTGTGACTCAGTAAAAACTACGAAAAATGGAATTTCAAATTTTTGACGCTGACAGCTGCTGTCATTGTCAATACAAAAACTTTGGCTGTTAGACATAGACAAGGTTTGAACTGAAATGACGTTTTTACAACACTCATTATATACAAATGTAGTAAAATAAATAGATTGTAAATAAAAAAAATTTAATACAATAATCCTCAGTAAGTAGCCCAAAAATAACATAGAACAAATAATATTTGAACATAAAAACCACCATACGATCGAGAAAAAAAGGGGTCAGAGTAGGCTTTCAATGTAAACAATTTTATATGTAAAATGCCAACTCGACGCCGTTTTTTTTTCAATCATACGGTATTTTAAAGCACATAAACAGTTTTTTTTCAGCACTTACCTCATCTTTGGCCTCAATCAACTCTTTAACTTGCCTGGTTATCATCGGTAACATAACCTCCCTACATTCAGGATACTGGAACAGTTTGCTGTGCACTATATCGTTGATGGTCATCATTTTCTGCTTGGTCAGTCTTCCTTGGGGCAGGTTGTTCAAAAATTCGCACAACAATTTGCTAGAAACCGTATTAATATCACTTATGGTCAAAAAATGAGGTTAGAAATTTTTTAACGTCACTTATGACAGTTCAAACGTCATTTTAAGTCTTACCTGAACTCGCATCTGTCAAAAATAAGCAAGATTTCCGGGATGATGGTGGGCAGGTACTTCAAACAGGCTCCTTGGTCCAAAAGGAATTCTTTCTCTTCCATGGACATCAAGTAGATGATGTCGTGCAAGAGTTCTCTCATGCTCTGAACAAAATCATCGTCGGGGTTGATTTCCTGGTAGACTTCCAGGAATAAAATCCTGGATCTCGCCACGAATCTCATGATATACTGTAATCCTTTCATGGTTTGTAGTATTAATTTTTCGTTGTTCCAACTGGACACCGTTTTGTTGATCACCATTTTCAGGATTATGATCAGCTTTCTAATAAATAAGTTAAAATATGTATACAGGGTGTTTCAAAACAAATGCGAAAAACTTTAGGGGGTGATTCCTTGTTCAAAATAAAGGGTAGTTTGCTTTATAAACGTTGGGTCAAAAGTCAACCATTAGGGAGATATCGCGGTACAAAGATGGCGGAAAAATAATGTTTTTATTTTTTATCTTGAAAACGAAAAGAGATAGACTAATGAAATTTTATGGAAGCATTACTGTTATGAAAACACACTTTCAGGTAATTTTTTTACTTTTTTAAAATGAGTGGAAGGGGTTGAAATAGACTACCCCTATCAATCTTGTTAACGAAATTTAAAGAAAAATCTTATCAAACACATGCAAATGCTTTAATTTGGATAGTTTAGTTTGTTTAGAAACTTTTTTACCTCTTGTGTTTTTTTGATAAAACTCACCGATTGGAAATTAAAAATAAAATGTAAAGCATTACATGTCAGGACAAAAAACATTTTTAGATTAAGAATCTAGTGATAATAACGATAATAATAATCATCTAGATAATAACGTATTGCAGTAGAGTAATGTCAAATAAAATAATATTAGAACATCCTAAAAGTAACAGCGGCCGACTAGATTTTTTTCTAAAAAATTACAGCAGCCCACTAGATTCTTTATCAGAAAATGCTTTTGTCCTGACATGTAATGCTTTACATTTTATTTTTTAATTTCAAATCGGTGAGTTTTATATGAAAAAATACAAGAGATAAAAAGTTTCTAAACAAACTAAACTATCAAAGTTAATTTTTTTTGCATGTGTTTGATAAGATTTTTCTTTAAATTTCGTTAACAAGAATGATAGGGGTAGTTTATTTCAACCCCTTCCACTCATTTTAAAAAAGTGAAAAAATTACCAGAAAGTGTGTTTTCATAACAGTAATGCTTCCATAAAATTTTATTAGTCTATCTCTTTTCGTTTTCAAGATAAAAAATAAAAACATTATTTTCCGCCATTTTTGTACCGCAATATCTCCCTAATGGTTGACTTTTGACCCAACGTTTATGAAGCAAACTACCCTTTATTTTGAACAAGGAATCACCCCCTGAAGTTTTTCGCATTTGTTTTGAAACACCCTGTATATATACAGGGTTAGGTCAAAAATTTAGTGATCATAGATCAAGTAATAATGTAGATACATAAAAAAATCGGTGACAAAATTACAAATTTTCCTATACGACACTGTGTATATGTTTCTAATGCTTACCTGTAAGCCAGGGTTGCGCTAAAACTCTCTTTGACGTACACGTCGAGCACAGGCTCGAAGTGCAAGTACTGGAAATCTGTGGTGACCAAATTGATGATGCGCAGCAAACACTCAAAGACCATGATGTCGTACCGGCTGCTCTCTGTAGTGTCCATCAGAATGCAAAATAGGGCGTCCAAGATGTCCTGGAGAAATTTCACAACCTCGTTGTTGTCCACTTGCATGAAATCCTCTAAAGATTTGGACACGGTCTCTTTGTGGGTAGTCCAATTCAATAGACCCAAAAGATTTACTAAAAAAGTAATAAAATATAAAATATAAATGCATACTCTTCAAGGTATATGTCAATGTCCCATCCAACTTGACTGTACGGTAAATAGCGTCGTCTGTGACCCGTTTTAACCCAAAAACTATATAAGAAAACAAAGTTTCTTACCGTTTTGCGTGAGCTTAGTAGAACAAATATTGATAGAAATATTAAAACAATCCTTCAAGTTCGCTGTAAGACCGGGAATCTGAACTTTTTGCCCGTCTTTGATCTCCGTGACAAAACAGGGTAATTTCAGGTAATCCAAGCCTGTTTCGTCGAACTTTTTGTAGTCGATTTTGTAGACGATCAGGCTGTGTTGGGCATCAGGCAATGTCACGCCATTTTCTTGCATCAGCTTCAAATAAGCCATGGCAAAAGGTTTCTCGTTTTTATCTTTGGCCTCGTTCGTTGAGCGATGCTTGAAAGTGAACTTTAGGTGACTCGATTTGAATTCTTCTATTCTTAGGGCTATTTTGAACGTTTCAAACCATTGTGGTTTGTCTTCGTGGTAGTATATAACTGATCTGTATTCACTCAATTCAGAAACACCACCTCCTAGGCTTATAACTTCCTGAAGAATTAAAAAAAAAACAGCCATATTAAAATACCTTGGCGGTCAAGCTGATTTTCTTTAGGATTTTTATTTAATGGGTAGACGTCCTCCATCGTAATTTCTGTGCTAACATGACGCCGTTTTTTTTTTCGATTTATTACAGATTTTTTGTTTTGAATTTTAATTTATTTTTAAAATTAATACAAAACAAGATGTGTCAAATTTATTTCCACCAAAAAAATTGAAGGATTTTAAATGAAATTCCATATTTTTTTACTAGTGCAGTGGCTATAAAATTGCTCCATTTATAGTATACAATAACCATATAATAATCTATACGGACTGGTTTTTAAAATATAATTTTTAGATTATATTCCTTTGAAATTAATTAAAAAAATATGTTTTATTGTATTGGTCTAGCTGATAACGTTTATCTTTTAAAAACAAAAAAAAAACAACCAAAAAACACCGATTTTGTATATGGAAAGTGCTTAAAAGAATATAAAATTGATAAATAATGTGTTTATGTATGTTTCAGTTGAATTAGCTAAAAAAAAAAATACAACACCCAGTTGTGACGCACCCTGTATACACCAAGATATTTGGCCTATTTTTGTATGATTAATTCTAAAGAAGATGCTAATATTAAGATTCACAATTTTTAGTGAGATTTTGTGAATTGTATAAAAAATTAATTTAAAAATATGGCCATACTTCAAAAACTACTCAGTATAAATTATGACATTATATTATCTTCGAAATGAGAATTTTTTGGCAAATCTACTAATCTAAAAAATATATAGCATTTCATTTAATAAGGAACAACTTTGGTAAGATAAATAACTAAGTTTGAATAATCCCGTATACAGGGTGTTTCAAAACAAATGCGAAAAACTTCAGGGGGTGATTCCTTGTTCAAAATAAAGGGTAGTTTGCTTCATAAACGTTGGGTCAAAAGTCAACCATTAGGGAGATATTGCGGTACAAAGATGGCGGAAAAATAATGTTTTTATTTTTTATCTTGAAAACGAAAAGAAGACTAATAAAATTTTATGGAAGCATTACTGTTATGAAAACACAGTTTTGGTAATTTTTTCACCTTTTGAAAATGAGTGGAAGGGGTTGAAATAAACTACCCCTATAATTCTTGTTAACGAAATTTAAAGAAAAATCTTATCAAACACATGCAAAAAAATTAATTTGGATAGTTTAGTTTGTTTAGAAACTTTTTTATCTCTTGTATTTTTTTGATAAAACTCACCGATTTGAAATTAAAAAATAAAATGTAAAGCATTACATGTCAGGACAAAAAACATTTTCTGATAAAGAATCTAGTGGGCTGCTGTAATTTTTTTAGGAAAAAATCTAGTCGGCCGCTGTTATTTTTTAGGATGTTCCTAATATTATTTTATTTGACATTACTCTACTGCAATACGTTATTATCTAGATGATTATTATTATCGTTATAATCACTAGATTCTTAATCTAAAAATGTTATTTGTCCTGACATGTAATGCTTTACATTTTATCTTTTAATTTCCAATCGATGAGTTTTATCAAAAAAACACAAGAGGTAAAACAGTTTCTAAACAAACTAAGCTTTCCAAATTAAAGCATTTGCATGTGTTTGATAAGATTTTTCTTTAAATTTCGTTAACAAGAATGATAGGGGTAGTTTATTTCAACCCCTTCCACTCATTTTAAAAAAGTGGAAAAATTACCAGAAAGTGTGTTTTCATAACAGTAATGCTTCCATAAAATTTCATTAGTCTATCTCTTTTCGTTTTCAAGATAAAAAATAAAAACATTAATTTTCCGCCATTTTTGTACCGCGAATCTCCCTAATGGTTGACTTTTGACCCAACGTTTATAAAGCAAACTACCCTTTATTTTGAACAAGGTATCACCCCCTAAAGTTTTTCGCATTTGTTTTGAAACACCCTGTATAAAAAAATGTTAAAATATCAAATAGAAAAATTTACACTGAATTTTTTAATCTATGTTACACTGTACCTATATGTAATAATGTTAGATATTTTGAAAAATTAAAACATTTTATTTCTAAAAGATTTTTTTTCTAAAATTCCTCTGAAATGCCAAGTTATAAAAATATCCGAATATTAACCAAATTATTTGCAGTTTACTTAAAAAAATATTTATAGCTTTGCTTACCGGTATTTGTTGTCCTTTTTCGTTGCAAACCTTCACCACAACCTCCACATTTTTATCACTGGTTTTACTACCTTTAGTGAACTCTCCGTTGAGCAGAGTCAGGTAAAGGTCGTTCCTAACGTCTCCAGGCAAAATCACCTCGGAAAACCCCATTTTCCTAGCCCTAGACACATTTCCCAGCACCAAGTGCGGATTTTCATCCCTTACCTGGTTTTTAAAATCATTTCCATTAAATTTCCTTAAATTTTTACCAAAAAAAATGTATATTTACCTGCTTTAAATCACCTCTAAGAAGCTTCATGCTCACAAACAATGCTTGATTCTTGTTCTCCAATTTTTCTTTGCTGATAATCTTCCTCAGGGTTTGATCTAAATTATCTTTCTCACAGCTGAAGCAAATATTTACCATTAATAAACATTTTTTTTAATAACTAACTAAACTAACCTAACAAAAGGCACTGAAAATTCCTGATCCAAGTCTGTATCCAATTTTCCATTAATATAATTCGTTATATCCATTGCAGCTACTCCACAAGGCCTACGCATGTTCTCATAAGGGTTTTTCTTACTTGTCACGCTCATTGAACTCCTTCTGTGGTCAACTTCCTTTATATCCATCGATCCCACCCTTACCACGTGACAAATAAGAAAGATTTTTTCTTTTTCCAAGTCCTTTTTACCCAAATCCTGTAATAAATATCACTTACTTTATATGTATTTAGTTTTTTCATTCTGCACTCACTGTAAACATCACCCTCAAGTTATACATTTGATCTAGATCACTCATGAGTCCCTCTTTAGTCCACCGTACTACATAACTTTCCGTTATAGGTTTGTACTCTTTGGCATCGTACAGGGCCATCAAAAGTTCAGCATCTTCGGACATTTTAAACGTAAAATTCCTTACAGCCACTAAAAATATGTTTGAATACTGTTGGATTGCTGTTTTTGGTGGCGCATTCTTTACACTCTCCTGTAAAATAATAGATTAATTTTTTCTGCATAAAAAAAGGTTATTTGTATCATACCTTAGCTTTATTTAACCTTTCTGTAGCAGTTTTATGAAGATAGAACATCTGTAATGTACTACTTTTGTCTGGATTAATAAGATTTCCGTTTTTATCCCTTACAACCATATCTAAACCGAGTAGTTTATTTCCCATATCGATTTCTTCAGCCGCCTCCCTCGTAAGCCTCCTTAATTCATCTATTGGCAAAGTCCCGCTCACTATTTTACTTCTTAAGAATATTAGATCGTATATATTTGTTTTCATTTTCTCAAAATTCTCATCATGTGCCTAAAAAAATTAAAAACTGAAAATATTACCTAAAATCCACATAAATAAATATTTTACAATATATAAGGCCTTCCAGTGAGCCCCCCATTCCCTTAAAACCGAGGTTATCTCTTGACTAATGGGGGGATCTTTAAAAACAGGTCCTGTAGGATCAATTCTTTCGCATTTTTTGATATGAACATAGCTTTTGGGAAATATACCCAATGTGTTTCGTCGATTGGTGACATATCCATAATACCAGTCTGCTTCTTCTTGTAAAATGCATAAAGAATCACCAACAGTTAGAGTTAATTTAGCTTCATCCGGATCATTGAAGTTATATATAGCTAAAATAAATACATGTTAAATTAGTCTTTAGTTTTAACTGGAACCAATGATAGGAGTCTTAATTGTCCATTAAAGCCGTGTGACCTTACGAATGAACGAATCAATTAAAATAATATTCACGTATGTATTGAAACAATAGGAGAGTAGATTAAATATTTATTTTGTTCAAAATATAAAACAATGTTATAGAGGGGACTATATTAAATGAGAAATCTAGCAATGATGCTTTCAAAACCGCAGCCAGAACCACGATAATTGATTGAAATAATTAGATAATTAAAAGTAATCTACCCAGGAGAGGTGATTATTTTTAAAAAACTTAAAATAGTCAATTACCTATACCATAACTCTCCAATTCGTTCACACAATTCCAACCGTTCATTGTATTCCGATGAACATTAACCAGTGTTAAACATAAAATTCATTATCAAATTATTAAAGGGAAAACATAACAATCCACAAACACCTTATTTCTAGCATCACCATCGTATTTACCATTTTTTACCACTCCTTTCAAAGGAGATGCATCAAAATGATTAATCTTGCACTTGACAGGGCATCTCTTTTTAGCACTTTGTGTGAGAGGAAGATAGAGAACTAAACTGACCAATTAAAAAAAAGTATAGTATTAGAGATATTCTGCTGTAAAAAATATTTTACATTTATTTTAAACTGCAATTTCTTCCAACTGCAATCTGTAATTACCTGTTTTTTAATTAGGTTCAGAATTACTTAATGCAATGCAAATTACTCTTCTCCTTTGCAGAAATCCCTTTCAAATTTGTTGTAATTTTTCGAACTACTGTTAATCCAACGTTAACGTTACGACAAAATAAACTTTAATAAACATTAACTTTTTAATAAATGTATGATTATTTTTCTTGTTGCTTCACGTTAAACAAATATTTTATAAAATACTGAATTAAATTTATTATTAATTACACACATTTAAAACTGCAAAAAGAACAGAATAAGTTAATTTTTACCGTTAAAAGAATTCTGATATTTCTGTAACTCTCTATTTTACCATAGATTATAAAAAAATAACTGTCAAATATGATCTTCTTCTTATTCTTTAATATGGCCATTTGTCATTGCAGCACTCAGCCAGCGCTTAATATATGATGTCCGCCATCTAATCTGTTGGAAGTGGGATAACCTTAACAATAGGCCGGATGGTTCTAGCAGCGTAGGCCTCTAGGGTAATTAAAAAAATTTTGAATGATGACATGATAATGACATTGACACATTTGAGTGTGATTCAATAAAAAATTAAATAAGTTTGTTTTTATTTTAAAAATTATAGAAAAATAATGTCTGATGTGATAAAAGTAGGGCGTAGAGTCGATGTGCCAAGCAAGGGAGTCCAAGGAGTGATAGCTTTTATCGGCAAAACCAATTTTGCATCGGGAAAATGGATAGGGCTTATTTTAGACGAGCCCAAAGGCAAGAACGATGGGAATGTTCAAGGAGTCCAATATTTTAAAGTAACTTTACAATAGAAAGTGTAAAATAGCGTAAAATATCTTATTTTATCGACAGTGCGATGAAAATCATGGGATGTTTGTTAGGGAACCTCAAATACAGCCTCTGGATGATGATGGCAAGCCGATTCAAGTCAAAACACCCGATCCGCCGGCTTCTAAAATCGCCAGATCAAGAATTAGCACGTAAGTTAATAAAAAACATATTTTCTGCATGTTACTAAATACTTTTACCAACATTTTTTCTTAACGCACAAAGGACAGCAACTAAACCTAAGCCCACATCGTAAGTACTGAGTTTCCTTATTCTATATAAAAATGTTGCGTGTAGATAATACACTTCTGTATGCATTGCTAAACATGTATTTTCTGTAATTATTGCTGCTTGGGCTAGTGTTCGGAGAAAAACACCTAAAGATGGGCTTACGTCTCTATCTGCGTCAAGGTACTGTTATAGAGATCATGTGATATTGTATAATGCTGATCAGGATTGAAAGGATTTTTTCTTATCAACCCCGATGCTTATATTATAATATTATGTGTCTGTAAGACAACATTAATTGTGGCTTTAATAGCTCAAGAATGTCATTGGCAAGCAGCCGTCAATCACTGGCCGGAAGTAGGCAAAGTCTTGCCGGAAGTAGACAAAGCCTGAGTGGAAGCAGAACTCAGTTAGCCTCTCCAGCAACTGAAAAACCCACCGAAGGCAATAATGAGCCCCCAAGTCAAATGCAAAAAAGGTCTTCGTTTGTTGAAGTAAGTTTTTTAACTGTGGCAATTGTCTTTATCTCTTAAATTATGATATTTTTTGTTAGACTGGATTTGTTGAAAATCTCAAACCCCAATTCACACCAGGAGCTGTAATAACTACCACTCCAACCCCTGTCGCTTCAGTTGAAGAGAAAATCAGTCATCTTCAGTTGCAGCAAGAACTGGAGAACAGAAGTCAGCAAATTCGGGATCTGAATGAAAAAATTGACACTCTGAAAATACGTAGGCAGGAAGACAAAGAAAGATTAAAAGATTATGACAAGCTTAAAATACAGGTATGATATAGATTTTTTTAGTATTGAGACAGACACTGAAAAAATATTTTTTTTAGTTGGAACAACTTATTGAATTTAAGTCAAAAATTATGGAGGCGCAGAATAGCCTTCAAAGAGAGTTACAGCGTGCCAAACAAGAAGCAAAAGAAGCTATTGAAGCTAAAGAAACACATGCTGATGAGGTAGCTGACCTAGCTGAGGCTGTAGAAATGGCAACATTGGACAAAGAAATGGCAGAAGAAAAAGCAGAGTCGTTACAAGCGGAATTGGAAGCTTGTAAAGAAAAATTAGATGAAGTAACTTTAGATCTACAAATTCTGAAAACTGAAATGGAGGAAAAGACTTCCTCTAGCTCTGCAGCAACTGATTCTCAAGGAATTTCGACCTATGAACTCAAGCAGCTTCAACAACAGAATGCTAGGCTCAGGGAAACACTGGTCAGGCTCAGGGATCTGTCGGCTCATGACAAACATGAATACCAGAAGCTTCTCAAAGATATCGATCAGAAAAAATCAGAAATTACTGAGCTGGGGAAAACTAAGGAAAAACTCAGTTCCAGGGTGGAGGCGATGGAACAGCAAATTTCAGATTTACAAGAACAGGTATAGATAGTTTTTTTTACACAAATAGTTCACTAAAGTGATTCTTTTTATGTTTAAATAAATGTGTACAAAGTTGCCATTATTTTTGAACAAAATTTGGAGATTTTCATTTGAAGTAGTCAACTTTGTGTAGTTTTTTTAATGTAATGTTTGTCACATTTTTATAGGCACCCTGTATAAGATTTAGACAATTACTATAAAAATTTATATAGACTAAAACCTTTTCTAAAAGATAGGCAGCATAGTTTTCTAAAAAAAATTCTGTCAATGCTGCTCAGCTTCATAGGTTTAGCAGCTCTTGTATAAAAACTTTGGCGATTTCTTGGATGGTTTTCAATATTTTTAATGAACGTGTTATGTAAAAAAGCTTGTACTGGGTGATATATTTTAACGATTTATATGTTTTTTATTTTTTTTTTTCTAAAAAGGTTGATGCAGCTTTGGGTGCCGAAGAAATGGTGGTGATATTGGGCGAGCAAAAGCTGACTTTGGAGGAGAAAGTGACTCAGCTACAGGAAGAAGTAGCTGAGTTGGAGGCTTTGCAAGACATGAACGATCAGTTGGTGGAGAGTAATGCCGAACTGGAGGCTGATTTGAGGGAGGAACTTGACATGGCAATGGCAGCTACAAGAGAAGTAAGAAATTTCAATATTTTATTTAAATAAAATAATGACAAGTCGAGAAGTTAATCATTTATATTTATCTAATAAAAAAGTGGCAAAAAAATTTTTTTAGAGATTCTTTTTTACTCTTATCAACCAAAATCAAAAAAATATTTTTCCTCAAAAAGACTTTTCAGATATTTTTGTCTAGTGTTAAAACAAATGTTTATTTTATGCCGACTACTCGAGAAGTAAGAAATTTTATTTTGTTTACCTAATTAAAAAAAAAGTTTTAAATATTTCAGAGATATTTTCTGGATTTTTCAAGTTGATTTATAATTTTACAATTCTTGTTTGGATTTTAATAATCTCGAATATAAAGGTTTTTGAAATATTGAAACAGAGGACACAACATACACGACTAAATAAGACTAAATAAATAAATAACTTCCAGGCAATGCGTGACAGAGACGCGGCATTAGAAACCATAGCGGATCGCGAAGCCACCATAAGCAAATTCAGAAACCTTGTCCAACAGTTACAAGAACAATCCCTGAACCTCCAAGAACAGCTAGAAAAAGAAACGAGCAAACCGATCAAATCCCTGCCCGAAATCATTGACTTCAAAAAGATGTTCACCGAGACCAAAGCTCACACAAAAGCCATCGATCTAGAACTGAGAAGAGTGGACGTCCAGCAATTACAACAGCACATCAAGTATCTGAGTTCTTACATGCCCGACTCTTTTATGAACCGAGGCGGTGATCACGACGCTGTGTTAGTCCTGTTGCTCGTGCCCAGGCTCATTCACAAATCGGAAATACTGTTGGGACAAATTAAGGACAAGTTCCCGACAGTTGACAAGATCGACAAGGCTGCCGTACTTAAAGGACACTCTGTACAACAATTTTCCTTCAGATGTCGCATAACTTATCTTATTTTCGCACTTCAGGTAACTTAATATCAGGAAAAAATCTTTTAATATAAATTAAATATATTTTTCTTTCGCTCAGGGAATTTTACATCAATACTACTATTCCCTAAACTCGTGCAAACCGGAAGTACTGTTAAAAGTAGGCGCGACCTTTCCGGAAATGTCAGCTCAGGAGAAAATAGTTGACGGTTTTGTGGATTTAATCAAAAGGGATCAGCTGGACGAAAATATCCCTCTGGACGCCTTGGAGAAGTGCTACAATTATTTCAAGACCCTGTATCCGCTGTTCCTGGCCAATGAGAGTAGGGTTAATCAGAATCAGTTGATGTCCGACAATATAAAATTGTTGCTGAGTGGGATTGATGGATTTACCACCGATGCCAGTGTTATAAGGTGTCTTTCAGCAGTAAGTAGAATATTTTTGTACTTATAAAGTTACCCGTAGCCTTTAAAATGGTTCAAAAGTGTCTAATAAAGTATGAGAGAAATTAAATGATGATTTTAGGGTGGAACTGTCGGGGATATATGTTTGTTAGCTCAGCACGTAATTCAAGTATCCGAGCAATTGCAACAGCAACTAAAGCAGGCAAAAAGACGTCTACCTGCCGATTTGAGCGTGACAAACTTGGGTTTCGACAAGGACATACAGGAAACCCTTTACAATTGCTTCCAGCAAACGACAAAGTTGTTGAAAACGATCCACGAAATAGCCAAAGCCTCGATACAGGAATTGTCCACCAATGGAGGTGAGTAGTTCAAATGTACCAACGTTATATTTATAAATATCTTTGTTTGTTCTTTTAGAAGCAGAAAAAGGACTGTCCGAAGAAAAACTAAAAGAAATCGCCATGAACGCTAGCGATAAAATTTACGAACAAGATGATCTTGGACCTATACAAAGCGTCAAAAATTCACTCAGTTCCCTACTCACCGACATTACTAAAATTGCCAAAGTCTTACAAGACAATGAACTACAATTTACAGGCGAGAAAGAACAGGTAAGTTTATTCCGACTCATAGAAATAAGTCTACATAGAGGAATTCTAAAATATTTTTCATAGATAACTCCCCCCATAAATGTAAGAGCCGAAACCGTCAAGAAAGAAATGGAACAAACGAAAACTCTAACCAGCAAACTGGAGAACAGAGAATCGGACATAAAAGATCTGAAAAAACTGTTAAAAGAAAAGCAAGAACAACTATCAGAAATGACAATAAGAAAAGAGTTAGCTGAGAAGAAACTTGGAAATGTCAACAAGGATTATGAACTGACCATCGAAAAACTACAGAGAAAGCTTGAAGAAGCTCACAATCAATACAAGAAGAAAGAGAAGGAGTTTGAAGAGACTCTTGATCATCTGCAGACAGATATTGATTCGCTGGAGAATGAAAAAGGGGAGATGAAGGAAAAAATGAAGATGCTGACGAAGAAGGTGCAGCTGGAAGCTTCGTTGACCAAGAGTTTGTCAGGTAAATATGACAATTTTTTTCAGAAAAAATATATATCTTCTTTTATCATTTATATTCTATAACAAAGACGACTCCCAAGACACATTTATCTTCCTTTTTTGCATATAAAGGACTGAAACAAGCCTTCAAGATGGCCTAACTGTGCAAAATATGTCAGAATTGTGAATATTTGATGATTTTTTCAGTAGTAGTTCAAATGTACCAAAATTAATTTTCTATTTTTCATTCGTTTTTATTTCTTTTTTATTATTTTAGGGTCTCAATTATCATCGCTACAGTCTTCTATTGGACCCAGTTTACCCGCAGTGGTAAAAGACTCTCCATTGCTGATGCAAGAGATCGAAAGTTTGAAAAAACTGTTCAACCACGAACGCAACGAAAGAATCAAACTCCAGAATCAGAAGCTCCAGGAAGAATTGGACAGTTTGGCACCGCTGCCCTCGTTCAAAAACACCCGGGACGAGGTCATTGAAAATTTGTTCAAGGAAGGAGCCGCATTGAAACAGGTACAAAATATACAGGGTGGACCCACGGTGTTTTTTTATGGTAAATATTTTCTTTCCTAGGAAATACTGATGACTTTGGCCAAGCCAACGTTCCCTGCAGTATACAAGGTGAAGCCGGGAAACGGTCAGGCAGCTTGGATGAGGCATTTTGCCGAAGAGCAAAATAAAATAACCGACTTAAAGAGACGGGCTGAAGAGTTTCAGACTAGGGTAGCTAAGGAGGCCGTTTTGAGGAAATACGGGGGTAAAATTGAGGCAGATTTTAACGTGTTTCCCACTAAAGAAATGGTTAAGGTAAGAAATAATGTTTTCTAAGGTAAAAAAAAGTTACAAAAAAAATTGAAACTTGTTTTTTTTAGGCAATAAAAGAAACTGAAGCTGTGGATATTGGATTCCTTAAAATACCCAAATCTCATCTACAGCCCAACGAAAAGTCGGGCATTGTAAACTTGGAGTTGGACTTTGCAAACTTACAAAATATTTTACAAACTTTATCTTAAGCATATTCGGCTTGCTGTATTTAACTAAAACAAAAATTATACTATCTTTAAGCTTTAAAACTTTATTTATATTATTTAAATTATAATTAACTTGTTATATTATTTTTTACATTACATTATATACGTAAAAAAAATTGTGTCTTTTTTACCTTAATCAGTCTGAACATATACAGGACGTGCTAAAAAGGTTACAGCAATTTTGTTACTGGATATGCTGAAGAAATTCTGCATAAATTTTTCTTCAATATCAATAATGAAGAAATTCCTTCTGTTGTAAATTCTTTGGCACACCCTGTATACGTTAATTCCCTTAATAATTAGGACTGGATCCCGGCCATACGTCCGTATCACTTTCTGCATCGCCTTCATTATCTGAATTTGCCATTTTTCTCGAACTGTAAGATGGATTTGAGGTGTTTCCCCCAATATTGCCCAAACCTATATAACAAAAAAAAAATTAAAATTAAAAAAATAAAAGCACAAAACCTTATTATTACCATCTGAAGCTTTTTGATTGTAAGGATCTAATTTCAATGCTGTCGTATAAGCCTTAAATGCTTCATCGGTGTTCTGCAAATAAACATAACAATCTCCAAGAAGTTGATAGTGTTTTGAGGTTGGTTTTTGCGTTTCCAAAGCTTTTAACAGAATCTTTACAGCATGCTCGTGCTGTAATTCCATTTCGAGGAACTCCACCAGCATGCTTAAGGCTTCTGACGTTCCCTCTTTGTCCTGTGTAACAGCTTTCTCCAGAATTCTTCTAATATTTTTTCCGTTGGGCATAGATTCTTTCAACAAGCATTGAGCTTGTAACTGTTAAAAAAATTAAAAATAAATATAGGAGAAAATAGTTTTGAATTTTTTTAACCTACACAGTATGCTTGAGGAGTGTAATTGAATTCCTTGCAAGCTGTCATTGCGACTGTTTCGGCTTCTTTGAGACGGTTCATGTTTATGTAGCATTCCACCAGGCATTTATATGAATCAAAACTAAATATAAATAATATCTTAACCAAGCTCTAAAGGAAAAAAAATATAAACTCACCGGTAGGGACATATTTGCATCGCTTCCGAAGCATGAATAGCGGCATCGCTGTACTTTTTAAGCTGCACCAATGAGTTTGCCTTTAAAAGAGAAGCCTCTATGTTTTTACTGTTCTCCATTAACCAGGCTTGCTGGGCAAAATAAACAGCTTTTTCATATTTTTTTAGAAAATACATTAAATTTCCTAAAAAAATAAAATTAAAAACAAATATTTTATAATTGAATTTTCCACCTAATATAATCCATTGCTCCACTGACCACAAATGTGCATCTGAGCTTGGTGCTAAATTCTCTAAAGTATACTGATGTTCTTTGTTTCCTGATACAGCTAAAAGTGTTGAAAGAAATGCTCTCCCGAATGTTAAATTTGGATCAAGTCTTATTGCCTTAAAAATAAATGTTAAAAAATGAGAGAGATTATATTTTACAGTATACTTTTTGTAATATCGCAATAGCTTTAGAATCATCATGCATATAATGATAACAATAGCCCATATTAACTAAGAGAGAACTGTTATCTTTTAATAATCCATGTACGTCCATTGATTTGTATGTCTGAATTGCTGTTGTATATTCACGTGCATGGAATTGTGCTTGAGCCTTAATCCAGGAACTCAGCCACGGTAAGTCCGATGAAACTACCATAATAAGTGAATTTACTTCGACACCGCTTGTTCCTAGTTTCAGTAAGGTTTCTATCGCGTCTAACGCCAAAGGACACTCTCTTATAACGTCTTTAAAACAGGTTATAGCTGATCTTTCCATTCCTACTTCTTTATAGATATTTCCTAGTGCCATATTAATTTTTGGGGTTCTCTGTCTGGCGGGGATACTTTGTAAAATATCCGCAGCCGCTTTTCGTTGCTTTAAAGCTAAACAGCACAAATGTATTTTATATTTGATGTCGACTTCGCTGGAGATATCTTTCTGGTTCTCTATTATTTTATTATTTGAGTTCCTCGATTTGTTATTGATGATTTTCTTGATTTGTAACGCCTGCCGGTAATTGTTGTCGGCTTGAGAATAAAACTGCGTGTTGTACAACGAGTCTGCATAATAGACAACGATTTGGAACTTCACTAAGATTGGGAGATAATCAGGTTTTTGTTCTGCTACAGTCAATAATAAATTACACTAAAAATAAGTCGCTACAGTAAAATCAGAGTAAAGTAATAAATTACACTAACTGTTCGGGATAAATTTGAATATAATTCTTGTTCGTATAAAGTTTTTAAATGCTTTAGTAAATTTGCCATAATTATAATAAAAATATAAAATGTTTTTTAAAATGGGTTAAATTTTAAAAATAATCAATATTGAAGCCATAGATTCTGATTTAAATTTTGATGAGACTCCGCCAGTACCCTACGGAATACCGATAGGTGTCATACACCGGAATGATAAGAGATATGTGGCGTAATTGGTAACACTGATGTGGACGGAAGTCATGGTCACAGAATATTCTGTGGTAATTTGACATTTCTGGATTTCTCACTTCATTTGTCAGACGGTTGTCAAATAAAGTTGATTGTTGGCGATCAATAGTTGCAAAAGTTTTCATATTTGTTCGAAAAATAATTTACTGTGGATTTATTTTGTTCTTAAATTAGGTGTGTTTCTCTATTTCACTTTTTTACTCTCACGCATAGCTTTTAAACTAAACAAGTTATGGGTTCCAGTAGCAAATCCAAGTACAAGGAAAAGGACTCATCATCATCACGGCCATCGAAACGGCGTCATGCTAGCCCCAACGATGAAGAGCACGAAAGTCACCGCGAAAAAAGGCACAAACACAAGCACAGGCATCACAGAGACAAAAGACGCGAGAGGACCAGCAAACCGGACTATAACAGCGACGGTAAGTTCGAAATAAACAAGCCTTATAAATATCTTCAAATTTCAAACTTTCTCATCATTTCTTTATTAGATTCTGATGTCGTGGAAGTCGTACCTACTACAGAGCCCGTTCAAAATGAACCGGGAGAATCTTCTGGCCAAGGTTCAGAAAGCCTGTCCATTGAAGAAACCAATAAACTCAGAGCCAAACTGGGCCTTAAACCTTTGGAAGTGAGTTCTTCAGACTCGAATGTCAAAAGTGACGGTAAAAAGAAAGACGACCTGGGCGAATTCTACCACAAACCGGCGGAAAATCTTGCTGAAAAAGCCAAGAGAGAAAAAATCCGAACCAAACTATCCGAACATAGAGAAAAGAGACATTTACAAACAAAATACAGCAAGGTAAAGGCGTTGGGTGAAGGTAGCGATAGTGACGACGATGTCAGCAATTGGGTTCATAAAAACAGGAAAATCGATCATGCCAAGAAGGAGGCAGAAAAAAGGGCTAAGATGCTGGAAGAGTTAGATGCACAGTTTGGTATTGGCGAGGTTATAGAACAAGAACAACGTGAGAGAAAACGTAAACAATATTCAGAAAAGGACTTAAAAGGTTTGCTGATTGAGCATGATGTCGATACCTTTGCCGAAGAGAAAGATATTATACTGACTCTGAAGGATAAAGCAGTGCTAGATGAAGAGGATGACGACGTTTTGGTCAATGTTAATATGATTGACAATGAAAAATACAAAAAGAACATAGAAAATAAAACTAAAAAAATCCATTACAATGCCTATGAAGATCAGGAATTTGATGAGTTTGGGAATCCAAAAGAGAAATCTTTATTATCAAAATACGATGAAGAAATATCCGGTCAAAAACGGGACGGTTTCAGAATTGGATACGATAATGCAGTTGAAAGAAAACAAGCAATTGCACAGTCGGTGAAAGAAAAATTGGCCAAGAAGAAACTGGAGACTATAGCTGAAAAGAATCTGACGCTTGCATCGGAATATTTCAATGAAGAAGAATTAGCCAAGTTCAAAAAACCTAAAAAAAAAGTGAGAAAGATAAGGAGTAAGGGAAAGTTAACTGCTGATGACTTGTTGCTTCATTCGCAAAAATTGAAATCGGAAGAAAAACCAGATTTCAGTATTGATGATGTCCCTAGTAAGTTTATTTATTTTCTGTTTTTTTTTTTATTAAATATTAAGGTAAAATAAAATTGTAGATGTGGAAATACCGACAGACATAAAATTAGAAGACGATAAAGATGATTTGCTGGAGCTGGCGTTGCACAAAGCCAGAAAAATTAAGCAGAAAGAGAACCTTATAGCTGATATTATCAAGCTGGAAGTGAAGGAAGAGCCTCACGATGATAACGCGGAGTCTGGATACATAACCTTAAATTCCACGGCCGAGTTCTGCAGAACTCTTGGTAAATTTTATTGTTTTTTTTTAAATGGAAAATATTAATATTTTTTTTGTTTCAGGTGATATACCAACTTATGGAAAATCTGGCAACAGAGATGAGGATGAGGATATGATAGATTTTGAAAAAGAAGCAATGGAGGATGACGAAAAGAGCGACGATGATTGTAAAATTATAGAAAGTTCTGGTTGGAATACAGTTGATCCCAAAAATGAGGGCATCGATCTTAGTAGGATAGCTCCGCAGGTAAATTATTTATTTTGCTAAGGTTTTAGTAGTAAGAATATTAAGAAAAAAAATATAACAAGTTAAAAAACACAAAAAATATACAAACAGAATATTTATTTAAAAGACTATTAGAGTAATTAAAAAGTAAATATTTAAAAACTTTCACAATTCAAATTTAACATCATGCTGCCAATATCACAGTTTAAGTATTATCGTATTACCGAAAAAAAAAACATCCAGTTGGCTTGGAAATGACGATCGATGACATTCCCCATATAATTTTACATATAAAATGACAGCGATCTTCATTTCATAGCCATCGCTCGGCTTTTTTTTATCATATTGTAATAAAATAATACAATGTGGTGGTTAATAAAAAACAACTTTCTTCAGGAGGTGCAAATCTTGGATGAAGAACCCGATGTCAGCACCGGCGTGGGCGCAGCACTAAAACTGGCCATGAGCAAGGGCTACCTGGACAAGGAACAAGACAGCCGTCCCAGCAACTCCAGACTGGCCCATCTCCAGGCACAGCACTACTCCATCGAGGACAAGAACTACACGGAAGAGAACGAACGAGGCGGCGGGGGCGGAGGCCGAGGCAGGGAGCGCTACTCGGGCCCCATTCAGGACTTCAGGGAAAAGGACGGTTTTAAACCCAACGTAAAGCTCGAATATATCGATGACGATGGCCATATACTGAATTCCAAAGAGGCTTTTCGGTACTTGTCTCATAAGTTCCATGGTAAAGGTCCGGGGAAGAATAAGGTAGAGAAAAGGATTAAGAAGGGCGTGCAGGAACAGTTGATGAAGAAGATGAGCTCGACGGATACGCCATTGGGTACGTTGAACATGCTGCAGGCGAAGCAGAAGGAGACCCAGTCTGCGTTCGTGGTGCTGTCGGGCAGCAAGCAGCAGCAGGCCACCTCCATCTCTAAAACTAGGCGTTAGGTGTTTTATTTTTAACGTTTTTTTTTGTCCTGTATATTAATAAAGCTTGATTGAGTTCAATACATATTAATAAATCCTTTATTAAGAACTTGCGTCTATGTCATGCAATATAATAGTGTGTTACACACTAGCTAAATATAGTAATATAAATTTGACTTTCTACAGCTAGTGTTTTGTATCGAAAAAAAAAACGGCGTCATCGATGGCTATGAAATGAAGATTGCTGTAATTTTATGTTTTAATTAATATATGTAAATTTATATGGCAGATGTCAACGATCGTCATTCCCAAGCCAACTGGACGCCGTTTTTCTCGATCATATGGTACAAGTCATATTTACAGCATATATTTAGTCGATACAGGTCTGCTTTTGGACAGTATTAAGTTTCATTGTTTCATATTAAGATATATTGTTGCTAAAATTTAGTTTCTCCCCTACAAATCAATAATATAAATAGTAATGTATATGGTAACAAGTGTTTTCATTTAGAACTAATGTTTTTATTTGATTACCTTTTATCTGGTGATGAAATAATATTCTTGGCATTTGATGTTTGGTTGAATAGAAGACTCCATAAGTTTTTTTGTATCTTTTTGTATTGATTTGATTAGATGTGTAGAAGCATCGACCTAAGAATTTACATATATTATTACTGAAATGACAAAACAATAATAGACACCACTTTATTCCATACCTGATAGGCATATTTATTATAGTTTCTTAAAAACTATGAATATGGTCTCAATTCTTAGATATATCAGTGTGTTCTTAAACGGTCAATATCAACATGTTTCAAATCACTTATTCCACTTTCAGTGCCTTGTACTGTGTAGATTTCCATTCTGGGTGAGTTTAAAACACTTGAGAGACAAATTTAGTAGGAAAATATAATGAATTCAGAGCATTTTTCACTTTTCTTTGAACACATTCCATTTAAAACCGAACCGTCAAAATAATGCAATTGGCCGTTATTATCATAAAAATACCCATTAAACTTGATTTTATAACTAATTTTCGTACAGAATGTTATATAATATTGTTGCGAAGTAATTTTCTTTAAATTCTTTGATATTTTCATAAGTATTTTCAAGAAAATCAAATATTAAATTTAAAATTTCTAACCTACAGGCAACCAGTAATACACCTTTGGTATATGTCATTGCCTTAATATCTCACCGCTCGCTTCCGACATAAAATAAGTACTTATACAAAAAACAAAAGAATTTCAATTGGGATTCGCAGACGCGGCGTGCGATGTAGACTCTAATCCTAACTTTCTGGCGCTTGAGGAATGCGACGTTATGGGAACTGGCCAGCCCATAATTTAGCCCTCTTGAGTTGTTGTTAGAGAATTGTCTGCAGGCGTACGATGTCTGTCAAGGTAGTCTTGATGCCGAGGCGCCGGTCAAGTTCTACCACGAAATTCCGCATTCCTAGGTACCTTCGTTTACGGGGGGGATTGTTAAGATTCGTCTAGTCGGAGAGACGACGCTTGCAATTCACCCCGTAAATGCTAGGAGCTATAAACTTGGGAATGTTTTTTGTTACTTTTTTTAAAATAATTTTTCCAATTATTTATAGGAAGTTCCAGCATGTTTCCAGTTTGCCCCATTACGAAATAGAACATTTTGATCAAGCAAATTAATCGTAATAACACAGATGTGGTCGGTTTTTGCTCTCGAACGGCATATCTAAGGTAACGTTGCTTCAATTTTTCGATAATAAGGTAACTTTAATTGATGTATTTCTTCATTTCTTCCCTTATTTTTGAACGTTACAGGAAGTTCGTTGGAAAATCAATCACCACAACCGGCTTTTCTTCTCCTAACCTTAAATCAGAGTTCAAAAATATAACAAAAATATCAGATAACAAGAAACGTTTAATAACTATATTGATAATTAGAACTGAAAATGCGTAACCGGCGTAGAAATATGCGACGTTCAGCAGCGATAATGGGTAAAGTTATTGAAAGCAATCGTAAAGAAGCCAACAAACATGTTCTATGAAGCTAATAAAAGGTAAACATAGCATCAGTTAAGTTTTAAAAGGCATATAGTGTATTATTATCTGTTATTATGGTGTATTATATCGTATGATCGAAAAAAAAACGGCGACCAGTTGGCTGGGAAATGACGATCGATAACATTTCCCATATAAATTTACATCATTCTTTGATTTACGTATAAAATGACTGAGATCTTCATTTCATAGCCGTCACTGACGCGGTTTTTTTTCCGATCGTACAGTATTTATTTCTGTTTATTATAAGGTTCCACAATATTAAAAATAAATCATGCAAATCATGGTCATTACCGTTTCAAAAATTGCAAGCTAAATTTTAACCCTATTGAAAAAAAAATTACCTTAAACGTTAGTTAAGCTAGCTTGTTTTATTTAGTAGTTGGTATATTATAAATGAGTGACTACGACTATGAAGAAAGTTTATTGTTTTGTAGATACTCTCCTGTGTGATGCTCTCACTCCTATAGAGGCCGTGACCTATAACCGGAGATAAATAATGTATTCACTTATGAAGTAGGAAACAGGATAATAGCTTATTGATAAAACAAATCAAATGTAATGGAAGGTATTTAAAACATGAAGTTATTATTTGTGTATGTGTTTTTTGCTGGGATATTTTGTACTTTGCTTGCAATTCCTGTGTCAGCATATCAAATTGAGGGCGGATACAACTGTGATGGTAAGTACCTTTAATTAATCAAAATCAAGTATACTTTTACTTACATTCAAAATTTTCTTTATTTTATTTACCAAAATGATGATTTTCTTAAAGTAAATAAGATTATTAATGTGTACAAAAATATTTTTAGGCAAAGGGGAAAGCATATGGGATCGGTACACCCATATCAAACCCAGCAAGGTTAAAGACGGATCAAATGGTGATGTGGCTTGCGATTCCTACCATCTCTGGCGAGAAGACGTTGAAATTCTGAAAAATATGAGCGTTCATTTTTACAGGTAATGTAAAAAATTAATGATATTTTTGAATAAACGTTTATTATGATTAACTTCTTTTAGATTTTCTTTGTCTTGGACCAGAATCTTACCCGATGGCTATAACATGAACATTAGTGCTGCTGGAATTAAATATTACAACGGCTTGATTGACGCTTTGCTGGAGAATGGAATCGAACCAGTGGTAAGAAATATCCATAATAATTGTAGAATATATTTTGTTAAGAAAGAAATTGATTAATAATTGAATACAAATATTAATCAATTAAAATTTTGTGATTCAGTGTTTTGAACACGCTCCATAAAGATTCAAAAGGTCATTATTCTCTTTAATCATTTTTCCAGCTTGTATAATATTGTTGAACCTATTATATCTATTGTGTATTTTTTTCTACCCTTTGTAGGTAACTTTATATCACTGGGACCTGCCTCAAACCCTTCAAGATTTAGGAGGCTGGACAAATACCATAATTCCCGACAGGTTTGCTGATTTTGCACGTGTCGCGTTCAGCAATTTCGGAGATCGAGTAAGTATTCCCTAGAATATTACCATAGACCCTCATACACCAGAAGATCCAGGCTGTGGACTTGGTCTGCCCAAAATTCTTGTATCAGTCCTAAGAAAAAAAATCCATATGAATGTATGTCCTCAATGGTCCTTAATATCTTAACTTTTTAGATACAGGGTGGTAAAGTTTTATAATTTCTTTTTATAATAACTCTGATTGGATGTTATAGATATTTTTATAAAATTGGTCAAGTGCGTTTCCGTACCATTCATTTCCGATTTAGCTGAAATTTTGAATACGCGTACCTATAAGTAATTAAAAAAAAATTAAGACACATTACTAAAAATTGTATTAATCAATAATAAATTTGTACAAAGTAAAAATAAATATGTAAAAATATGTGAAAATTAAAAAAAAAACGATTAAAAAAAAGTCGCCTTGACTAGGATTCGAACCTGCCTTACTACGGCTCCATCGTCATAGCAGCGTAAAGTCCTAAGGCTTTAACCACGCGGCCACCGAGGACTTGAAAGATTCTATGTAAAATTCTTACTTAAAAGATAATGTTTAGTGAAAGTACTTTTTTATTTATAAACATTAATTTAATTCTGTTTTTAGTATTTGTTCTTATAGCGGCAACATAGATAGATTATCTGTAAAAATTTCAACTGTCTACCTATAACGATTCATAAGATAGACCTTTGTGACAGACTGACGGACGGACAGTGAAGTCTTAGTAATAGGGTTCCCGTTTTTGCTCTTTGGGTACGGAACCCTAAATAATTGATACACGTCTTGTATGTGTTGGAGGCAAATGCCGAATTTTGGCCAACGTCCAAAATAATTAGACATATGGCGATTTGTCCATACTAAACTTGCCAGGAGGTTAATCTTTTTTTGGTATAATATAACAACAAAAGATTAATACCCTCCGCATAGAAGTTGAAACCAATGCAATCAAAACTCTTCCGCGTAACTTTGTGGATATAGGTAGGTATATTTAATTATAATCGCCATATGTCAATTGCCAATTTTCGGCATCTGCCTCCAACATATGCATTAAAGTGCATTTTTTTGAGATTCAAACTTTTTTTTTTATCTGTTAATATCCTTTCAAAAGTTTTTTTTGAAAAATGTTACCACTCTTTTTTTTAGAATCACCATCAAGTTCACCATCACCGTCAAGAATCACCACAATTTAAAGTACATGACTCTTTTTCTGTTAATACTTTTTTCTGTTAATAAAAGGTAAAAACCTGGATTACCATAAACGAGCCTGCCAGCATCTGCGTGGATACCTACGAGAATGGAGACGGAGCTCCGGGAATCGTATCCAGAGGCGTGGGCAGCTACATTTGTGGGAAAAACGTGTTAATAGCCCACGCCAAGGCCTACAAAATATACAAAGACGAGTTTAAGCAGTCTCAGAGAGGTGAGTCAGTCTTGTAAATTTTTTAAATCGGTCTAAAAAATAGTGTACCAAACTTTAGCAGATAAAAATAAAACAAAAGTTTTTATTTACATAATATGTCCTAAGTAAAGGTATATAAACATAATATGTTTCTGTTTATTTTAAGAACATTGATAAACTATTTTCTTTGAAATTTCGTACTCTTACACATATTTTACTGGATCTGTGTCTTTTATATTTATCTGCTTTATCACTCACTGAGTTAGTTTGGTGGTACACAGTTTTTTTACATCCTGTATATGCAATACACCAACAGAGTGATGCTTTTTTATGATTTCTTTTAAAATTTATGATTTCTTTTAAAATACTCTGTATACAGCTATTTTATATTGTTTGTTGTTTAGGTAAAGTGGGCATTACCATTGATTCCATATGGGCTGATGCCAAAACGCCAGATGATCGGGATGCTGCGAATAGGAGATGCAAATGTCGGTAAGTTTAACGAAAAGAAACGGCGTCGGAGTTGGCTTTGATTTTCCAACTCGACGCCATTTTTTTATATATATACCGGGTATGCGTCTCAAAAGTGGGTCTTGTTTATTTTTTCAGTTAAAAACTTAATTTGGTATGTTAGTATATGACATAAATTAGATTGATTGACGTATTCAGTTGTTTTTAATCACTTCCTGTTTCACCGGAAATGACTACAACTTTTGATATAACGTGATCAAAACACTTTAATACGTCAATCAATCCTGATTTATGTCACATACTAACATACCAAATCTCGTTTTTTTATCTGAAGAAATAAAAAGTTATACCGGGTGCGTCTCGGTATAATACTTTCGGAACTTTCAGTTCGGCTGGTTCGCCCATCCCATATTCTCCGCCACTGGAGACTATCCGGACGTGATGAAATCCACCATAGCCGCCCGCAGCCGAAGCCAAAACTACTCGACGTCCAGACTACCGGATTTTACCCCCTTGGAGTTAGATTCCCTCAAAAGATCCGCCGATTTCCTCGGCCTGAACCACTACAACACCTGGATGGCCTATTCCAAACATTTTCCCCTCTCAGAGGTGTCCTTCGCCGCGGACAAAGGCACCGGATTGGTCAGGGACCCGAAATTGCGCGATCCCACGTTGGCACCCGAAGGCTTTAGGAAGTTGCTGAACTGGATCAAGGAAGAGTACGGGAACCCGTTGGTTTACGTGACGGAAAACGGCGTGGGGGATTCCGGAGGAAGTCTTGAAGATCAGCACCGTGTGACGTTTCTGCAGGAGTACCTGCA